GTCCGCCATTTTCCCATGCATTCTGGCTGCCGCAAGCGGCGGAGTATGCAGGCAGACCCTCGGGGTCCCACATGGTTACCAACTGCCTTCGATTTCACAAATATATCATCAGTGCAGTGCCATGAACTTCAACAATCCACGAACTTACCGGTGGAAAGATATTCGCGTTCCTTTCGAAGCTTTCTTTTTGCATAGCGCGCACATGTACGCCCTCGAGTCAACGCTAAACTAAACCAGATACCCGGCTTCGCCGGCGGGGCGCGGGGGGGCGCGGTAGAGGAATACGAAACCGCACAACCACCAGATTTCGGAGATTTCGACAGAAGGGAAGTTAATGCAGCGTAATGACTTTATTGCTTTTTATAAGCGTTAGAATAGCTCAGAATTTAGTTTACAACGTTAAATCATCACTGTTTATATTGCTGAGAGTTTTCACTCTTCGTGTTTACCATTGCGACTGTCGTCCTTCAGCTGGCAACGTTGCTTTCTTTCTCTCGTGTTCTGTCGCTCTCTTTCGCGATCGTTCACTCGGGACCCAGGATGTCGGCGCACGGGATTTGCCACTCCTCCTCACCCACCTTTACCCCCCTGACTCATTATACTGCATTTCAAATACTATTTTTGGTAATTTGGTATCTTGCAAATACATTTGATCGAAAGTATTCCCTACTTTATCATTTCTCAGTATATTGTACACATTATTTCAAATAATATTTTTGTCATTTAAAAAAAAAAAAAATATTGTCGCTGGAATTTACACTTTTTAGAAATAACTGGCGTCACGGCACCTCAATAGGGCCAGCAGGATCCTGTTTCCTTGGTCGAGCGAGAGCCCGCGCTCGCTTGAGCATGCGTGGGTTCCAAGGATTTTCATACCAGAACATCCTGAACCTGCGACTTTCTAAAATGGTCTTTTTTTTTTCTTCCTTTTTTTACAGGGATAGGAATCGGTACATACATTCCAGGGCAAAGTTGAGTGATTGCACACTTGAAGCGGAAGCGACCGAACAGAAGACAAGCCAGAAGCAAAGATGGAGGCTCAAAACGCCTACAAAACAGATGGAAGGAAATGAGGGGAAGCCACCATAAGAGGGCACAAAGTATTATTTTTTAACTTTTATGTTTGATTTTGTAATGGCCAGAATATCAGTTTCTTTCATCAGTTGAACACTACCGGAAGCGCCGAAAAAAAAAGAAAAAAAAAAAGGGGGGGGAACTTACATCGATAATCCTTGAAAAAGGAAGTCTACGTTAGCAGCACTGGGTCTCCCAGCAGCTTGGGGCGTCGCACTGCCCATGCGATCGGGGCCCCCCTTTTCTAAACTCTCCGTTGGCTAGAAGGTCGGAGGGAAAACAAAAGCACGTGGGTGCACTTGGCGGGTAAACAAGCGGACAAGCTGCTCGAGGAGCAGAGATGAACTCGCACGCTGTCCCATTTTGTTGTCTGTTCTTGTTTAAAGATGCAGCGCTTGCTACATGTTACTGGCCGTAACACAGCATGCTCTCGAGCAACCGGCACGGTGTAAAATCGCCAAAAACGCAAAAAAAAAAAAAAAAAAAAGAATTACAGTTGTTTGTTATTGCGTCTAAAAGTAACAAAATTACTTAATTGTCCCTGTCGACAAAACGGAAATAAATTATATCCCTCCGTCCTGAACACGGAAGGGATCGACATCTTTACTTTCTCACCTGCTCCGTACCCCCCCAAGAAAAATTCTTTTGTTTGTTTTTGAAAGGGGACTAAAAATGTTTCTCTACTTACAGGAAGTAACGAAACAGTTACACTGTCGCCGCGGAAGAATTGACAAAATTAATTATTCGTCACAGAAAAAAAAAAAAAAAACGGTTATGGCGTAACGTTACAGGCCCGATTGTTGAAACGCATTCAATCAAATCTGATCCCCCTTCCGTGCTCCGCGCCCGGCTGCCTCGTTTAGCGCGCGCCGTTTCCCACAACCCCTTCCCAACGCAGCCGGCACAACAGAAAGACCGCGCCGGTCTCCGATAACATCAAAGATTAGCGGCCGGAGCGAGGCACAAGTAAGTACAGACCAGCCGGGAGATCGGCGCCTGAATCGCGGAGTGAAACAGCGAGTCGGCGCGTACGTGTGCCTTCTGCCACACGCGCGTCAGTCTCGCTGATCAGCTTCCTCACGCCGCGATAAGGTGCTGATCTATCTTACACATTGGTAGGCACCGGTTCGCTGATCGCGCACCGAAAAGCACCGTCCCCGTCCTTCTTCGTGCAGCTGACTCTACGAACTGTTGCTACTAACCAACCAAGCAGATCAAAAGCGCAATGTCAAGGCGTTCCCCGCCTCGCGAGTCGCAGCAGTGACGTTTAATTTTTGGACATCTGTCCATTGTTTTAAAGTATTACAACGCAACCTCTCGAGGAGATATCGGTGCGGGAAGACTTATAAGCTTCCGAGCACTACGTATATTGAGGAGTCAAATGCTCGCCTTCGGAACACATCAAACAGTTCATAATAGCAAAATGGTGGACGAAATTACCCTTCCGAGATTTGCCAAACGCTCACCGATGTCAGACTGTGTGGGTTTAGGTCAGGGACGCGGCGAGTCCGAGCTTCCATTGTGGTCAAACACAGCGTCAAAATGGTCCCCGCCAACGGGTAACAGCGAGTCACCGAAACATCTCGTCGCTAAAAGCCGCTGATAAGATGAGGAAAACAGGGATCAGCTTCAGTTGTTCCCGGGTCTAGCACGAGCTTCGTATCTTGGAGCACCCTCGTGAGAAGGGTGGAGAATACAAATCAATGCGATTTCTATCGCGATTTAAATCGGGCCAGTTTTACTATGATGATCTAAATTGGAGCTTTGTCGCGAAAAAGAACCCCGAAAATATTTTTGTTTACCGTTCGTCCATATTCATTTAGAGCATTCTATGTTAATTTGTTTTTGTATTTAAACCTGAGCACAAGCTAAGGAGTGGAAGGTAGAGATCCATTTTCGACGAGCTAAAGCGGAAAGCGCCGAGCTTGATCTCTATAGCTTCCACTTCGTTAGTCAGCTATGTAACGTCCTACAAAACAAAATCAAAACGAAAAAAACACACACACGCACGAAAACTTGAAAATTAATGTCCAATTAAAGTCACGTACAGAACGCGAAATTTTCTTTTTAATAAAGCTTTTTTAAAGAACTAAAACAATCAAGCTGTTTTCCCTCTAGTATGGCGCGTATCACGTCTAGTTTATTAGACTGTACTTCAAATATACAGTAATTCTTCCGCATCGCCATCAGTGATTGGATGAATTAATCAATCTGCCATGCTTTAGAACACATCCACTAGTGGTTAAGAATCGCCATTTTTTTTAAGCTAGTGATTTACATCGAATTAGTCTGATTTAAACAAAAAATATCTGAATTTACATAATTAAAAAAATATAAATACATATTTTTAGCTTGGTTGTGAGCTTTCAGCGTGCATGTGCAGCCGAAGCACGACGGAAGGCAAGGAAGGCCACAAAAGCGTGCTCTAAGTCTAACATACTTACCACGCGCCGAGAAAGTCTCGGCGCATAACCCGATCCAACACAGGAACTGCAAAAAAGACTCCGCCCACAAAAAAAAAAAAAAAAAAAAAAACCGCAACGTTTCGTTTAGTCAGAGGCTAAGTGCCCAACGCGCAGATACGCATTGGGCATTTCAGGCTACGCGTTGTTTTTGCTGCGCACTAATATTCGACAGAGGGCGCTGACGGTGGCACCTCCTAAGGGCTCAGCCGTATTCATCCATCCATCCTAATCCGTGACGTCTTTACCTCTGGCAATTAAGGGGGCGGAGCTTGAGTCTTTATTGTCCTTGTTTTGCTTGCGCTTTTTAATCTTTTGAAATCAGTGTGAACCAACTCGCCCAAACACAAGTTTTACTACAGTTCTTATGTTGCGACGCTAAGGCACGTGTTCCCTGCCTTCCTCCGTGCTTTGGCTACAACGTGCACGCCCGAAGCTCATGGTGCGCCGCCGCCGATGTGTGATCGAAGGTAGAGCCAAATTTGGTAGAACTCTCGCGCTGCATCCGGGGCGGCTGAGAGACATTGCATGCCCTTCTAACTCTGTCAGTGAGGATACCACGCACTAATCTACATGGCACAGCAATGATATCAAGCAGCTTACAATGATTTTTTTTTTAGATATCTTCCCTCGAAGTCGCAGAGGCCGTCACGATGACACATCAGAACTTCCTCTGTCAGTTCCAGAATAAAACTTGCCCGCGCATTAAATTCAAAATAAAATATTAAAATGACAGCTCGCCAATCGTAATGGTCACTAAGCAACCCGGTAACAGTTTTTTTTTTTAATCAATTAGCGTCTTTTTTTTTTTTTTTTTTTTCTTTTTTTTTTTTTGTCAGATAGAATTTGATATTTGCTAAAACTGAATCGCCAGAGTGACACCACCACTTTGACCAGCCCGTGACCAAAAACAGCTTTTCTCGGCGTTCTGAACTGACGAAGATATTGTTAAAAAGTTTGACAATCTGATGACATCAGAAAATAGGCCATCGGTTTTCATTACGTTCCGCTTTGCCGCGCGCTTAGATCTAAATCCGCGATTAAAGGCCGGTTCTCACATGCAGCGAAGCGCTGATGTAGCACTGCTCATGTGTCGTCAGCTACTTATCATCTGCCATGAGCAACAGTTTTGACGGTGCGATACAAAGCTCTTGTCAGCACGCGCTAAGCGCGAGGTCAGCGCTATGCTTGTAGCGCTCCACAGCATGTGTGAACAGGCCTTCACTGTGAAAACACGCTGTAACTAAACACAGCTCTGCTCGTCCGCAAATTTTAAGTTTACACGCGTACTATACAAGTGATCAGATTTGTGCATGAGACGTCTGATGAGAAATCGGTACACAAAACGCCAATGTTGTTCCCATGAAGTTTGAGGCGGACTTCTGCGCCTAAACTAAACGGAGCGCGTGAGAATAAAATAAAATAAAAAGTGTTACGAGGCGTATAAAAGCCGTCTCACTTTACCTTGAATGGTGTGGTCCAAGCGTAGATAGATCCTGGGTGCGGCGAAAATCCACAGGAATCCGAACCGTCACTTCGAAATATAGCGCCAAGCGATCACACCCCAACGCGACCGCCGAAGCCCGAAACGCAAACTGAGCGCAGCAGACGACGGGCGAGACGGCGAAACCGGCGAGACGACGCGAGGGGCAGCCGAAAGCAAAAAGCGCGAAATGCAGACAGCGGGTATCCCAGAAGGCCCGGTGCGGTTATGACGCCATCAGTTTGTGTTGACGCATCACGTGCTCGCCCGTTCGGCCAGTTCTGCCGCTCGGATTTGGCGCCTGTGGTGGGCATTAGTTGGTGCCTGTTTTCGTTACTTGTTTTGTTTTAGGGGCATGGTCAGCTAGGTTCTAATGCTACAGTGCATTGCAGTAATTTGTCGGCAACCTAACTACTAAAACGTTACTTGACATTTTCGCTACTAAAAAGGACACATAATCATACGCATTTTGTCGCGCTAGCTCTGCGGCTCTACGGGTCAATGATACCCTTTTCTTGCGCCGAATGCAAATAAATACCTCCCTACTCGTCTACCAGGCATGTTCTAGTCGATGGTTCGGTAGTATAATTGCCTCAGTGTCGTCATTTTTTTGTCAGCATTGTGTTTCGGTTTATCTCATATTAGTTGGGAATTCATTGTAAACCTGAAGTGCCTTCAACCACAGAAATAGTGACTGAAGTTCGCAGTTACGGTAACTTGAGTTACCGGCCATCGTAACCATTACCATCATTATTTTAACCCGAGACTGAGACAGGAGGAAATTTTTGTACAGTTGAAGAGAAAGTAACATGGACATTGTTACTTGGTACTTTCTCTCCAACTGTGAAGATATTTCCTCCTGCTTCAGTCTCGGGTTAAAATAATCATGGTAAACTTCCACCGTAATTTCGTTAATTGCAACCTTCTAGCAGAGTTTTAGTAGATCACCCCGATGCTCCCGATCAGCGCCTGTCCCAATACCCTCGATAACGATACAATGCGTGCGCAAAGGCGGCGGCGGGGTATCATTATGATTATCCGACTCATCAGAACGATGTACGAACTTTCTCATATCTTTGTTTTTTGCAGTTTTTTGCTCAAAATCACAAATGCAGGCTTCAAAAAATCAACTGACAGCTAGCGCCACCTAGTAGTGCCGAATAAAATGCGCAAAAAGTTGATCTGTTTAGCAATTCTTTGTTCGTGCAGCTGATTGCAGGGGGCGCTTTCGTCACCATAACTAAAACTCGTGCTATTTAACCTACAGACGAATACTATTAGAGTTTAAAATAAGCAAAACACTTTTGCGTAGTTTATCATGTCGGAGGGTGAATTAATTCTGATAAGCATCCTGCCAGTAAAAATTGAATAGAAATGTAGCAGTACTATCGAGGAAACTTCTAATTAGCTTGTTTATAAATTAAACATCAGCATTCGCACGTCAGCCTAGATGAATAAGGCATTTCCCGTTACCACCCCAAAAGGCATTTCTAGCGTTGTGCACGAGCTACGCTCGGATCCTTGAAGCACTTAAAGTGCATTGCAGCATGATCGAATGATTCATCGCTAGACATCACTATGCCTCCGTGGATTCATTAGGCGTGTAGTGCAAACTATGCACATGCCCGTAGTCTAAACATTATAAAATATAAAAACCTGCAGATAACATCATGACGAAGTAAACTACACCGACTTTACATAACAAACAACAGTTTAATCAGACGTTTCGTCTCCCAATCCCATACAGGAGACATCATCAGAGAAGGGGGCTACAGATAGAGTTGCAAGCTGATGAATCACTCCGGATGCACCACGACTCCAAGTACTTTAGTGGATCCCTCCTTTGTTCGAGTGCCAAGGCCAAAACATTCTCCAAATCAAAACTGTTACACGTTGCCCAGCACGGTCAACCAGCTGTCTTTGCCCTAGTGGCGTGTGCGACCTTCGCCACGTCTTGCTTGTGTTCATTCATACATGTGCAACAATTACCGGCCGGTCTCCGCAATATACGATACATCAAATCTAGACAGTTCAACCTATACACAACACTGCACTGAGACTCTGAGAGGTGGGGGTTGTCTTCCTTTTTGTTTGGGAACCAGGTCACATAGTTTAAGATGAGATCTGAAACTGTTTGGATGTTTAAAGGGGCAAATGCTCTGGAAATAGACTCGGAAACGCCTTCAATATACATGTTACTAGCCCTGCTCCAAGACTATTTTTATCCAGACGCCTCCCTTGTCCCATCTGCTTATGCAATAATCCCGCTTCACCACAGAGTCGACAATAAAACATGAATCTTCAGATGCACGTTTCGTTGTCGACCCGTGTCCAGACTGATGTAGCAGGGTTTTTATGACTGCTCTTTTTTGTGCTCAACCGGTGCGAAATTGCAAAGAAAAATAGAATGCAATTCAAAATGGCGGCAAAGCACCCAGCTCATAACGTCACCTTAACGGATTTGCGACCCTCTCCAAGTGGCAAACACGTTGAAACTTGACGAGAGCTGCCGGAAAGTGGCAGACGCGTCAGTCTTGGTGTTGCTGCACACTGGCAACAACACAAATGCAACCTAGGTGGCACTGCGTGAATTCACTAGTGACAACGTTTGGAGGAGGAAAAGGATCTTCTAGGTGGTGTCAAATGGAGATGCCTTACAATAGCCTCCCCAAAAATCATAATTACAATATCTGATTCAACATACTTAGCACAACACGCTCTTCATGCATTTAATAATTTCACATGCTTCAGATGTAGCTAGCAATCTCGTTACATTTCATCATCCCCACCCGATTGCAAAGTATGATAGTGCGCGAACGGTAGCCCCACACAAGATCGGTCAGGTAGCTAAAAAGGTTGCTTCGTTTCGTCGGCAGACGAAGATTGGTACCTTGTGTGCTATTGGAATTAGGCCTTAGTGCAGTGCTTTGCCATTGCAATTAACATAGCATAAGTGATATTAATTAGTTTCAAATTCTTAACATCTGAGTGCATGCATTGCAATACTTGTATGCCATGCATTGAAATCCGAGAACAAAAGTCATCAAGCTCGTTCCGACACGTCGAACCAAGCGATGAGCCACATGAAAGACACGAGGAGTATCAAAAGTAAGCTTTAATAATCGAACAAGGCAGCAATATCTTTTTTCTTTAATGACAGGTGCTTCGATCGCAGTCATGTTGCCCCTTTGCTCCTCGACAGACACGTACAGATTTTCCGGCACTTGGCTAGCACCCTAAACGGTGTGTTTGCATGGCACGTACGATTCAGTAAAAAAAGGAAGACCCCCAAACAAGACCCTGAGTTGCCATCTCGAAACAGGCATGCAAAAAGACAAGAAAAAAAAAAAGAAAAGGGGCGTATAGTATATACAAACAGGTGGACTAGCAATTAAAGACCTATAAATTCATTTCACAAATGGGACCTTTCAAACTGGTATTTACAGGATGCTCACATCTCCAGACATACAAAAAGAATTGTATATAAACAAAATAAAATAAAAGCAAGAGAGGGCCAATATCATTGAAAAAAACAAACAAAAAAACTTCTGCCATGCAATCACACAAACGAACGAGGACCTTCACACGATGCACACGTTCCTGGGAAGGCTTGCAGATGAAGTCGATATCACAGCTGGTTCGGTGGGCCCTTCAAGGCCTTTGTGGACTGAAGGAAACAAAATGCCGAGTCATCTTCATCTCCTGTCCCTCTGACGTCCGCCACTGAGATCATGAGCCCTGCCAACTTCGGTGAAGTGGCGTTTTTTTCTCTTCCTCTGGTACCGTCTGCTTTTTGCCTCTTGGCTACGGCTACACCTACGACAAATGCTTGGTGGAAGATCCAGATCCGGATGAGCTCCGTGCCACTTAACCCTGTTGCCCCAGATCCGTGAATGCGCCACACACACACAGAAAAGGGAATTCCCGGTGGAAATCGGAAGACAACCTCCGGAACATGGTCCACAATGCAGTCTTCTGGCGGCGTGCTTCTTGAGGCAAGGTCTTGACGAAGAAACTTGGCTGAAGTCGATGTCGATGCTACGACAGTCTTTCCCCCTCAAACTTATCAAAGGAGAAGGACCGTCCCCCACGACCCACGCCCTCTTGAGAGGGTAATCTGAACCCAACCCGACAGAGGAAAAAAAAAAAGAAAAAAAAAAAAAAAAAGAAAGAAAGCTGTGCCACTGCAGAGAGGTGCTGCTATGTACGCAAGGCATCGAGCAAGCCATAAATTAATAAAACAAAAAAAAAAACAACAACACCAAGTTTTAAACAAAGAGAGGTGCCTTGCAGGAAAAAGAGAAAGACAGTGACAGATGTCAACCACCAGGCCCCCCTCCAGTCCTTTTTTCCTTTTGTCCGAAATTCAGAATGGTGAAAGAAACAAGAAGAGAAAGAAGAGAGCTACAGTGGCAGCAACCAACCGGTCAAACGTACTTACAAGAGAGGCCGTCTAAAGGGTCGTGACCCAGAGAGCGACCTCATGACCCCACTCGTCGGGCTGTGCCTCAGGGAGGCAAGAGGTAGAGGCCGAGACGGTTCAGCGCCTCTTCCTCCGTCAGTTCTGCGAGGGGAGAGAGAAAGGCAAGGTGGACCATTCAGCGTTGAAATGGTGAGCGCTTGCCGCAGAGCGAGTCAGCACCTTTGCCGAGGAAACTCTCCAGGATCTCCTCGGCCCCCGGAATCTGATGCTTGGTCGCCGACTCGACGACCCTCCTGGCGTGCTCAACGTGACCTTGAGTTAGCTCGTAGAGGAGGAACTGCCGGGAGAAAGATCGTCGTGGAATGGCCCAATCTGTTGGAAGCCGGCCAAGGATTGGCCAACGGCTGATCTGCGACCCAACGCTGGCCACGCATCTAGCAGTCTACCGATTCTGCTCAAGAGTGGGTTGGTCAACAGGCAAGTAATTGGGGACTGCCCGCACGGAGGTGCAAAAAACTGAATGGCAATCGTTGTGAGGCAAATTTGAAGGCAGGATACGACGTTATGGCTGCTTGTAGCCGTTTCCAAATGCTTTTGAGTGCCCATCAACTGGCTAACAGCTGAAGTCCACTGATCTAGATTGCGAGAAGCTACTGAAAGCGTATGTGGACTCCCCGGAATGTCAGAAGTCTGAGGGGTGCTTGAAAATGGCCGGAAGTAGCGAAAAGGTTGCATCGGGCTACCGAGTTCTGTTCTGTTTTGCGCTTGATGTTTGTCACCTCAGTCTAAATTAGTTCTTCACGAGCCCATTTCATAAGTTTGACGCAGTGCTATCCAACCTAAACACTCAATGGAGTAGCACTGCGAAATGGTTTTTTACACATGCCGTTGCGCAACGCACACACTTTCTAAAAACAATGCACTCGTGCCTCTTCCTTGCACAATGATGCAAGTAACGCCGAACACGAAATCTAGCCGCAGCGACTGCATATAAGCGTAAGACTGAATAAAGAGTGCCAATGATGGATAATGCACAATCAATCATCAAGCAATGCCAAAGTAGTTCGGGATAAGACTTTCCTGACCATGCCCATAGGTCATCAATCACTGGTGATTGATGGTTTCCAAGCTCCACCAGGAAATTAAATTTAGTGCGGAGAACTATGCTCTACAATCTCGTTGACAGCCGAAGAATGCTAGTTTCAGTTTCAAAGTAGGTTTAAGTTTTATCACAAGGTTGTGGGCTATCAAAAATAGTCCTGGGAACAATGGTGGTACTTGTCTAACATGGCTAACTGCTTGCACCAGTCTTCGTAACAAAGATGACATTATTTACATAATTCAACCGTATTGCGGCATTCTGTTGGGACCTCTAGAGCTCTAGGGAGGAACGACAAAAATAATCCCTAGAGAAGGGGAACAAGGGCGAAAAAGGACAAATATAAATCTCCAAATACAGCTAGGTGACTGGGACGCGACCGAATAAATCCGCCTGGTCTGGTATTAAACCAGGAACCTTTCCATTTCCAGTGAGGCGCTCTACCAACTGAGCTAACCAGGAGTTAGACGTCAGTAGACCAAACAGGTTTTATCAGCTTCCACCAGTCTAACACCAACAAGGGTGAATGGCCTGCATTCTAAGGTTATGATTATAATGCAATTAATTCCAAATGTGCAAAAGCTGGACAAGAACAACAAAAAATAAACCCTGGAGAAGGGGAACAAGGGGGACAAAGGACAAACATGCGCACCAGTCACCTAGCTGTGCTTGGAGATTTGTGTTTATCCTTTGCCCTTCTTCTCTGGGGATTATTTTCATCATTCTTGTCCAGCTTGCTTGCACATTTGTATTTAATTGTACTATAATCATAAGCTCTGGAGACACTTTAAATTATGTTAAAGGTGTTGCTTAACAGATGGCTGTCAGTAAGCATCACTATAATTTCCAAGGCTACCCTGAGTTGGCATGCACGTTTTATGTTCCCAAGAAGGCACAGAAAAATTCTAAATATGAGAGAACTGCAATCAAGGCTATGACAAAACCAAGGTAAAACAGAAAGAAAGCATTCTGCTGGGGATGTGGGGAGTACTATCTGTGCTTCACCGATATAAGCATTCCTTAGTTGAAAAGCACACGCGCTACAAAGGCTAACTCTCCTATGAACCAAAAATAGACAATGTTAAAGTATACTAACTTTCAGAAGTAAAGGCTGTGGGTGTGGGGCACATTTTCTCTACTCTGAATTTTTCTTATTTGTAGTTTAATATAGCACAGCTGCAGAAGTTTCGGCGTTTTTACCCCTTCTGCACGTACATCACATAATCAAGAAATAAAACTTTAAAATCTTTCTTCCACATTATACCAACCTTTGTTTCTTTAAAAAAAAAAAAAAAAAAAAAAAGTTGGCCACATTTGATGTGTCGTCAAGTTGGGAAAATAAAAGTGTCTGCATGGATCCTTTCAAAATTGCTGCTTTTTCAGTGGTCAGGAAAGAGTTAAATGAGCACTAACCAAAGAATGACCGGCAACAAAATCGTTCGGTATGCATTAATGAGTAGCCAAGCAGTGATCCAATAACGGCAGTAGTCAGCGAACTATTCATAGATGGCCAGCCAGATTAATCCTAAACCTAAACCCACTGGCCTACCGGGGGCGTGCCGTTTGCACCAATGCGAAAGTGCAGACTGGCAGAAACTTACGTGACACCAGAGGTCCACATGGTAAGGCATACTCTGGACGGCTCCTTCGAACAGCCGGTGAACCTGCAGTGAAAATTTTGGACACGGACGCACGTGTGTGGGGCATAGCTATCAGGGGGGGAGGGCAAAGCAACCCGCAAACACGCACGCACACAACTACCAATAACCGAGCGAAACAACTGAATCCCACGACAGCAATAATTTCCGGGGGTGAGTGTCGGAACCACCGGGCAGAGGACGAGGAAGACACAAACGAAATCGAACCGTGTTTATACACAATATTAGAAAAAACATCAGAAAGAAAAGTGTATCTTTATACTACAAATTGGGAAACAATGTGCCGTGTCTTTTGTGTACCTATCACAACCGGGGCAACATAAAAGCTCCGCTGCAATAAGAGTACATGTGCACCAACTACAACCGAGCTAACCAAAGCCGCTCTGCGGAGAGTGCTTAGAATAACCGAGCGAGACGTGGTTCGATTCCCACCGGTGGACGTAGCCTCTTGTAAAGACAACTGGGTGTGCGATCATATTTTCGTTACGATAGCTCGCGACGCCATAGACCTTGAAACTAGTCCTAAAACACATTCTGCGTTAAATAAAAAAACTCCGATAGAACAAACACAAACACACCTCGTAAATGTCTCCGTCCACAATGGCAAGGTGTATGGCACTAGGTGTGGCCACGTCGGAGGAAAAAAAGAAGGAAAAACAAGGAGCAGATTAAAACAAGCAATGCAATTGGGGAGAACTCAATTGCAAGCCCCACTCCAAAGTTATGGACAGCCAGGGGAGAACCAGACCGGTTCATATTTGGCCATACAAACCTAAGGGAACCATAAGTTGATCATCCCATCTGCTTGTGCCTGCCACACGGAAGCATTCAAGCTTACACCTCGTGGCTAATCTCACAAGAGCGACTCTGCTGCCCTGCGCCGTCTGGCCACAGCAGATTCCCGCATCACGAAGGATTTGGCTCGCTTTGTCTAGGATTCTAAATGGATTCTAAATAACTGCCGAGTGGAACCCAATAAAGTGGTACTAACTCGAAATCGCTTCTTTACTTGCGGTTAGGGTAACACCCGTCTGATTTAATTGCGGGTAGACATCCTGTTAGCCAGACGTAGGAGGTTTACAGCTAGGACTTTAACCCCTACACTGACGCACCTGGTCGCACGTTGCTGTCATTGCCATACCTACACTTGCCCCAACTTCTGGCCAAGACTGTACTACTTCACTTTAACTGTGAGCCCACGAAAAACCACAAGAGTAAGGTTCCTGCCTTCAGTGTCCCTACCGAGTATGCGAGCTCACACATTGGTCCACACATTGGTCAAGATGCTCTTGCATGTAGCTTCGGTTATGCACAAAGCAGAACAAACTATAGATGCAATAGCTGTAAGTGAAATAGTTTTGCGAGGACCTAATATTACATAATTTCTCAATTCGAAAAATATTGCGAAACATTAATTTCGTAATTATAGCACCCTATGCTAGTGAATGCATAGCGTGCATACCTATGGTAGTGAATGCATAGCATACCGCCAATTCGCGAAGTTTCATGCTCGCAAAATATTTCCAAAACTTACATAATTCCCCAAAAATCGCAAGTACTATTGAGCCCGCAAGAATAAAGTTGTTTACAGTACGTTGGAGAACAAAACTTCAAAAGTTTTCTACTGGTCTCGGTGACTACAGTCACTGACCGATTTTCCGGACGCCGATAATTTGAAGTTGTTCTATATTTCGGACCTGAAGGAGGAACCGTGACCTGCTCGATAAAAACAGTCTATATTCACGACCGATGTTTCAGACAGCTTGAAGTCCGAAAGTTCCATTTTTTGAACAAAATCGTCGTGAGCGATCAGCGGGAAACACCACCAAGAAGCCGCCATCTTAGATTTTATGTTGCCTGCACATGGACTGGCTTGGTTTCGCAGTGATACTTGATTACTGACAAGTCTTACCGCTAGGTGACACTATGCTATGGATTTTCGTTTTTTTTTTCTTCTAGCTGTGCGCTATTATCATCATCACTGCTACTATCTTGCTTTGTTCATTTGCCATTCTCTAGTCAGGACTTGTGCTTCTCAGCTCGTCTCGGTGAATCGTGTTTTCAGACTACACTGACTTGGACATCATGGCAACATCTGTCCTTCCGCCGTAGCGAAGTGTGGCTAAGAAGCGCGGAAAGTGCTCGCCCATAAAGCTAGAAAAGGCAGCAATTCTCAAGCTAACAGAAAGTGGCCAAGCGCAAGCGGAGGTGTACGTATTTATTCGAATATAAGGCGAGGTTTTTTTCCGAAATCCTTAGTCTCAAAGTCGTACCCCGCCTTATATTCGAAGCTCAGTACAGCAATACGGCAATTTTGGTGTAACAGTTTTGGTTTCCGCCTTTCAACCATTTCCAAGCTTCCAAAAGAGCCCGACAATACTGTTACAAATCTAACGCAGAGATTTAAGAATAAAACATACAAAATGTTACACAAACGCAAGTTACAGATAGTAACTACCGAGTTTAGGCAGCTGCGATGCAGGAGACGCGATGGCTGCAGACGCCTTCAACCATATCAACGAGCTGAGCCAGCAGTAGCCGCTTCCAAGCCAGTAGTAGCCGCAAAGTTTGTAAACAAGTTGGGACGCCATTTTGCATTTTTTTGTTGGAGTGGCCGAGTCTCTACGGCAGGATTTTTTCAGTGCTCGCTTATTTACGCTACCAGCGCAATGGCGAGTCACCGTTGCCACTATGATGCAGCCTTCAAGAGGAAGGTTGTATCAGAGGCGGAGGTTTCTGGAAACTGCGCGGCGGGTCGGAAGTTTGGTGTTCCGGAGAACAACGTGCGTCGTTGGCGCAAACAGAAGACTGCGCTGTTCGCCTGCGCAGCGACGAGAAAGGCTTTCCGTGGCCCGCGAAAGGGAGCGTTCCCCGAAGTGGAAGGAGTGCTGACGCAGTTCATCAAAGAGAGGAGAGGCCGCGGTTTGGCCGTTACTTCCGACATCGTGCAGATGAAGGCGCGCGAAATCGCGAGAGAGCGTGGCATCCCCGCTCTCAAGTTCAAAGCTAGCCGGGGCTGGGTGCAGAAATATATGAAGAGGGCCGGATTTTCCTTGCGAAGGCGGACCTCCGTGATGCAGAAGTTGCCCGAGGACTACGAAGAGAAACTAATCTCTTTTCAGAGATATGTTATCGGCCTGCGACGCGACCACGACTTTCTACTCGGGCAGATGGGCAACGCCGACGAAACCCCGATTTTTTTTGACATGCCGTCGCCCCAGACCATTCACCAAAAAGGTGATCGCCAAGTGAGCCTGCGCACTACAGGCAACGAGAAGGCTAGGATCACCGTTATGTTAGCCTGCACCGCCGATGGGCGGAAGTTGCCCCCCTTCATCATCCTGAAGAGAAAGACCTTTCCGAAGAACGAGGTCTTCCCGCAGAACGTCCACATTCGTTGCCAGGAGAAGGGGTGGATGACGGAAGAGCTTTTTCTGAACTGGATTAAGTCGGTGTGGTGCCGAAGACCAGGGGCACTGCTCGCCCGGAGGTCAATGCTGGTCCTCGACGCGTTCCGCGGACATCTCACGGAGGGTGTGAAGAAGAAGCTGGTGGACGAACGCACGGAGCTGGTCGTCATCCCGGGGGGCATGACAAGCCAACTACAGCCGCTTGACGTTTGTCTTAACAAGCCCTTTAAGGCACACGTCAGACGGCTGTACAATGAATGGATGGCGTCTGACACTGTGGCCCTCACGCCGTCGGGACGTCTAAAGCGGGCGTCCCCGTCTATGCTCGCCCAGTGGGTGGTCGACGCATGGGCAGCGATCCCCGAAGCTATGGTTGCAGCATCGTTCCGCAAGTGCTGCATTTCCAATGCCCTTGACGGCACCGAAGACGCTGACCTCTTTGAGTGCGAAAGTGATAAGGATGATTCGGATGCTACCACTTCTGAAGACAACAGCTTCTAAGTTTGTCTTTCGTCTCGCTCCGAATAGGTAAATATCTTTGTGTGCAGATAGTTCAAATACTTGTGTCTGCTTCGCTGAAAGGTAAGGAATTTAATTGCCTTCTTTCGTTTCTTTCGCCTTATATTAGTGTGCAAACTTTTTTCTTTTTCTTTGGTCCTTCAACTGCCCCCTCGCCTTATAATCGTGACCGCCTTATATTCGAATAAATACGGTAACTTGAAGCAAGGCACTATGGACGGCTTTTTTAAGTCCACTTAGATGTAATAAAGGCAAGATTTTTAATCTGCTGATTTTTCGGACTGCTCTATCATTTGAACATTTCTTTCAGTCCCTGCGAAGTCCGGAAAATCGGTCGGAGACTGCATGCCCCTGTCCTTCTCCAATTTTATTTCTTTACAGCCGAGGCACGGTTTGGAAGCATGTTCATTATGCGAGAAATAATAAAAATAAGGCTCAAAAACATGCAAAAAAAAAAAATGCAACGAGCAACAGAACATTTTGTTGAGAAGGAAACGGCAAGGCCTCACAGTTGCCAGAGCCGCAGCGACTGGAGCCCCGGCACCACGCAGCTCCGCAACAATGTCTCCGCAGCGTCCTTGTCGCCGGCCTGCAGGTAAAGCTCCGCCGCCCTGGCCCACCAACATGGCCACCCCCCCGGCCCCCAGTCCAGGCTTTTCTCACTTCCTCAGACTCGCCGCCGGCACAGATCACTCACTCTCTGGGGACACCCTGCCATCCTCCGCGTCTTAGGGTGGCAAAACTTTTTGCGAGGAAACAGTGCAATCGGTTTTTTATATGCCCCCTTTTGCTGTTGCAATGAGACTTAAGGGGGGACGACACTACCCAGAAAAAAAGTTTTCTGCAAAAAAAAAGTTGATTTTGAAAAATGTCATATTTACATCCACCAGCACCTGGAGAGTATTTCCAGAAAGTTTCATTAGTTTGCACCGCATAGTTAATTTTTTATAAATATTTTCGGTCCATTGAAGCTAAAGAAAAGGTAGGGCTTGGAACACTTTGAACACATTTTTCTCCGTTCCACATTTTGGCATAAATTTCATTTTAGGAAAACTATCGTTTGTTAATGGGACAAGAGGAAAGACTCGCTTATGGTTTTTCCTAAGTGGAATTTTATGGGCAGTGCAACTATGGAATTGTTTTCTGACCTTGTGGATGTCTTTTATAAAAGATGTTAAGATTTTGTGCTTGACATAAGAGGCAAAAACATTTATTTGATTTTTCACTGCGATGTTAGCATGAAGTAAATTCCTTTTTGGAAATTTTCTTTTCACAGCTGCACTTTCTACGCATTCTGCTGCAGATCTAGAGTAGAAAAATGTTTGGTATTACATTAGTTTCCTAACGATAGTTTTCCTAAACAAAGTCGGTGTGTTCTTAATAAAAATGACTACAAGTTATTTTACAACCCATGTACACTGATGAAACTTTGCACTGCATTCTGCCTTGCAACTTCCAGTATATACTCTAAATTTCATTCATATTAAGCCATAGGTTAAGAAGTTAACCCTATTGGGTAGTGTCCCCCCTTAACCTCTTCGATAGGCCTTTTAATGCGCTACTTTTTACAGCCTTCATGAAGTGCTTTCTACAGCTTGCTTTTATAAATAACTTGCTGTTGTCTCCAAGATGCAGTTTGCTCGCACGTTTTCATCTCGGCTTAATCGAAACGTCCATGTGCTGCAACATGCAACAACAAGCACCTGTGTGTCGCCGTCCTAGAACAGGAGAGGTCAGGGCAGTCCCCACAATCCCGATCCAAGATGATCACCAGCAGCCCGTTCATAGCTCCAATGACTCGCGAGTCTTTGTTTCACCAAATGCTGAACGCTAGCATGTAAGGCATACACTTGCAAGTTCAGATGCCGCGATTCAGTAGCCACGTTCATGCCAGCACGTACACTTCTTATACATTGCTCACATTGCTGTGCAAATAAGGGGATGCACAAAAGCTCAATCTGTTTGCTCCGTAATTTAGCCTGTCGAATGCCAACCAGCAGGGTGAGCAACAGTTTGTGCTGCTGGGTAGGACACCGTTTCTCAGTGCTCTACTGTGCTGCACCATAGTAAAGAGTTGTAGTTATAAGATGTAAAATGTGTGCACTAACGCTTCTATCTCACTTTGGACGGTCCACATAAATCGGTTTCTTAACGTATTGCGCTAGGATTTACTACAGAGGTGCCCAAAGGTGGTGGAAGCTTTCACTAAAATTGTGGAAAGGTTGGCTCACCCCAATAAATCATAAAAAATAAAAATCTATGCTTTCCCTACACTTTATTATTGAAGTGTACACTTTGCGTGTACACTTATTTAGTATTTTGTGTCACTGTGGTACTTATCTAGGCCAAACGAAGTGAAGAATATGTAAGCCAATTGTATTTTCTTTCCGTTTCACCGATTATTCAGTCATAATAAATGCCAGAATAGCAAAGAGAGATTTTTTGATGATTTTGAGAAAAAAGGATACAAGATACTTTTTTTCCACAAACAAAACCAGTTTTTCTCTTCTTCCTCTTCACTCTGGAGGTTCCACAGATTCATGCTCTCAATTATTGAATGCATCACCTTCGTGCACCTCCGTAGTAAATCCCATCGCGACACATTAAGAAACTGCTTTTTGTGACCCGTCCAAAGCGGGATCGAAGCATCGATGTACACGTCGTAGAGACACTTTTTTTCTTGCCCGACTTGTATACACCGAGATAACACCGAGGTGAACAGCGATGTCCAGTTCTCCTTTTTGTCCTCGTCTTCGAGCGACACCGCGCATTCTCGAATTCAGTACCAACTCGCCCAACAATCGACACCATTCGGTACAAAAAACTAGGCAAAGACGAGTTAGGCTGCACCGCGATGCTGAAACTTTTTGTGCAACCTTCCACCCTAAGCGGCGCATTCACAAAAGGCACCGACGGAACTAAGTCCAAAGACCACGCCGCGAAACAACGTCCCAGCAATGTCGGAGGCGCGTGCAGACGACCCTACCGTTGCACCAGGACCGCGTTGCGCCGCTTCCCGGCCGCTCCGTCGCCGAGGTAAGACGTCAGCAGGTCCGCCTGGTCGCGCGTCGAGGGGACGTGAGACAGCAGCAACTCGAGCACCCGGTTGAAGAAACTGGGGTCGTGCCAGGCCTTGCGCGGCTCCGCCGGCAGTGGCCGCTGGGCGGGCGCACTCTCCAGGCAGCGGCGGATGAGCGAGGACACCGAGGACGACGACGACGTTGGGCGTTGCAGGCAGTAGTTGAGGTAGCTGTGCGTCAGACAGAGACAATGAGCTAGGCTGCGGGAAAGGGGCCCGATGGTCCGGTGCGAGCACGCGCCTTGGCGAGCGTGTGTGTCGGCGTCTGAGAGAGTGACTGAATGTGAGTGTGTATGGGTGTGAATGTGCTCAAGTGAGTGTCCCAGACTGCGTGTGAATATGAGTACGGCTGAGCGTGGCTAACTGCGAGTGCGTGTTAATGTTGCGGTACAACCCGCTTATAACGAACCTGGTAATGACGAAGTGATGGCTATAACAAACAAATTTTGATTTCCCATTGCCGTACGTATGCTCGCGACGCGATTTCGGTCCACCTTCAACGAACAAACTTAGAAGGCCCTTGCAGGCATGACGAATAAAACTTCCTGAGAAATCATTAAATTTCTCATAAAAAGCACCTTAAAGTTTTAGTTGTGCTAAGACAAACAAAAAATGAAACTTAGCTGCTAATCGATAGCGACGAATCGCGCTTTGCGTGAGCACACACTTCGGAGAAGACGACGCTGCTTGCGTTCTTTCACCGGCCAGAGTCCTTCGATACACTACTGGTCATGAAACTTCTTCGTAATGCTACGAGAAAGCTTGGTACTCAATCCCGTGCGGCACTGGCGTCGACGAAGGGGCCAGGAACGGCCGATCTAGCCAGCGCTGCTGAGAGTCTGGCAACTGGGAATTCAGGCAAAATTTGGAACACCCTCCGAACGAGCCCCACATGGAACGCCGCGATGCGTCATCGCATTGACAGCATTTCTTGTAAAAGCGAGCGTCTTTGCAGCGCCATCAAGTAGAGGTACTGCAAACCCGTACGCTTCATTGCCTAGCTTATTGCCTCTCGCATAAACACTCTTGTTTAAAAAAAAAAAAAGAAAAAAAAAAAAAAAAGCTTTTAGCCTTTTTATTTTGGTGAAGAAGGAAGACCAGCGAAGCTGTACTCGGGTGGGAGTGAAGTAACGGCCCGCCACAAGTCAGCAAGCCAGAGTGGAAAGGCTGGAAAGGTTGCCATCACCTATGAGCAACGGTGGCAGCCAGACAATTGGCAAGCCGGTTGTCGGGTTGCCGTCGTAGCTCATAGGCGGCGGTAGCTGTCCAGAGTTTGGTGTCATCATTTGTTTGCTGATGGACACAATACTGGGGAAACTAGCCCTGAACAGCTCCGCTGTAAAAACGTATTTTGTAAGTCTTGTTGTTAGAGATGTACAGTGTAGACCGCACATAAAGTATGTCGCGGGAGTCACGAAAATCCGCACTATAAGCGGTACCGCGTTATAACCAAAACATAAATTTTTCAGGCCAAAATACATGCCATGAGACAACTTACCTTTGTAAAAGAATTTATTTTCAGTTAGACAAAGAGGAGTCTTTATTTCACCAGACTAGTACACTTCTCTTTTAAGTGTGTCAATTTTGAAAGAAATGAGTGACTTCTGCCTGGCGCAGCCTTTTAACGGCATCGCTGGTTGTGGACGGACGTTGTGAGCGTTCAGGATTGCTAACCCTAATCACTTTCCTCCAATGATGAAGACACGTGAAAATTCGCAACCTTTATACGGTACGCGCCAGTAATACCTTCAACTTTAGCAGAGGCATGAAATGCTCCAAATAAGAAATCCGGGCGAAAACAGAAATGCTTAGAAAGCACCACTGTAGTCGAAGTAAACAAACACGACGACACGGGCGTTTCTGCCGTCTGGAGAGTGCCGCCACGACATCGCTGCACGAGTAGGTGGATCTTCCCTTCTAGTACGTGCTGGGTTATCATAGCGGCACACAACGAAAATTCACAGTCAAGGATAGCGCTTTTACGCGGAACAATCGCAACCGACGCCATGCTTGCGGATAGAAGCCGGCCCGCGACTGGCATACAACGCGCGCGAACACTTCTCCTCGACCTGCGATTGGTCTGTCGTTGCGATTGTTTCCAACGCCAACGCAGCGGAGGGACGTGCGTGCGTCCCTCCGTCGCTATGGCAACGGAAGCCTCTCTCTTCGCTTGTTGGAGCCACGACTTCGAGCAACCTTCTTGCCCCGCAAGTGTCGCTTGCGGCTAGCCAGGCTAGTGCCGTTATCTAGTGCCGCACAGGGAAGCGTGCTGGCTGCGCCGGTCAATCGGCGCAATTGGCGCGCTGTTCCAGAAACCGCACTATAACCGGTATTTCCCTTCGCGCGCCTGCATTTTAAGCGGTACGTAATTACATTGAGTTCTATGGGAGGCGAACCGGTGGTTTAAAAAAGCCGCGTTATACCCGGTCCTGCACTATAAGCGGTTACGTTGTAAGTGGTCTATACTGAACAATTAATGACCAGTGCTTGCACACAGCGATCAATTACAGATGCAACAAAATGACAGCGCACAAGACAGTTTTTAAAGCTAGTTGTAATCGCAAATTCGGAGTGGCTCGCTTAGAGTAAAGTGGGCTAAAAAAAAAAGTCGCCCTCAGGGACAGTGGCGCCTCTGGCGACAGCTATCAACCCTGTGCCAAACTATGGCCGAAGTTTCGGGACCTGAAGCGTAATGAAGAACCTTAGCCCTACGGAGAAGTGCAACGCTTCTCCACAGAACACACACCTAGTCTGAAGAAACGTGCAGAGTGCGACTTTGGAGAAGCACGGGAGAGAGAGAGACAAAGAGCTAAAAGAAGCAATTGCAGGGATTCCGTGGGTACCACGAGTTCCCGCTCCCACCAAATCTCGCGTGGTTTGCACAGTTCGCGTTCACTCACCTTTCGTCTACTCCTATTTGACTACAAACCCTACACAAACAGCTTCCACCTCGACAAAGACTGACTACGACTTGATGAAGCGCGCCCAATCGCAACTGACTCAAAACATACACGGATTTACTTCACCACGTCGAGCCCTAGACAGTTGAACGCGAAAAGAAAGGTTTTTTTGTTGTAAGTGAAATGTACCTTCTGGAGGAACTTTGTTGTAATGTCAAGAGGTCAAGAGATTTCCCAAAACGTATAGAATTGCTCCACCGACTGTCGACAATCATCAAGAATGGGAACAAGAATGACGCGGCCCTAGACGAAGATGCTGGCAGCGCATATTGGAGTTCGTCATGATGGAGGACGACGACGTTGCCACGGAGGATTCGACTAACGAAAAGCTTGTGAACTGTGGCCCTGTCGAGGAAATGGAAGCTAGCAGAACTGATGACGATGAAGGTCCAGCGAAACCGTTGGTCTATGCCGGAATGACGATCACAGTGTTTCATACGCTCCCGTTCACTTTGACTAAAAGGTTTTATGCAATCGGACACGTTAGAGGCTGCAATAAACCTTTTCCGAGAAGCGTTCCGCGCACGCGCGAGCGCCTGATGCCAAGCGGCGGAAGTCGGAACGAAAAATTTAGGAAATTAGGAAGGAGGCTGTATATCAATGAGTAGAACACGTAACTGCAGCATATATATAATATATATGTGTTACACAAAAAAAGAATGTCGACGAAAAGGAAAACGCGACGTTTGGGTGGACGCCACGGACCAATCGTGTTGGGCAGGCGCCGCTGCTCAGAGAGCGAAGAAACTGGTAGCGTAGCTCCCATTATTGATTGGTAGCGCAGGTAGGTCACTTCCTCGATTTTTAGTTCATGCAGCCACCGACTGGTGCCGTCGGTATGTGGAAAAGGTCCATTGCGAAGATGTCTCCAACATGCGGTGTAGAGACACCGATGAGTTGGTTCTTCAATGAGCAATAAGCCCTAGCTCAAAAACCATTACAGTGTAGACCGCATATAACGTATGTCGCGGGAGTCGTGAAAATCCACACTATAAGCGGTACCGCGCTATAACCAAAACATCAATTTTTCAAGGCCAAAATACATGCCATGAGACAACTTACCTTTGTAAAAGAATTTATTTTGTTAGGTGAAAAATAAAGCTTAGTTTGAGGAAAGTCTTTATTTCTCCAGACTAGTACAGTTCTGTCTCAAGTGTGTCACACATTTTGAAAGAAATGAGCGGCTTTTGCCTGGCGCAGCCTTTTAACGGCGTCGCGGGTTGCGGACGGACGTTGCGAGCGTTCAGGATTGCTAACCCTAATCACTTTTCTCCAGAGATGAAAACGCGTGAAAATTTGCATCCTTTATACGGTACGTGCCAGTAATACCTTGAACTTGAGCACACGCATGAAATGCGCCAAATAAGAAATCCGGGCGATGTTCGAGGACACAAATGCTGAGAAATCACCACTGTAGTTGAAGTAAACAAATACGACGACAAGGGCGTTTCTGCCGTCTTGAGAGCGCCGCCACGACATCGCCGCACGAGTAGGTGGATTTTCCCTTCTAGTACATGCTGGGTTATCATAGCGACACACTACGAAAATTCACAGTCAAGGATAGCGCTTTTAAGCGGAACGATGAGATGAACGCCGTCTACGAGGATGATCACAACCGACGCCATGTTTGCGGATAGAAGCAGCCGGCCCGCGACCGGCATGTAACGCGCGCGAACACTTCTCCTCGACCTGCGATTGGTCTGTCGTTGCGGTTGTTTGTTTCCAACGCAGCGGAGGGACGCACGCACGTGAATGACACGTGCGTGCGTCCCTCCGTCGCTATGGCAACTGAAGCCTCTCTCTTCGCTTCTCTCCGCTTTTTCGAGCAACCTCCTTGACCCGCAAGTGCCGCTTGCGGCTCGCGCAGTCAGCGCCGTTATCTAGTGTCGCACAGGGAAGCGTGCTCGCTGCTCCGGTCATCGGCGCGGTCGGCGGGCTGTGCCAGAAACCGCACTATAACTGGTATTTCCCTTCGCGCGCCTGCATTTTAAGCGGTATGTAATTACATGGAGTTCTATGGGAGGCGAACCAATGATTTAAAAAAACCGCGTTATACCCGGTCCTGCACTATAAGCGGTTATGTTGTAAGTGGTCTATACTGTATTTTGTCGCTGCTTCCCTTAAAGTTCAGATATATTCTTGATGTACTCGTTATAAGCACGCTATACTCAGTGTATGCCCATACATAAGTCAGGGTAGGGTGTCTAGCAAATTATTATTTTGAAATTCCGACTTTTCCAGGTTTCCCCTGACAATTTCAGGTGAAATTCCCTAAACACTTTAGAGGCGGTTAAATATATACGACCATTACAACACAATGCATTGAGCATTGAGCACTGTGAGGATCATTTTGCACGGGATTAATCCAGCTTTCATATTCCGAGTTCATCCAGTCCAAATTAAACGAGCACTTTCTTGCCGCCGACATCATCAGTGAAGAGGCCACTTCCGGAAACATGATGGAAACATGACGCTCAACCACACACGTCAATAACCGAATGGCAGCATGGCTGCCAGATGCATATTTTCGGCTTAAGGCTTGGATTGGAGTCTGAGCTTTTCCATTTGTTACTAAATCTATACTCCGCGACAACTTTTCTTGGCAATGCAGTGGAAGGTACAGGCCCGCATCCCCTCTCCCATTTTGAGTGTGCGCGGGCTCTCCTCCTCTCCCCGGAAATGGGGGAGGAGGAGAGCCTGCGTACACTCAAAATGGAACAGGGGACGCGGGCCTGTACCTTCCACTGCGTTGCCAAGAAAAATTGTCGCGGAGTATAGTAGCTCTAACTGGATCTAGCCTAGTGTTGTGCCCTCAATTCAATCCAATCCAAGGTTTAATTAAATTTGTCAGCTGTTCCCTTTGCATCGAGTAGCACACTCTACATCAGGTGAGCAGAGCCTGCGCTCCGCTCAAAGCAGAATTTATTGCCTATTTTTCTGCCCCCAAGTCCTGAAGTCTTCGCTCGGGGCACTCAATGGCGTTTCCGGCTCATTTTCCCTGGCTGGGCTCACTTTTTGATAGTATCCCTGACAATTCCCCGATTTTTCCCGGTAATTAAAATTTCCCTGACAATTCCCGGTTTTCCTGGCCGCTAGACACCCAGGTGAGTATGCCCGAGTGTGAGTGAGTGCACGGTTAGTACATGTGTTTGAAACTGTGTAAATGTGAGGGTGTCCTAATGTGACTGTGTATTAGTGTGCAAATATGTGCCTGTGTGTGAATGAGCCCGAGTGAGTCTGCGTTAGTGTGTGTTTATATGTAAACTTGAGCATGTGTGAGTAAAAGGGAGTCAGTGAGTGTCTGTTGAGTGCATTACTCAGATATTCCCAGGCGAGTTTTTACACCTCTCAGTTTTGCTATAGACGGGCACTGTACAGTGCATCAATCTAGTCACTACTGCTGCCAGTGAACATTTAGGAAACCCAGTTCAAAGTTGTATTGAACCGGCCAAATTTCCATTTTACAGTGGTGAAGAGAGCTAATACTACAAGGCTGGCTAAATCCCCACTGCTAGAACATTTTTTTATCATTTCCTTCTCCTTTGCACCAAACTGGCCCCAATAAGCAATGTGACAGATTCTTTATTCCCTTGCGTACAAAAAAAAAAAAGAGCTTCGGTAAAAACGCCAGCCAGAGATGAAGCGAGGGTTTGTTGCCTTACACTACAACAGCGCCACTTAAACACATAGCTGCGACAACAAACATAATTGAAACAACACCAGTGATGGGCACAGAGTGGCCAGACAAAGATGAAAACAAAACGAGGGACGGTCACTCACCACCACCAGGCGAGCTGCACGTCAGATGTCGAGCTGGAGATGGTCACCAATGTTTCGTAGAGCTCGGTGATGTCCGATTCGGCTGCTCCCGTCTTTTTCATCAGCTCTCTGCATGCGAGACATTTCTTCTTAAATACCAGATGGCTGAGCAGAGAACACCTCTTGCACTATAAGTGCCCTCAAACTAATCCCTCCATTAAAAAAAAAAAAAAAAAAAAAAAAAAAAAAAGAAAAAATATTTGTGGTAAGTGCACTAAACTGGAGTTCAGCATACAACGCCTGTTTCTGACCTAATGTAAGTACAGCAGAGCCTCGCTCTAGTAAAGTCAATTTGAAAAAAACTACCTTCATATTGCCAGTGCACCAAATGACTGCACTGGCAGTCATTGGTGCACTGGCACCAATGACTGCCAGTGCAACAGTGAACAGAAAGAAAGGTACTGTCATAGATAAACATCTTGACTAGGGATGCACCAAATTTACTCGCATAATGAATGCACTTGTTTTGCAGAAAAATGGATATATTGCAGTGTGTTCATCACGCGAGGTAAATTTTTGTACATTTTCACCTTTTCACGTGCATTTACACGCCACGATACGGGCCGTATTATGGATCTTTTAATTTGTAACACTTCCGGGATTTCGAGAACATGCATACGGCCCAGGGATTAGTGATCATAAAGCTATTCTGTCTAAAGTCAAATTTGGGGGTTTTACGTGCCAAACCAACGACTGGCATCTGGCACGCCCCAGCGGAGGACTGAGGATTAATTTGGACCACCTGGGGATCTTTCGACTAAAACCGAAAGCTCGGCTACACGGCGTCTTCTCTGCAATAAGCCTCCATCAGATTGCGGGCGCCTCGGCCGGGACTCGAACCCGCCACATGGGGATCCGTAGGCCGATGCTCTCGCCTCGGAGCCACCGAGGTGGCTTATTCTGTCTGAGGTAAACTTAAATTGTGTAAGCAAGAGCAAATCACGTGAACGAATGGCATTTTTTTATGACCAAGCAGACTATGCAAAAATAAACTCTGTCCGAGTGCTCAAGCGTCAATGACCAATAGATAAAGCTAAACGAAAAACATATTTAGCTTGCGAGAAGAGTTTGTTCTATCACTTATGCTTACGCCAAAACGAGCATGCAACAAGCAGTGGTTCACATAAAAATTATGTGTATTACTCAGAAAAAAAAAAAAAAAAGAAAGAAATCTGAAGAAGGGTTTATTTTAAGTTCTGTGAGACACGGCTTCAGAGTAATCTCGCCCCCAAAATCTTGCATTTTGCTGGGGCCTTTTCTCGCCCCTCCTTCTCATACAGCATTTTGTCATGGGCGAATCTCGCTAAACTAAAAGAATTCATAAGAGTGGTTCGAGACACGTTGGAGCATACCAGTGATGCGATTGGTCCGAGTCATTTTGAAGCAGCTCTTGGAGCAGCCAAAATAACCTTTGTAGCATCATTTTTATTCATACCAATGCAGACATTATGTTAAGATTGAGGGGACACACCCCCTTGGAAGGTCAACATTTGAACCCTTGACTTAAAATCAATGAAATTGACAGGGTAGGCTGGTGGTCATGCTAGACGGTGCATAACAGAATTTCAGGTCTGTCGGTTAAATGAGAAGGAAATTAGAGCAGCTTCTATCAGCAACACGCCTAGGTTGTTTAGTCAATCTATCGTCAGAAAACTATCACAACATTGAAGATTTTTATTCGCTAGATATGTAGCAGAATGCCTAGAGGGTGCCTCTATGAAAAGTTCTCCATACAAAGTCTTATTTCTATAAATTTTTGCTTCTGCAAAGTTGGTCAACTTTATTTATAAGAAAACATTCGTAAAGTGACAAAAAAAAAATTTCATAGCCGCATTCCTTATTAAATTTCGGGCAGGAAAAGTGAAGAACGAGCCTTCCCTGTACTGCCATTATCAAACGATAGGTTGACTAAAATGAAACTTACACCAAAAAGGTGTAAAGGAGAAAAATGCATTCAAAATGCTCCAAAACCCTACCATTCCTTTAGCTTCGGTGGACAGAAAATAATTAATAAAAAAAATTAACTATGCAGTGTAAATTACTCAAACTTTCTGGGAATACTTTCTAGATGTCAGTGGATGTAAATATGCCATTTTTCAAAATCAACTTTTTTTTGCCGATATATTTTTTCTGGGTAGTGTTGGCACATCCAACTAAAAGGCAATGTCTACATTAACTTCTCACTTACATGTATCCCTTAGCTAGCATCAGCAGGAGTGAGTCCCTCAAACACAACTAGTGTTTAGTTGCATGGAGAAGCACCAGACAGGGTGAGAAGATGAACGAAGGAGGACAGCACAAACTGCTGTGAATGGTTATTTTAGGTACTGAATCTCACTGAAATAATACAATAATATAGAGCCCATAAATTAATGGTTCCTTCGAGTTCTAAAGGTTGTAACAAAACAGCAATTTATAACTCAGATAAAAAACAAAGCACTTGTCATTTGATTATGAACGTCAATTACCATTTTACCTGCAGAACTTCATAACAAACTTTCCACTCTGGTGAAGAAGGAAGACCAGCGAAGCTGTACTATGGTGGGAATGAAGTATTTATAAATGTAAGAATTAAGGTGTGATTGGGTAATTGAACGATAAAAGAATCGGACGTATATATTAAGATCCGGGGTTGTTATTTATTTTGTAACCACAGTGACATTGTGATGGCTGTGGTGCACCGCCATAGGGTGTACGCTAACGGCATGTCCGATGCCTGGTCATGCCTGGTCATGTCCGATGCCTGGTCATGGGCACCGCAGGTTCTTTCACACACGCAAGCTCGAAGCGCTCGACCATAAACGGAGCGAACCAGCATTTGTGACAACATACTGAATCATGCTGACGGAGAGCGTAGATTTAAGAGAGAGAGCAACTCAAACCACGGAGAGCATTTGCAATTTAATGAATCGAAGTCGAATTTGGGGGTTTTAAGTGCCAAACCTACGACGGGCATCTGGCACGCCCCAGCGGAGGACTGAGGATTAATTTCGACCACATGGGGATCTTTTGACGTGCAACCGAAAGTTCGGTTACACGGAGCCTTGTCCGCAATAAGCCTCTGTCATATTGCGGGCACCTCGGTTGGGATTCGAACCCGCCACCTGGGGATCCGTAGGCCGATGCTCTCGCCTCGGAGCCACCGAGGCGGCTGCAATTTAATGACTGGCGCCTCCTGGGCAGATTGGAGCAAGTGCATCTGATTTGGTTGCTTGCGGCCAGCGTGTCAAGGAAACCGGGCAGAGAGGCGGACACGTTTGCAGACACGTCGAATAAGAATTTAATGGCCGTTTTGCTGGCCAATGGGAATTCAACTGCCGTTTCGCTGCTACAGATGGTTATAGACAACGCTGGCTTTGCTCCATGGAACAGTTAATGCTTTCGCATTATAGCTCATTGGTGCAATACTTGGCTAATGGAATTAAATACTGATAAAAGTAAGAGAATGAGGGTATCACGCACAAAACCTGTATGTCCCACTTATTACATAAACAATGATACACTGGCATCTGTTTCAGTTTTCTTGGATTACCTACGTCGAGTATGTTGCAAGCCATGCTGACTGCATGCTGGGATATTTAAAATACAATTTTTTTCAAGCACCTTCATCCCTGAAACTAATATTGTTCAAGTGTCTAGTTCGTTCCAAATTAGAATATGCACCATCCGTACAGGATCCCAATCATCAAAGTCTTACCGATACATTAGAAGTCATCCAAAACAGAGCACCTCGCTTTATCTTGTCCAACTATCACCATACAGCCAGTGTCACTAACATGAAAACCACCTTGTCATTACCTAACTTGTCCTCCCGCCGTAAACACGCTCGTCTCTGTTTATTTCACAAGATCACAACCCATTACTACGCCAGAAACTTGTACTTCAACCATTTTGTCACTCGGCTTGCCTCGACCATATCCATAATGGTGGCATACGAAACTATAACGCTAACACTTTTAGTGTCTCATTTCTACGTTGCACATTAAAAAACTGGAATTACCTTCCTGCTTCAATAGCATCAATTACTGATACATCACTTTTTAAACAAACTCTTACTAACAGCACCCTTAGTTGATTTTAATTTACATTTTCTTTTTAGATTGTTCACTCCCCTCTATAATGTACCTTGTATATTAAGGATGAATAAATAAATAAATAAATGACAGGGAAATGTATTGAGCGGAAGTGGTCAATTACATGGCTGCGATCGTTCAAAAGCAACATTGTTCTTGAAAAAAGGCCGACGCGAAAAAGTAACATGTCTGTCTTTCTTCTTTGTCCTGTAGTGTTGCGGTCAGAAGGGTCTGTCTAAACGCAACCCAAGTTGCAACCAGTTGAGCGCAACAAAGAAAGAATGGTGCCAAGGGCCACGGTGCTACAAGGAGAAAAAAATCGGGAGTGGATACGGATGGGGCGTTACGTTTTTGGTTTAAAGATAATTGAAACTCATAAATTCGTAAATATTTATTCCTCATTTATTCTAAATATTCTCAATGGGAATAAAATCATGCGAGTTCGATTGCTGTTAAAAGAGAAAGAAACCTAGAGCTCCTCTTTGTAACGGACGGCACTGCCGCCGCGGTGGTAACGAGCGAGGTCTCTGTTGCCTCGACCCATGGAGTGTTTTCATCCGACTTCCTCCGATGCTCTAGTTGGGTCGCGGCGACAGGGGGTTGCAGCCTTCACAGTTCACCAAGTTATCGTAAAACGGAGTATATATGAGGTACAGACAATCGTCCCCACCCTTTTTCAGCCTCGAGGTTGTTTGTCAGGATTGAGGAAGAAAATCTTTGCGAGGGCACCAAGCCGTGCGCCCTTTGAGCAGTGTTGGGCTGCAGTACTGAGGAAATTATATCAACTCTGAAAACATACCACGAAAACATTGATGCCGAGTATAGCGGTTCACAAACGGCACCAAGGTACGTTCGAGGACGCAGTGAAAGTTTGGAATTCGCCAACTGTTTTGCACGCGACTCTAAGCTCTCTGCTCTACAAGATGCACCAGGTGCTCCCAGGAAGACGAGTGGCGGATATTGGACGACCTCTTTGAAACAATCGATTCAAAGGCACTTACATGTAGATGAGATGTGCGTGAACCGCCGAGCACTGGCTGTTCTTCGGGAGCTTCGGAAAGCCCACGCGAGACCTGCAAGAACAAACAAGGAAGATAAGGCAAGATTGACGCGAAAATAAAAAAAAAACAAAAAAAGGGGCAGAGAGGTGTCAAAGTGGTCATCTGCTTGCTCCTGTGACGCATTGTGAAAAGGACGGCGGGAGTTCCAGCGAGCGTCTCACATTTTTTTTTAGGCCAGAGAGCCACTCCCTTTTTAAATAAGTTTCTTCATCGCCATCGTAGAGCGGAGCCAACTGCAATGCACGCTCGTCCAGTGTGTCACCTGCATGTCAAACCACCCCTTGACCCCTCGTCCAACGACAGACACGCAGACCGACCCACCACCCGCATGTGCATGCGATAAGAGCAGTGGGCCATATTGTTTCGTGTTACAGATGAGAATTTTCCGGGAGAACGCTGTTGCATCCAAAAACATTTGAGCAGTTCGATGATAATCCAGTTTGTTGGGCATCGGCGTCGTGTTCACGAAATGCGATTCTGTCTGCATAGATCAGGGGTGGCCAAACCGCGGCTCTTTGGTGGTCCAAGTGCGGCTCGCGGATCCCTCATAAGTGGACCCCCCCCCCCCCCTGGCTCCTTTCCGCGTTTCCCCAGGAAAAACAGAAGGGATTTCAGGCAGAATAAAGTATGGCTCGCGGTTTGGCAGCCTTGTAACCCCCATACATACTGTCGTACAGCCTTGTGCACTCATACGTACAGTCAGACTCCGAACAAAATTTAAATTTGCCCTCCCCTCCCCCCCTCCCCTCCCCCCCGCGGCTCTTAGAAGTTTCGTGGTTTCGTTTGCGGCTCTTAGGCCGGGCCAGCCTGGCCACCCCTGGCATAGATAATGGTTACCGTTTATTTTCTATTGTCTATAAGCATTCATTTACTTCGACTGTATACACCTAGATAAAATTTACATTCACTTTCGGAGCAGCAAAAGTGGTTTTTGAAGCAGATATTCTTAGATAAATAAAAATATTTGTTTTAAGAGCTGTACAAATGAAGGTCAATTTGAGGTGTGTTGTGCTCTGATGTGACGTGCTGTGACGGAACTCGCTGCTTGTGCTTTTACTGCTGAGACCGCCCACAAGTGTACAATGCTATAGGCAATGCCGCGCAATTCCAAAAAACCTTTTGCCACCGTTTTACCAGTTCCCAACGTGTCAGACTTTCAACAAAAGTAAGCAAACATAAAACAGTGAGCTGCAAGCGCACCGGCTGGTGCCTTTGTCGTGCAATCATGTTCGCATGCACGTGAGGGCAACTTTGGCAGGCTTGCAGTTGCGCGTGCCTCTTCACGCGAGCGGAGACGACTGTTCGATCGAAACTTTACGACGTCTAGGACGGTGCCTAAAGGATAACGTCTCAGACGACCTTAAGAACGACTTCTAGGAAAACCTCGAACCGACCTTGAGGACAACGCCTAGAGCAGCGGTTCTCAACCACTGACGTTTCGCGGACCCCTTGTGGATTGGCGGAGATGATGTAGGACCCCGTTCGTGGTGAGGGGAAAGAAAAGTTATTGGTTAATTAAGATAGTGATTTAATAAATAGATACAACTGGGGGCCAGTGTGAAGTAGACTTCTCCTATTAACATATACACGAGAAAACGCACCCGAAAATTGCAACGTTCATTCTCAAGCTGAAAAAAGCCAACTTTTATTGCCTAGAAGTGGGGCTTCGCGGAAACCACTGGCCTTGAGGATGACGTCTAGGACGACCTCAAGGACAATTTCTAGGACTACGTTTAGGACGAACTCAAGGACAACTTCTAGGACGACCTTAAGGACGATGCCTAGGACAACTTCTCGGTTGACCTCAAGGACGACTTCTAGGATGACCCCGAGGACGACTTCTAGGACGACCTTGAGGACGGCATCTAGAACGACTCCTAGGATGATTTCGAGGACGACCTCAAGTACGACTTCTAGGACGACCTCGAGAACGATGCCTAGAGGACAACCTCGAGGATGATGTCTAAAACGGCCTCAAAGACGACTTTTAGGTCGACCTCTCGATGCCACGCCTAGAGATGATAACAAGGGGTCAGAACCTCACTATCTAATAATGCCAAGGAAGGCTAACTCACACTGGTTGCACCCTCTTTTTATTTTTATTTATTCATACTTGCCACTACCAATAGGGAGTTTCCTGTCAACAAGTGAGGATGGATTTTTTCCCAAACCCTAGCGTATAACAACTTTGCCGTAGATAAACCCCGTAACGTAACTCTGTGGTAACGTATCCACCTCGCACGCAGCAGACCCAGGTTAATTTTTCGTGGGCGGCAGGCAATCTTTTTCGAGGATTCGGCAGCATCGACGACAGACAGCCTAAGCCCTACTACTAAGAGTACAACTTCAACGACGACAACCACATCAACAACTACAACATCAACAACAAATGTCATTTTTGGTTGGGAACAGGGACGGCGCCAAGGGGATGCGAGGGGTGGCGGGCGCCTCCCCTAAACTTTCTTCTGCCACCCCAAGATGAAGCAGCTTTGTACACAAATAATTGCCTACGACGTCGGCTTGAAGACCCAGTGCAACGAGTGTCCAGACTTTAAAAATTGGCTTGCTCTTTATGTTTATATAGCCTTGATGGGGATGCGCCTCGACGGGTAATCGGTCTCTTAGCTGTAGATGAGAAATTTGGCCAGTGCGGTACAACCGCTAACCTGGGGTTTTTAACGTGCATCACGCAGTAGTGATCACACGAACGCGTGCCGGTACGAAACTCATCCAGATCGAAACGGGCCGGGGCGGCGGGGATAGAACCCAGGAGGTTCCCAGCGCAAGCTTTCGCTCCACGCTCCGAGCTCAGACGCGTTAGCCCACTCGGCCACTTCCTCCCGTCCAGACTTTAGAGCCGTTCATGCGTTTTATTTATTTTTTTCTATTAACTTCCAGCCACTGGAAGTCGTACCGCGGGTAGGGTGCCTTCATGCCTCCCTAACCGCGGGCGAGTAAGCTATCATGCGCTTTAGAAAAAGCAGCTTCCCTTTGTGACGCCTGCTTGCTTTTCTCCGTATTCCGCTCTGTGGTGCTTATCTTCAGCGGAGACCGGAGACGTGAACGAAGGTGAGCTTAGTTAAAGTCGAGGTCATGGGGAATTCCGGACTGTCTCAGAAAGGGAAGCAAAACCTGGTTGTGAGGCTGAGCACAGGGGGCAGAGGTCCCTGCTGTGATCCCCCCCCCCCCCCCCCCCGTCTTCCTCCTCGTGTCTCCGCATTTCCCTTTTCAATGAGCACACCGCATAAGCTATCTTGCATAAGCCCGTGGGCGACAGCACCTCAAAGCAACCGCCCCTCCCCCTCCCCCCCTCCCCCCCCCCCCCCCCCCCCCCCCCCCCCCCCCCCCCCCAATTTGGTTCGCCTCCCCACTGCCCCCCTATTATGAAGATCCTGGCGCCGTCCCTGGTTGGGAAGAGTACACCTGCCGCAGTGCGTCTTTTGCCTTCTTTAGAGCCAAAGAGCTTTTAGCCCCTTTACACATTCCAGCATTTGCAAGTGTAATGTCTTCAAGATGTGGACTCACTCAGTGGTGCCGTCATTGCGGGTGTCCGTCGAGAGAGCTTCCATGTGAAAGTGGGTGGCCACAAAGTCCTTGAGCAGTTCCCTGAGCTCAAAGCCCGAGAGCTCAAAGTTCCCGGTGGCCGCCTTGAACACCAGCCGGGCGTCCCCGGGAACTTGGGATAGGCCGTTCCTCAGCGCCTGAATGGGGGGAGGGGGGGGGGGGGGGAAAGCAAGACATGGGTCCTGAAACAGACTTCCTCATTGGTCCATTGTCCTTCCATTGTCCACTGGGCGAAGGTGTTTCAGCATGCTTTTAGTAATTCGTGCTTTTTATTAAAACAACTATATGAGCTCGATCATGCTGATAAAGACGCGCTCGGCTACCACCGCCAGTGAATACCTCCCCTTCTCGACCCATAGGTGGCGCACTGGTGCCTGTCAAAATGACTGTCACCTGGAAGATAATCGTAGAACGGCAGGAGGAGGTGGGGTCCGCGACGCGTGAGTAATTCTAGTTTTCTTTTAACTGCGAGCGACATAAGGAATTTACTTTGTACTTCCATGTCAGAAAGGTGTAAGCACGCATTTTCGTTGTGAAGCTCATCACCCAGCAGATAGTGAGTGCGATTCTCACACTGCGGTACCACCCTTGCCAAAAGTTTCGAACGGTGCACAGGGAGACCGCGCGAGGATAGACGGGAGACCTTGGTGGCCTGGGCGGTGTCTCCGAGGCGCAGGTGAAGTTCGGCCAGCTCGATCCAGCCCTCGGACCAAGTGGGGTTGTCCAGCAGCACGGAGTCGCACAGCGCCACCGCCTCCGAACCCCTGGGCGGGGAGGGCGACACCGGTCACGGGCACATCGACAGTCGAGGCGGAAAACATTCAAACGGACAAAATAAAACAAACAAACAAAACGGCAGGAAGCATAAAAGGGGAGCTCCGGCGGTTTTTCCAGCTACCCAAACTGAACAAATTTTCGGAGTGCCCGATCTGCACTTCTCCGGCATGCTTATCTCTCATCTCTAAATTCAAAACGGCGACTGAGAAAACGGCAAATAAAATTGACGCCGAAACCAACATGCAAATTTTCTCGCACTCTCCATTCGGAAGATGATGTTGTAGTCGAGTCAAGCAGGCAGTCCAAAAAACACAGTATTTCGTGCATGGTTTTCTTTTTATTTATTTTTTATGGCGTGAGCTAAACCAGCATTCATTTCACGCCATCAAACTTCTTGTGATCTGTCGGAAACAAACTGTACTTCCCCCAAACTGTCCTCTATTTGAGAACATTTAATGTCAAGTTCAGTCTTGCCAGTTGATCCTTTCAACCATTCAAACCAAATTTAAAACTTCAATACCTTAAAAAGAAAAAAAAAAAGTGACTTGTGACTGGTTTTTAGTTTAGATCTCTGTACGTAATGTGTGGAACCAAATTTTGAGGCAAATTTGAGACTATTAATATTTCGCCAGAAGACAAACTTTGGATTTGGTTGACTCGCATTCAGAACAAGTGTTGCAGAATCGTGGGTAATTTCCCACATTGTGGGAGAAAGCATGGCAGCTAGGCAATTTTCTCCCCATGGCAGCTAGAAACCCTAGTTCAGACAATTTAATAAATGCAATATAAATTTACTATACCACAGTGTGTTTGATAAAAATATTCTTCTAAATGTCTCACATTTTTACAGTTTAGTTAATGGGCTTCTTGCCTTCATCATTTAGTTCCCTTAGTTCATTCAACCAATGTAGAGTGTGGAAAAGAAAAGGGGGAAGGGGGGGGGGGAGGGGGACCAGTTTGCTGAACGTCCAACTCCTACATTTCGTAATTTATGCAAAGAAAATTTCTACAAAACAAGAACATAAGTGAGCAGTTGCTGTATTTAAAGACACTTGGCATCATACATATCCTAAAAATGAGTTTTGTCACTAAGTTAGTTCTGCGGGAAAAAAAAACAAAATTTTCGCCACTGGACGCGGGAAAAATTGAAGGGGCAGTGCAGCAACACTGTTCAGAACAAACACTTTAACAGTCTTAAAGCGTGAAACAGTTTACGTTTAGCTGTGCTTCTTTTTGCAAACATACATACGAGCTTCACATTCTTTATTCTTCCAAACTCCAAGCCTTGAGGGAAAGGCTTTTCACTCGGTGGCCGGCGGTCCGTTCAGTCGGGCTTGCCAGAGGCCGAACACGGAAATTAATGTGTGAAACATGAAAACAAGCAAGAATCGCGTCACGTCGACGCCACGACGTAACCCAACATTGTGCCATCCCGCGCAACAATTGTTACGGTTAAGCTGTTTGGCGGTGCGACGCGACTTCTGCTCGCACTCGTTTTAGGCTTAAAGACCATGAAGTGACTCCTTTTACTTTTGCCAAATAATCTTTACATTAAACTTTCAATGTTCGCTGAATGCCGAAAAGGCATCTGTTTCCATTTTCATTTATTAACTTCTACACGAAAAATTAATGAAATTTTGAGTTTTTCTTCCTCTACAACTCCCTGCAAAACAACCCGCGGAGTAATTTTGACGGTTGTGATGTGCGCTGTCACCGTAACCGGTAGTTCTCTCGGCAGTAGGAGAATGGGAGCGTCAGTGGCGAGCTGGCGGTGTGCCGGTAGGTTTTACCACAGGGTTTTACTGTGCTGATAGCGCCGATGCCACCGACATATTTTCTGAATCGGCACCTCTCATCGCCGCGATAGCCATGTAGACATCCCAGCTGAGCGTAATTCAATTAGATATGTTGTGCTACAGCGACAGCATGGGACTGGTCCCATACGCCGATACGCCTGTTGGAAAGTGCGGCAAGTCTTCCGACGAAAACTCCAGTTCCTCGTCGGAATGAAATGACAAGGAGTAACAACTCCAATGTTGTGGAGTCGTCAGAATGCTGAGCTCTGATTGGCTCTGATCGAAAGATAGAGGGTAGACCTCGAGGAAGCTTGCTTCGAGGTCTACCCACCATCCTTCAATCAGAGCCAATTGGAGCTCGGCATTCTGACGTCACTTAACCCTTGAAAAAGAAGCGGACAAACTTACACTTCACATAGCAAGATTTGGAACACGACACATTGTGCGGGCACCTTGAGCGTTGCCCGGACGGGTTTTGCCGCCTGCTTTGAGGTCCCATCTGTTTTGGGGTGTTGTATTCGTTTCAAGGTCCCGTTAGTTTCGGGTTCCCATCTGCATCTATGTTCCGTGGCAGGGTTCCCCCTGTTTCGGGGTCCCATTCCAAGTCCCACTCACATTCCCTGGGAGACCATCAGGGCCAGCTGGCTTGCAAAGAGGGGCAGGCACCTTTCGGGGCCGCCGAGCTCGTCTATGCCCTCGTGAAAGGCACAGCACAGGGCGTCGTACGACTGCGTCAGCGTCCGGCGCTCGTGCCAGGGGATCTCGAAGCAGTCCTGCACCAGAGTTGTAGAGTCCGTACTGTAAGCCTGCTGGAAGAGGTCTCCCCCTCTGCCGTGCACTTCAGCTGCCTCAGAACGGGGGAGCGTGGAAGTAACTACACGTCAACCCCCTCACCACATTAAGGCGGGTTCCCACCCTTGTGTTTAAGTGCTTCTGCTCTTAAAACCACTCATGACCCTTATGACAAGATTAGAGCACTGGATATCCCGACTTATCCAAGTACCGCCGTCGTTTGATTATGCCGTGGGCTCTCCTCTTGGATGCCGGTGACACAACGCCATTTTCGGCTCATGGTGTATCCCACCTTCAGACACGCAGGCTCCTATGCGGAGCGCAGGTTCGTCTGCTTCTTGCGATGGTGTCAGAATGCCGAGCTCTTATTGGCCGAGTGAAAAAAAGTAGTGAGTAGACCGCACTGAAGTCTACCCACTATCTTTCCAATCAAAGCCAATCAGAGCTTGGCGTCGTTCTGATGTTACCGCAACTCCTGCGCAAGAAGCAGATGACTTGCTCTCCATATTGGTCTGCCGTGGCTGCCGGTGACGTGCCGCCATTTGCGAGCACACTCCTATCGGTCTAATGTAGATGCCGGTGCTTGCCTCTGCTACAAACTAGAATGGCGGCAATGCTCAGCCATTTTTGGTTAAGTGTATCCGAGCCTGCACCAGCTTGGAGGTACTTGTTTACAAAATCCATCCAGCGCTTTAGACAAGATAACACACTAGTGCCATCTATCAGGGAGCCCTGAAATAGTTCTGCTCCACATGTGCACTTCTTTCGCAGATGCACAGACACCTTGAATGTTGTCACTTCTGGTATGCATTAAAACAACATTTCATCCCTCCACGCCACTGAAAGGTGTTCACGAAAAACTTGGAGGATGCTTAAACTCAGCTTTTAAGGGTGAAAAGCAATAGCGTTATCGAGCCCCATTGGCATCACCTTCTCATTCGCTTCTCATGCTCTTCCTGCCAGTGAGCAGGAAGTGCGGCGGGCACGGCCCAGTTGGTAGCGTGTCTGGCTCGCAACCGAACGGTCGTGGGTTCAAGTCTTGCCCAAAAATTCTTCAAATTTTTTTTAAGGCAAATGAATTACTTTATTAGGTGAAACCATTTGAAACATGCGGCAGTCATTAATTCGCACTACATGTCATTTTTTAATCCCTTTCATTTTATGCGTGACATCGCGCTTCACGCGAGCATTGTGTGTTGTTCGAAATTCCCATGTAAGGTCATGCGGCTGTGACGTCGTGACCTTATCGACCAATCAGAAGATTTCACATCGTGCAATCGACATACTGGGCAAGCGCCCACTTAAACTTTGGAGATAATTGCAAAAAAATGGTGGATGGGCGCTTGTCCGGTCATCAATTTTACATATAAAGGCCCGTTCACACTCTTGCGACCTCTGAAAACTGGGTTCCTTGAAAGCTCTTGCAACGAGAGGACACACTGGCGCCATCTATTGGGTAGCAGTGTAAACTTGGCGGTCCGGCATATTTTCAATTTCTCTCGCGCATTATCCTTTCTTTCTTGACTCAAAAGACTTTTGTTAACATTATAAACGAGCCTTGCTTACAGGTATTACGCACATTTGACCTCGGAAATACCGCAAATCCTTCGCTCTCATGAACTGCAGTCCCAGGGTCACCGTATAGATGGCGCCAGTGTGTTCTCTCGTCCTAAGAAATAGTAAGAGGTTTTAACAAGTCTCGTCTCTCTCGGTCGTACTTGTTTGCAAGAGTGTGAATGGGCCTTTAATGTACCGTGCGTATTTTCTCAGATCTTACGAATTTGGTAATGGGCGCTTAATGTGGAATGGGTGGATGCGCGGTATTCTACGGTAGACTTTTCTGGTACACGAGCTCCTCGCTCCAAAAACAAGAATGTGTGATTGTCACACATTCTTGTTTTGCCTCACCTATACATTCTCGCATTTCAGGTTCAAATGTCGTATTCTTTCGTCCTGCACACCGAATACGAAACCCACGTTACCAAAAACGAAAGGAAACGAAAAATGTCAAATTAAACTGAAGGTTTCGCGGTATTTGTAAGGTCAAGTCTACACACTATCTATTAGAAAGGGTTGCTCACAACATTGTCGGAATTGCCCGAAGGACGTGGCGAAAGAGCAACGCATAAAAAATCTCTGGAAATATACTTAGGTCAGAAACGTTCCGGGGCTACCACATTGACGGTGCCAGCGGTCTCGATTGAATGCAAATGTGCAAACAGGCCCTCGGGGACACGTTTCCTTTATCGGTGGTGGAAGTGCTTCTGGTACCTTGCTGCACAGCCTCCCCAAGGAGCCCCGCTCGGTGGAGAAGAGGCACGCTGGCAGGTGTCGGAACTCCACGAAGTACAGGAAGCAGAGCCAGAGGAAGCACAGGTCGTTGGGGCTGAGCAGCATGTTGGCGCATTGCAGGATGTCCTGGGTGGTTGCATCCATCAGCTCCCCGGCCTCGGGCTCAACCACAAAGTGCTCAAAGCCAATCACAGACTTCACCGCCGTCTGTGGGGAAGGTGAGAACAGAGACCGGACGAGGAGATTCCGTAAGCTGTTTCGATCGGTTGCTATTCCATGCTTCGCAGACGGGTGATGTATTCGCTGTGTTCAGTGGGAGTCGATGCTACGAGGGCGTAGCGGTATTTGGCAGGTAGACTTCCGATAGTGTATTTATTTGTTCTTCGGCAACGCACAGCAATCGGATAAGAAGCTTTCCATAATACGTTTGCAAGAACTTGCATGCATTGTAGAAAGTGGTAGAAATAAAAAAAAAATGCGAAACTAAAAAAGCCGTTTACAACTCCATGCAACATGCCGAATTAAAGCGCAGCTCTTAAGGACGGGGAGGGGAAGGTACGGAGAGGAGGCTATGCCCCTCTTCCTCTCCTGCTCGCCTCCCATTTAGGGGAAAATGTACTGCTAAATTTAGCGGGGAAATTTACCCGTAATGCACCGCGTGGTTACGCCGACGCCGCACAAGCCGGAAACAGGCGCCTAAGAGCTGCGCTCTAAAAGAAAGGAGAAAATCTGTAAGTGTACAGGGGTCCACTGGCAGCGAGCTTGTTTGCAAACAAACATCGGTGAATTGACCTTTTTCCAGTAATAAGCGCCGTCTGGGGAGTTGTCTTTGAACTACAAATGAAGGGCAGCCCAGCTCGCTTCGCCCGTCAGAATACATCAGCATCGTGCCGTTGTATTGATCTTCATTGCCTTTTACGCCCCATACTAGCACACACAAACAAGAATCGTTAAAAAAGACGAAATATGCGCAAAGATAGGTACTGAGTGTGTTGGTCGACCAGAACTTTACCCTGCGAAAATGGCAACAGTGGAAAACAAGGCCAGCGGAGGGGGCGTTCGCATGTGAAGAAGTTTACTGCAAAAATGTCTATTGACTGTGAATTTCAGATGGTCAGAACGTATCAAGTGTTGCTTTGCAGTGACATTGCACAAAAGAACTCGGTACGCATATTATGCCTCGACGGCACAAACTTTGTCGTGCTTGAAGTCGACAGGATTGTTCAGACACCATGCAACGTCGTGAATGCTGAGGGACTCCAACGAGCAACGGACCAAGTGAATGGCAAACATTTAGTGGAAGCTTTTCTAAAGTTAGCGCCCTGGCAGGAGTGGAACGCAGAGCGTGCGTTCTTGTGGTCGCACATCCCAGCTTTGAACTTGCCATTTCGCGCCTCCCCGCGACCTCCTAAGTATGTGCCTGCTCTCTTCCTTCTTGCCTCCAGCACACCTGCCGACCACACGTGCGAGTGTGTTCACACGTAGACGACACGGCAATAGTGCCGAACTTTCTGTCATGTACCAGAGGCCAGCTTGGGGTTACGGATTGGGCACGACTGCGGCGTCAGCATTTGGCTGGGGCTCTCATCAATCGGTGAGGGTGCCGTAACGGCAGATCCTACAAGCTGGTTTGGCAACCCAGCCACCCACTCTATGGCATCTGGGGATATGGTCCCCGGGGGCACCACTAAACGTTTGTCATTCATTTTGTCCGTTGCTCGTCAAAGTCTCTTAACATGCGCGACATTAGACGGTGTCAGAACAATCCCGCTAACTGCCCCAACACTGACATAAGCCACAACGCCCACTACAGAAGGATTCGAGCCTCCAGAGGGACTCCAACGGGCTGGTAACATCGTGCAAAACTGAAAAAAATTTGTCAATGAGTGGTGCTCTTCTTGGAAACCAGGGAACCGGAGAAACCATGCTCGGCGAAACAGAAGGCGTCAATACTCGTACAAGTCGCAGGACCAAAGTGTTCAACACCTTCCGATGCACCGATGCCGAACGCAGAGATTACGGCGTCCTCGTCCGGAAATTTGAAGGCTACTGCACGCCTTGCTGTAAGGAGATGTGGGAATGCTACATCTTTCGACCTTGGATGCAGAAAGAGCTTGAGCCTTTCAAGAACCACTTTTGGGATCTGCAGCTGAAAATTGAATTGTGCAATTTTGCCAGCCTCACCAAGTCTATGATGCGAGACCAGAACGTGTACTGCGCCGTCGACAAAGAACTACAGGAATGCACGCTTCGAGAGGGCTCAACTCTGGAGTTCAGTTCTGGAGTGCAGTTAAGCAAAACGGCCAAACTAATGCAAACACAGAAAAAGGCCCGGGAAGCGCCAGAGCACCTCCTCGTGCCAGTTTCGACGCAACAGAAAGACACTAGAACCCGAAAATGTAGCAGATGCAGTCGGCAACACGAGCCAAGATGCTGCCCTGTGTACGGAGGAGTCCGCTCGAAGCGCCAGAGGAAAAATCAGAGGACCGTGTGCTGTGGGTAGCAGTACCGCGGACACGCTGATCAGGGGGCAACCGACGGCATCACGTGCGACCACAACGACCTTGCTGTGCTGGAGGGGCAGGCGGTCTCAGGAGACGAGGCAGGTAGGCCGGCGGAGGCAACGGTCGTTAACCAAACGAATGGTGCCCCCGGGAGCCATATCAACACACGCTCAAATTACACCTCGACCCGATGCGGCAAAGTGAATGTCTGCTTTTTTCCTCTTCCTTTCTGCTGCTCCACCTCGTGCCCTTTCTCTGGGAAAGGTCGGAGAGCGCTCGTTTCATGGAGCAGAGCGTCGCTGTATGTCCGAGCACGTGATGTTATTTTTTCCCTGCCAGGAGTTACGCGAAGTTGCTCGAGGGAAGAGGGTCGGCCAACACTTCTGTCCAATCAGTGAGGAGACGAGCGCCGTGTTAACGTTCAGCTTGCAGTCGGCCCCTCGACTTCCGTCGCTGGCAGCTAACCAGATATGTTTAGGTGCCAGCCACGTAACACACTCCGCGTTGAAATTTCGGTACTTTGGGTAACCCTCGGCTTGCTGGGGATGAACCCGCGGCCCCAAACACAGCCCCGAGTTCACGCTTGGCCCCCACCTTGAGGATGAGGAAGGCCAGGGCCAGGTTCCCCGAGAGGGAGCTCAGGCGTGCCCAGTACAGCAGCACCTCCAGGATCCAGCCGGAATCCGGTGTGGTGTCGCCCTTGGCCAGTCCCTGGGTCAGGTGGTACAGCTGCTGCTGGCACAGCTGGCCCTGGGCCTGGACCCCTTCCGCCAGGGTCACGCTCTGTGCCCGATGAACCGTTCCAGTCAAGGTTAAGGGAGGACACTACGCGAAAGGGTCAACTTGTGAACCTTTGGCTTAATATGAATGTAATTTACAGTATATAGAGGCAGTTGTGAGGCAGGATGCAATGCAAATTTGTATCTGCATACATAAATTTTGAAAAAAATTATAGCTGTTTTTATCAGGAACAAACTGACATTGTTTAGGAAAACTGTCCTTAGAAAACTGACGTAATACTCAACATTTTTCTTCACCTGATATGCCGCAGGATGCCTAGACAGTGCAAAATGTGAAAACAAATTTTCCAAAACAATTTAGTTTGTGCTAACATTCCACTGAAAAATCTAATCATTTTTTTGCTTTCTATGTCGTCGACAAAATCTTAACATTTGAATAAAAGACACCTAGAAAGTAAAAAAAAAAAAAAAAAAAAAGCCACAGTTGTATTGGTTATTAAATTCCAATTAGAAAAAACAATGAGTGAGCTTTTTCGTTTGTCCAGTTACCGAATGATAGCTTTCCTGAAGCAAAATTTACGCTGAGAAGTGGAACGGAGAAAAACACGTTCAAAGTGCTCGAATCTCGACCTTTTCTTTAGCATCGGTGGACCGAAAATAAATCATAAAAAATAACTATGTAGTGTAAACAAATTAAACTTTTTGGTAGGGGTGTGCGAATACTCGAATATACGAATTCGAATCGAATAGAAAGTTCCCGAATAATTCGATTCGCGAATCGCATTCCTAGTATTCGGTCACTCGAATATTCAAGATATTCGGCCAAAGACACGCGGTCGGTGCTGAGCTGACAAAAAAGCCGTTCTTTCTCCCGATATAAGCGCCGTGATATTAGACAGACCATGCGAGAAACACCTCTTGGTCCTACCATTCCACAAAAATCTAACGCGCAGGTTAGAAAAAAGAAAATTAACGAGCGCCACAAACTTTATAGCACGCAGATTTACTCACGATCGTGACACAATCTTCCCTTGAATCACAACTGAAACATCCCGTTACGCCGCGCCATGCCTAATTTTTTTTCACGAGCGCCGATGTCGAACGCACTTGCCGCATTCACGGAAATCGGCGATTGCACGATCACACAAAGAAAACTACGTTAACCACGCCGATGAAACCAGCCGAGTTATCGTCGCCGTTCTTTTGGAGCTGCAAGCCGCACATTCTGATTCGGAACAAAACGGAACGGAAAAATAGTGTGCCTAGATTTGAGAGGGTTTCCAACCGTTCAATAGCCGCGTTTGAATTACGAACTGCGAGAAGGTGACGAAAAGACGAAAGCGTCGACCGGGATCGGGCAGGCAGGGCAGGCGTCGTCGCTCTTTTGTTTGCTTGCCTTCTTTCCACGCGACAACACAAGCACACTTACGACCAACCTGCGCTGGAGCAGTCTTCGTAATTTAAGTTTCACTTGCTCCCTCTTTTAAATCAAGTTTCTCTAAAACAGGATAGATAGACGGAAAAATGGATGCATAGCGGCAGTTGGACGGTGACTTGCACCACCTAACCAAGTTTTGTTTCCTTGCTTCAGATTATATTGTTTAAGGGGGGAGGCTGGTCCTTAAAATTTCATTTTTTATTTTTCATTTATTGTGCTGAAATTTAGTATACTGATGTATTTCTCAGTGGTGATTTCAAATATACGATTATTTTTCAGATAGCTTTACTAGATCCTTAATTAGTAATAAATTTTTAATTTTAATTAGGTCCTCCTTACAGGCCGTTACCATAAAATTCTTCAGAATATAACAGAAACTTTTGTAGAATTGCATTCACCAGGACATGTTTTGTGCGGTGATGCTATTTTAAGCCTGATATAATGATATTACATTGGTAAAAAACATTTGCAATCAAGTTGCACAAAACGGGAGGCTACATTTTTTTGAGACTAATTAATTAAAATTATTGTATGAGCTATAAAGCAACAAAAATAGCATCACCGCACAAAATATATCCTGATGAGTGCAATTCTATAAATATTACTGATATATTCTGTAAAATTTTACGCTAACGACCCGTGAAGAGGACCTAATTAAAAGGACTAATTTATTGATAACTCAAAATCTAGTAAAGCTACCTGAAAACTAATTGCATATTTGAAATCGCCACTGAGAAATACATCAGTATACTAAATTTCAGCACGATAAATGAAAGATAAAAAACACAAAGTTAAAGACCAGCCTCCCCCCTTAAGCCTGTTTACCCAGATTTAACACCTATCTGTTTATTTATGCGAAATAAAATCCCCGGTGTCCTTTTTCTTCCTTAAAATGGAGACCAAATATCGCAAAATGCTCCTTTTCTGAGATACACAAATATTTTTTAAAAAACGTCGCGATGTTAGGTTGTGCTTTTAATGAGAAAAAAAAGGCACGCGTGGCTGTAACTTTTTTTTTTTGCGACGTTTAGGGTAGATAAATTATGTTTGCGCCATAAAATTGAATCTTTAGTGGCCAACGTCCAACAGCAACTGCTTTTATTTTTTTACCAGAACTTTTTTTACATTTTTGCTTTTGTTCCGTACAAGATGCATATTCTACACCAGGCGCATACTCTGCACATATAATAGTCTCATTTGCAGCACGCTTTGAAAAATTCCTACATATGAAATCACTGTTCAATATTCGATTCAATATTCGGCTTTTTTTTCTTGATTCGATTCGGTATTCGATTCGAAAACTACTATTCGGTATTCGCACACCCCTACTTTTCGGGAATTCTTTCTAGAAGTTGGTGAACATGACACTTTTCAAACAAACTTTTTTGTTTGCAATCTTTTCTTTTGGGGTAGTGTTTTTTTTCTTTTTATGAGTTTACAGTCAAAACCGTTTATAACAAACAGCAGGAAATGCTACGATCAGTTCGATATAGCAGGTAATTCGATATAGAAAAAACTATTTATAACGAACTTCCACGATGCGTTTGTTGTAAGGCGAGAGCTTCTCTTTCTTTCTCATCTTTTAGCTTCCGCCTTGTAACAATGCGCTAAATTTTTTTTGTTTTTTTGTGGCATGCATGCAGAGTTTGTGTCTTTAGCTTCTGAATCGCTTCTTTTCGTGAGCAATGGTTTTGGGATGAAAGTTCTTTTTTTGTTTTTTTTTGTGTGCATTAAGAGTGTATTTTTTTTTAGCTTTCTCCCCCTTCTGAATTGCCTCTTTTCACTCAATTTTGTTTGCAACTTGAGCTTTTGGAATTTTCTTTCTTTCTTACTTTTTTTTGGAGAAAAGGGACAGGGTAGAAGATGAATGTTCGTGCATTTTTGGAAGCCTTCCCACAGGAAAAAAGTTTGATATAGCCAATATGTTGTTCGTTATATAAAGTACTTTTTACATGCATTTTTATTTAAAATTTTTGTGAGTTCGATATTGACAATATTTCGCTGTACGTGGGTTCGTTCTAAACGAGTTTCACTATAGTTACTGTCCATCCAAACCTAAGCTGACAGTGCAGTGGGGAAGCTATGTGCACATTGGACCAGCCGTACATCTTTTCCATTGCACGATCATGTTCCCGCCCGTAGACCCCACGGAGAGAAGCGTCAGGTGATAAAACGGAGGTGATTGTAGTACTGTCAACTGGGGTGAATGGAGCACAGAAGTCGAAAGTTGATTCGATGGGTTCAACCCAAGACGGCCCAAGACGCGAGCCAAAAGGTAGACAAAGTGGTCAAGAGCTCGGTCAAGGAATCTTGCAAGAGTGCCCAGAGGAGAAGTCGATAGGTTCGGGGAAAATCTCTGGCTTATTGCACTCCGATAATGTGACAAAGAATGATTCAAAAGAACAGTTTGACAAGAGAGCTCAGAGTGCATGAAGATGCTTTACCTCATAGCTTTGCATCACTCGCCAGCGCAAACTAATGTGCGCACGCATAATAAGAAAGCACGAAATAATCCACAGATTGCTGGTCGCCCTCGAAGAGTGGAACTAACCCGTCAAATAAATAATGGTTCAACATCCTAGATGAAGAGCCACAGTGCCACAATGTCTTATCTACAATATTTACAAACATAGAACCACCATTCGAAGACATCCACTGTCGAAGCTGCTCCAGAGCTCGTGGATCTTTCGTGACTGCCTCTTCTTCTTCTTCTTCTTTACACTGGTCACTATATAGTATTTGCTCACGACCGCACAATGTTATGCCAAGGAGAACAGCAGAAACTGAGGGCAACCATAAAGGATCCACTAGCCCGAAAAGTTGAAGAATCCCCCAATTACGAAGTCCCAACATTTAACGCTGTCAATCTCCTTTTGTAAAATGGTGCAACTGCGAGCGCATCCACCATCCATCAGGTGAAGTTACCAACAATCTCTCTCTGTAAAGGGTGCAACTGCGACCGCACGCGCCGTCCGCCAGACGGAGCTACCGACAGTCACTTTTTGTCAGAAGCAAAGCTGCGAGCCCACCCACCTTCCACCAGACGGAGTTGTGCGGGCAGTAGTCCAGCGCACGGCGGCAGAGGTAGGCCAGGTCCTGGCACTGCGGGTGTGCCCCGTACCATCCCAGGTAGTGACACCACACCTCCGGACTGCCCCGGTTGCTCTCCAGGGCTTGAGAGAACACGTGCAGGGCCTGGTCCAGCCTGGACTCTGGGTCACCCCTAGGGGAGGGGGAGAGAGAATAGGTTCCTTTTGGATGCCATCCAGGCATCTAACGTTTAGGAAAGTGCTAACACGATTAGATGTCTTTGCAAAAATCACTGTCTCTCGAGTGGAATCCAACCCACAAACCCTTACTCATTTGTCCAATGCTCTACAACTGTGCTACTGAGCACCTTAGAAAAGCGTAACTTCAGGTGCTACGCACGTACTCGTGCGGCTGCAAAGAATGCAGCCTAGGAAAAAGAATATAACAATATTAAGAGGGGACACTACCCAAAAATTGCGGTGGCTTAGCTCGACTATGCTAGGATATACCGTATTTACTCGCAGAATGAACGCACTTTTTTTTCCGAAAAATCGATGCAAAGTTAAGGGGGCGTTCATTACGCGAAGTAAAATTTTTGCATCGGTTATTTACTCGCATAATGAACAGACATTTTATCCTGAAAAATCGAAGTAACTTCTTATCTCCCTGCGCGCGGCGCCCGACCCCGTAACCAAACTGAGCTGTGCAAAAAAAAAAAAAAAAACCTGTTTTCTTTTTCTCTTAGTTCCTTATTTTTTTTGCCGCCTTTCCCAAGCAGTTTTGTTTGCTTAGGCGTTGCTTAGGCGAGGGCTCTCCGCTTATCTTTCTTATCTCCTTGCGCGCGGCGCGCGACGCACGACCCCAGGTAACCAAACTGCGCTCCGCAAAACAAAAAGAAGAAAAAAAAGCTCCTCTTTTTCTTGTTTTTTTTTTCTCAGTTCCGTGGGTTGTTATTTTTTTTTCCTCCTTTGGCAAGCTGTTTCGTTTGCTTAGAGGTCTTCTCCGCTCCTCTTTGTTACCTCCTTGCGCGCGGCGCGCGACCACCGTAACCAAACTGCGCTGTGCAAAAAAAAAAAAAAGAAAGAAAAAAAAGGCTTTTCTGTTTGTTTTCTTTTAGTTCGGTGGGTTTCTTTTCTTTCTTTTTGCCGCCTTTCGCAAGCTGTTTCGTTCGCTTAGAGCGCTTCTCCGCTTCTCTTTCTTACCTCCTTCTCGCGAACCCAAAGTCCAGACTGCCCTGTGCGAAAAAAAAAAAAAGCTCCTCTCGCATGTTTTTTTTCTTGCTTCGGTTGGATCTCTCGCATTTTTTGAACGCCTTTTGCAAGGCGTTTTGTTCGACCACGCTACGCTGCCCATGCATTCGCGACCTCGCTGCACCAGGATAGAAAAGTGCGTTAATTTCGCGCGCGTGGGAGGAGGGGGTCAAAATTTTGACGTCCGAGTTGGGGGTGCGTTTATTACGCGAGTGAAAAAAAAAGTCGAAATTTTGAGAGCCGACTTGGGGGGTGCGTTCATTACGCGAGTGCGTTCATTGTGCGAGGAAATACGGTACATAGCATGAGCTTATACGCACAAAATGAGAGGCGCTATCAAGCGGCTCGGTGCAGCGTCAGACTTGGCTACTGCGCAACGAAGGCGCACAGCTGGGCACGCGGTGGCGCTAGTGCGTCTGCCGCGTCTATGACATCACTTTTCTGGAATGCGCAGACCGGCAAGGCGCGCACAATGGTGACGGCTCCGGCGCACCAGCTGTGCGCCGTGTGACGTCACTACGCCTCACGCTTGAGCAGCACAGCTCTTTGACAGTCACGCGAAACTGCTCAACCTCGGCCAGTGTAGCTCACGCTACAAAAAACTGGATTTGGAAGGGGGGTATCTGCTCCCCCCCTGGCTACACCACTGCTCTCGGGATGTTACGGTAAGCTCCCTTTGTCGTGCTCCATGCGCCCACAGCGCGTGTGAGGCCTAAAGATGCCCCGGCACCCGGCCCGGGGGCGCGGCGCACTTACCCGCGCCGGTTGTGCAGGTGGCGGTAGGCGAGGCGCAGCCAGAGCTCCACGTTGTGCGGCTCCTGGGCCACCACCTCCTCCAGGGCCTGGATGCCCAGGTGGCACGAGTCGAAGTAGCGCACCTCCGGCTCCAGGTCCGCCAGCTCGGGGTCCTCGCTGGGCTCCAGCCTCCGCTGCAGCAGGCTCTTCCAGTCTGTGGGGAGTGGGGCCCAACAGTGAGGACCACCCGCAGAACGGCCCATTGCACGGCGACGGTATTGAATCATTCGCATGAGAGAGATGCACGTGACGTTGGCGGAACCGGTGGGACCAATTTTTTTTCTTGCTTTTTAGAACGCTAACGGGTGGAGAACAAACTTTAGAATTCTAAAAACCCAGAAAATATGTTTAACCGGTACGCTCTCCCGCTTTTATCTACGTTTATCAGTGGGACTCCCTCACTGGCTTTGGCATTCACATGGACGACAGGAAGGCTAGAGGGACGTCGGTGTTGGCAGACGCACTTGGCGGTGGCACTTTCGACAACGAGGGTCGGTGCACATTCACAAGGGTAGAAAAATGGAAGGTGTACACTAGAAGGCGGTATGCGATTATGGCCGCAGCGCCGTCAGATACGGAAAAAAAAAACGCTTCCTACTAAAAGTAGCGCGGGGTGAAAGGGTGGATGCAACACGAAAGACGTGGAATCCAAAACCGGTTGCACGAGAACCCGCACGAGGACGACACTAACGAGCGTTGAATACTCCTTCATGAAAACAAAAAAAGGAAACGTCTAATGAGCCGACGACCTGCACAGGCCACAATGAGTTACGCGATCTGGATGCCACCGCCGATGCCACCGCAGTCCTGGCGGCGTCACAGCAGTAGTGGTGGCAGACGCCTGTTCTGCTGCAGGTCGCTCTTCCAACTGGACAGTTCTTTTACAGCGGTAGGTGTTAGAGCCCGTTCCCGGCAAAAGATGCCCATATGTGAACTCCAAACCTTACTCTCCAGCAGAGGCACTGCACTCTCTCTCTCTGTTGTTCCTCCCACCAATAAGGCTCTTTCTCGCTCTCTCCCCCCCTTCCCCCCCTGCAGGCCGCCGCTGTTCCAAAACCCACGCGATCGTGAGAAAATTGCTCTCCCTTCATCCACCCCAACCCACCCCGGCAGCCGCTGTTGCGAAATACCCAGGCGGCCGCACTGTGTGGACACGCTCCCAAGGTATGTATGCGAGCTGTTCTGTAGAGGTGCTAAGCCCCTCTAGAGAACAGTTCGCATACATACACACCAAAGCATGCATCTCCTCATACATGTCAACCTACATCAACTCCACTGAAAGCAAAGAACTCTTTACAAAGATTGTACAGCACACTGGCTGAAGGAAAATATCCTTCAATGTGCCTTTCCATGACGCAGCAGCTGCCGCTGTCAATCGCGGCACACTTTGCGCGGTCGTTTGCAATTTTTTGCCAGAACTCCTACGGCCGACTGCCAGGCCCGTGACGTGGATCCTGCGATGCACTTTGTTGTCCCTCTGGGACCACCTTCGAAGCAAGGACGGTGTAGGACACTAAACACGCCGGTCAAAGATGCATTCTTTGTATTTCAGAGAGAACTATTTGTGCTATAATAGTTTTGTTGCAACACTTCGTGATGTGCTAGGCTTAAAAACGAGATTAGGATAGATAACAGCGCAAGTTGGTAAAAGTTCATGTTGAAAAAACAGTGCGACTGTTTTTTTCAACATTTACGAGATCGCCCAGCAAGCGCGTGAACATTTGACTCCATGTTTTCTTTTTGTTTCTTTCTTCCTTATGTTCTAATAACAAACCAGTCATTAGTCAGCGCTTGTCTTGCATTCTTTGTCTTTTTGTTTTTGTCCCAGTTGTGCGCTTTTTTCAACATCAAAAACCAGCTTTAAAGCACATTTTGTTTTAACATGAAAATGAAAGATCTTAAGAATAAAAGGAAGTACCTTTCTTCGGTGCCAGTAACGTCGGCTTCTCGGCCGCTTCCGGAGACCTCGATGCCCCCACCGGTCCTTGGCACTGTCGCAGCGACCACCGGCGCTTCTCCAGGCTCGAGTAGTGCGGAGCGGCTGGACCCAACGACGCAAAAAATTGAAACAGGTCGGTCTCAACTCCATCCCTTACGCAACCCCACCCCCTCAAACTATAAGGTAGTGAGCTGCCAAAGGAGCACTGCTATGTTTCCTTCTCCGCCGGGCTGACAGGGCAATGCAAGCGACGTGCTCGCTAGGTAAGTCCGCCGCCAGCCTTGCATCGCATGGCGATGCTATCTGCGCATTCAAGAGTGCAGAAAGTTGGGTCGGGCAGAGAAAGGCTGACAGTCGAATGGTCCGGTGAACGCACACTGCCCCGTCAGCTGGGCAATGAATGGGGAGCAGCACCGAGGCTGCTCGGAAAGCTTGCAACACGCATTTTCTCGTGGCCAAGAGTCATTTCAAGCAGGAAGTTTGTGCACGGTACTTTGACATTCTATGGTTTGGTAGCGCAGTGTGACGGAGAAATGCTGGTATAGATTCCCATTCCAGATGTCAGCCGTGTGCGACATCCTTGGCCAGGTATGTCGCACAAAGTCGCAATCCTCCCGCCAGAAGTTCTGAAATCTGACCCTCGATTTCTACTTTCCATTCCAGAGAGGAAACCGATTATTCTTTCGTGAAGATGAGAAGGGAAGAGTGAGAGAAGGACACTCTGAAAGGGTTTTCTGCCAGGCAGAGAACGATTTTGCAGGTTGGCCTTCAGGATGACAGCTCCTACTGTCATCATCCATAGGAATTGCCGATAGGGCGACTCTTCACTCGAAACAACTTCACTTGTCCCATTCCCCCCCTCCAAAACAGTCGACCAAGTGACAACAAGTTGCCGCATTGGCGTTAGCGTGGCGCCCAACCGGATATGGTTAGGTACCAGCCATAGAACACATTCTGTGTTAAAAGAATTACCGTAAAATATTGTGGAAGCACCCACTTCGTTCAAGCTCCCCCCCATTCGGGGATTTTACGGTAAGTGCGGTACTTGTGCCCCCAAACAGTATATGCAATCCGTTCACTTTCAGGGCACGAAAGACTAAGCCCATCACTAAGATAGAACATCTGTTCAGCTGAGAGTAACCGCAATCGCTCGGATCAAATGCAGCCTTTCACAAACAAAACCCAAAAGTCTACTTTTCAAACAGCAGAACAAATCATTGCAGAGTGCACAATCCTAAACAGCCTAAAGGAGAGCGCAAATTTCAACTTCGTTAGCACGAGGGATGGCCACGTTCCCGCCATCCTCTTTCTCTCACTCTTCGCGCGATATAATTGCAAGTTGCAATGATTTCGGTGAAGAGGACGACTATATCCCTCCATCAGATGATGAAGAGACGTCCTCTGGGACTTGAGTGAAAGTAGTGATGAAGATGAAACGACTGCGAAAGACAGCGGCCGCGGAGCCGCTCCGCCACAAACGTCGCCCTGGAGTTCGTACACAAACAATCTCCCAGACTTCCCTGTACTTACGTTCAGTGTAAGATGCGACCTTTGCTCGCCAAAAAAATTTTACTTTTTCGTGGCCCATGCATTTAAGGCGAGACGCGGGTCTTAAAATGGTAAAAAATCGCGAAATTTGGGGTTTTTCAAAAATCACATGTTTGGATAGAATATAGTCTGAAGTACCTGCCTGCGAAGTTTCAATGTCCTATTCGACGTCTAAGTATAAAAAAAACGATAAATACGATGCCTCCGCGACGCTCAAATCGCGAATCCAACGCAAAAAAATAGTCAAACTGCGCGCCCGCGTCGCTTCACGACCGATCGTCGGATCGCGGCCATCTTGGTCTTGTTGGGGAGCTGGTTCTCTTCCCTACGTCCTCATCCCACTCACTATCGCGACAACCTTGGAGAGCGTCCGCATTCCGCGGGTTTTCATGACCGGAATAACGATTGCTCATTGGCCCGCGCGCGTACGTCACAGGTACGTCGTGCCGCGCGCGCCTGTCATAGGCCAAGACGCGCCCCTTTCCACTTTTGCTCCTTTCCTCCTCTTGGCGCGCGCGCCTCCAGCAGCGCAAGGAGAGCGTGGAGAAGCGTCGTCTGCTTCGTTTTGGCCTGTCGCTTTGTTCGTTCTGCGGCTGAGTGCACGTTGTTTCGAAATCGTTTACGTTCGCGCGTTCACGTCGGACATCGTTGGTTTCTCGCTACGAAGTTGCGGGAGTTTTATTTCGAGCGATCGAGATGCCGGGGGACTCTCGATTGAAAGAGAGTACGCGGCGGACGTTCGGGAGGAAGACGCGACGTGCGTGGAACAAGCGGAAGACATCACCTGCAAGTGCGCCGCTACGATCTGCGCCACTGCCGAACGCATTGGATCTGCCGGGACCATCGGCTAGCCTTCCCGTTGACGATGCTGCGGCCTCAAGCTCTGGTCCGGATGGCTCAAGTTTTGCCGGCACCACTCGCGTCGACTCTACCTACTACTCTACGGCCGAGCAAGCGCAGCGCGCCGAGCGATCGGAGCAAAGCAAGCGCGTTTTATCGGAGAAGTCGGCGACCCAGCGGAAGTTCGATCTGCTTGAAGTCAACGGATCATGCCAAACAAGCGATGCCGGGACCCAGTTTGTCATCGTCGACATGAAAGTCCTCAACGACCTCTTCGCGCACGCGAGGTGTGGAAGCTGCGGTGTGGGATCTCTCACGCTCAGCAAGGCCGCGGACAAGGAGTACGGCTTGGCCGTCAAGCTTGTGCTCGTCTGCAGCACTTGCGACTTCCAGAAGAAGCAGTTCTCCTCTCCCAGGGTTGCTGGAACAGCAAAGATCACTCCCTTTGAAGTGAACATGAGGGCCATGAAGGGGATCCAATCCATTGGCAAAGGAGTGACAGCCTTGGCAGACTTCTGTGCCTCCATGAACATTTCTCATCGGGGCCTGCACCACAAGACGTACCAGGAACACCTGAAAACGCTTGTGCGGGCATGTGAGAATGCAGCAACCGACAGTGAAGCCGCCAGTGTTGCTGTCGTCAAGGGGCTCTACACAGGCTTTATGAACCCCATTGGCAACATCGATGTCATCTTCGACAGATCATGGATGACCCGAGGACGCAGCTCCCACATTGGTGTAGGCTGCATTGTGGAGTTGTACTCTGGCCTCGTCATCGACCATGTTGTGTACTCCAACTTCTGCCTTGGATGTGCCTTGGGACCGGAGCCCGAGGACGATGGCTACAGCGACTGGTACGCAACCCACGACTGCCAGAGAAACATTGACTGCAATGCTGGCCGTATGGAGGTGGAGGCTGCGCTCACAATGTTCCAGAGGTCTCTGACCAAGCATGGTCTCCGCTACACCACCGTCCTTTCGGATGGGGACAGCCGGACATTCCATGCCTTGTCTGAAGCGAAGGTTTACGGCTTCATCAAGATAGAGAAGAAGGACTGCGTGAACCACGTCCACAAGCGGATGGGAGCTGCCTTGCGCAACGTTGTTGAGAAGAAGAAGGCACAAGGCGAGTCACTTGGTGGGAGAGGAAAGCTGACACAGGAAAAGATCAAGAAGATCACTAACTATTACGGCTATGCTCTCAGGAGCAACAGCCATGACGTTCCAGGAATGAAGAGGGCGGTGGAAGCCACACTCCTGCACATGACCTCCACAGACGGCTCCCCAGACCACAGCAAGTGCCCCGAGGGAGCGGAGTCCTGGTGCAAATACAACAGGGCCTTGGCAAACAGTGAGCCTCCGCCGCCGCACAAGAATCCTCTTCCGGATTGTGTTCGGGCTGCACTGGAGCCAGTGTTTGAAAGGCTCAGCAATGAAGACCTGTTGGCACGGTGTAGTGAGGGAAAGACGCAGAATGCCAGTGAGAGCCTGCATTCGGTGATCTGGACGCAGACTTCAAAGAATGCGAATGCCTCCCTGGACAGCGTGAAGAGGGCTGCGGCTGAAGCTGTTGCTGTCTACAACCAGGGAAGGAGAGCGACCAACGAGTCCATTGCTGCAGGCCTGGGCTACGCCACCGGTGACTGCCTTGTCCGCCGAAGCATCGAAAAGGACAGTCTCCGTTTACGTAAAGCAAACGCGGTGCACCAGAGCAGCAGTAGCGTGAAGGAAAGGTTCTCCAAGCGACACCAGGCAGGAGCATCACGAGATTACAGCCCAGGACAGCTGTAATGGCTTTTTCCAGTGCCATGTGGAACAAAGGCCCTTTTCAGGGCCAAACAAAATTATGTTTGGAGCTTGAAACTCTTGCTCGCCTCTCCCGTTGTCCAAAGTTGTCGGGTCATCACTTTAGAAGCAATTTTTAGCCTATATCAGTAATTCTTCACCATTTTTGGAATCTTCTCAAAAACAAATTATTGCAATTTTTAAAATTATTTGTTCAGAATGCATTACACTACATCTTGATAACTATTATTGCATAAGGGTTTTCACATAATTTATTGTAGTCAGCGTCGAAACAGGAAAATGTGATTTTATCAACATTTCACTCGTTCTTTACTTCTTTCATATTTTTTTCCGAATGTTCCCATAAATGGATTACATCATCTTTTATGTCAAGTTGTTCATAAAGACTTACACTACACCTTGGTGGCAATTATTATTTATCATTGTTCACACAATTTTCTATGTTCAATGTCAAAACTTTAACTTTGATTTTCTCATCTTCATGTTTTTTGTCAACGTGCTTAGCCTTACGGGAGTTTTCATGAAGTTTTTATCGTAGCATTTTGAAACTTTTTATACCGTTTTATTCAGAAAGGACTGGATTGTGGAGTAAAGCTATTTTTTTGCAGTTTATAATGACAACGAAAATTTTATGATAAATAATGCGACCTCATTAGTGTCATAATTAGCATAATTAGTACATTTTTGTATTATAATGTAATTTTGTGAAAATATAAATAGCTTTATAATGCATGGCAGACCTTTAGCTATGCATCTACATCAATAAAAAAAAATATTTTTGTTCGAAATGGCCTTAACGACCCGTAAGAAATTAACCAAATTAGGCAACACTATTTTTTATAACTTGAAAACTAATTGAGATATTTTGAAACTGATTTCATATTTGAATTGAGGAAGAAGGAACACATATGCACAGTGATTTTCATTAGTATAGCTGCAAAAATAAAATAGTCCATTTTAGAACCAGTGTCTCGCCTTAAAATAGTTTCTGATTGGAACGACCATTAAGTTGGTCAGAGTATCTGACCGCAAAGGGTTAATAGGAAGGAAACAAGTGTGCATGCTGTCTATGTGCTGCTAACTGCTGCAAAAAAAAAGAAAAGCTTGCACAACTTTTTAATTGAACAAGGCACCACATACCTTTTTTTAGGCTCCTGTTGACTTCGGTGACTACCAGCCGACACAGCGACCTCAGGTCGAGACCTTTATGCTTCTTCGTCATGTTGGCCACATACGTCTCTGCGGCAACAAATTCATCCACAGTCTGAGGCACTACGTCAATCGACAATATCGTGGAGAGCAGGCTGTCGTTAAAATGTGGAATCAACAAGGTGGCACATTTCGCCTACTGGTAAAGGCAAGAAAACAAAAGAATACTCCACCCAAGTAGACAGAATTACGTCAACTCGCTGCAAAATCCGTTGTCGTACTGCAACTTTCTTTACGAGAGAAAATCGAAGCTCGGCAAGAAGGCAGGCCAACACTCAAATCCTACAAACTCGAAGACTGTCGGGAAGACTTCGCTCACCCCGACAGTCTTCAACACAATCACCGTTTCAGATACCCGACTTGATCAAACCTTCCCCGACACAAACCTCTTAATGAGAAAATTCCATAAAGACTCTTCAAGTGTAAATCATCCTTAGCAGATCCTAGAATCTTCTCGCTTCACAGAAGAAAGTAACTGGCCTGCCTAAATGCTGCTCCCTTCCCCTCAATTTCAGACCAGCAAGCCCAATCACGGCCACACACTCTATACAGGTGAAGGCAATGGCAGAAGCTCCACCTCCAGCACGTGCTTGTTGCCTTACGCCGGGGCCTTGGCTGCGTGCGACAAAGGGCTACCAAAGGCAGAAAGCTTGTGCTCGAGGCAAAGAATCTGCCGGGTTCTTAACCTGTCACCGACTGTAATCACAAAACGGAAAACCGCTTGTACCCCATATTGTCAGAGCCAAAGCACGGATTCTCGTGCAGAAAGCCAGACAATGCTCCAGACACGTAAACCTGTGCCTGCTAAGCAAACACAGAAAAAAGAATTGGCTACCGTATTTACTTGCATAATAAAAGCACCCCCCACAACGGACATCAATATTTTGACTTTTTTTTTCCCCTCCCGTAATCAATGCACCTCCAATTTTCGGATCCATGTGTCTCAAATTGTGTCCAATTTAGCAAGCCACCAAGCCAGTTTTCTTTTGCCGCCAAGCAGTCAGGCCAAGTCAAGCCAAGCCAGGCTGCTCACGTAATGGCCGCAAGTGCGTCGTTGCGATAGTTACGGAAGTGATCAACTGTGAAACCGAGTGTTGCACACATTTGACGAAGCTTGGGTTGAGGAATTGCCGAGCCCCGGACGTTCTTCGCCTATCGGATGCATTGATGTCAACAAACAAGCTGTCGTCTGTGGTCCACTTTCGGACAGTGAAATCGTGAAAGATGTTAGGCCTAATTTCACATACCCCCGTGTAAATGTGTTCATTTTAATCCGGGACAGAACGGCACAGCGAGGTGCACGTTGCGCTGTAGGCCGAGAGTGACTGGTAGCCTCTCGGTGAACGAAACTTGATTCGTGCGAGTGGGCTTTGGAGGTTGGGGGTTGAACTTCATACGAGTTCTTATATGCGTAGGGTAGTAGGGTAGTCGCGGATTATATCTCAGCGTGCCCGCTGGATACTAGCAATATATAGATACTAGCAATATATATCGCCTAAGAACGGTCGTGTTGCTTTTCGTGCTGAGTGAGCTTCATAGGGCGCTTTTCCTTTGGCAAAAGGCACCTTGAAAGCGCCTTAAAAAGGTTTGCAATTTATAAAGCATGGTTATTGTGGTGCACCCCTGACCAGCCGTGGGTGCGCCTCCATCACTGGAGACGTGCCACAGTGCCTTGCCGTGTCATATTGGCACCTAATAAGACATTTACAAGAAGCGTGTAAATGCAAAAATTTTACCCCATGTGATGAACCCCCAAATATGTGTCAATTTTTCGGGAAAAAGTGTGTTCATTATGCGAGTAAATATGGTATATGTGTGGTCATTCTGCCGAATGCATTTAAATGCGGAAGCTTTATCAGGGTGCGGGGTGTGCTCTTAGTTCGGGTAATGCCTAGGGCAGGATGACCCTTGGCCTTTCATTGCCTGGGGTGATGGTGCCTAGGGCAAGGCTGTGTATGAAAACGGGTTACGTCACACCATTTTCTCTTCGCGACGCTACGCACACTTTCTTCCAGCACCTCCTGGATACACAGCCCTTGCGCTGAATTTTCTGTGTCACCAAGAGAGGGGAAGCAAGCTTTCCTGGCCCTTTTCACTCCTCCTCGTACTGTGAGCTCTTTCTAGACCACCTGCTTCTGCTCCTCTCTTTCTTGCCCTTTCCACCTCTCTGCTCCGCTTGCTTTCTCAAACAACCTACTGGGTCCGTAGCTCAGTCAGCAGCACACTCAGCTTTCACGCCAGTGACCAGGGTTCGATACCTGGCACGGTTGCAGTTTTCTTTAGCGGTTACGATCCGACCGTCATGGTCTCACACGACATCAGGATGCCATGACAAGACACAATGATGTCACAGTGTTACGTGACATCATGAAACACTAGTATCACAGGACCAAGTGATGCGACGTTAGAACATGACATGGCGTCAGGTCACGTCACGTGAAGTTATGACGCCAGTGTCGGTGACATTATGATGTCCTGTGACGACTGCCACACTGATAAAATTGTGCGAACACCGTGACATTACCAACTTTTTGAACCGCTCATGATGTCATGTGAACACTGCGGCATCATTAGGGCGATGTCGCCTTCCATGCCATAAATGCTACAGCACCAAGAGTTAGCCCTATAAATGCTACGGATTTTATTTATTTATTTATTAATTATTATTTAAAAGTCTCATTCCTGGGGGTTGTGCTCACAACAACCATATTCGACTTGTCATAACTTCTGTTATCGCGTACAATTCAACGAACTCACCTGCTTTGGCCTTGCACTGCTGAGCGGAGTCGTCGGCGGACACGCCAATTAAGGAGGGTGAGTAGAGGGCAAGATCGAGCAGCACTTCCTCCGGGCTGCAGGCGTAGTCCTTTGCATGTTGCCTGTGAGCAGCAAGAAGATGTATTATAAGACATCGAGCATGAGACCATGTCCTAATAAGTGCCCAAAAGCCGTAAATAGTGACTCGCTTCAGGTTACACCTCCGTTCGTGTTCGGCAACTTTCTATTAGCTTGAGAATAACTGCCTTCTTTTCTAGCGTTATGGTCGAGTACTTTCAGCGCTTCTTAGTGACATATCGCGGCAGCGAAAAAACAGATGGGACAATGACGTCCAAGCCAGCATAGTCCGAAAACTTGATTCACCGAGACGAGATTAAGGTGAGAGGCGCAAGTTCACGACTGCAATGGCGAATGAACAAAGCAAAATGCTAACAATGATGATGATAATGATGCGCAGCTAGAGAAAAAGAAAAGCCGTACGTTGTCACCTAACAGTAAGACTTGGCAGTACTCAAGGAGTGCTGCCAAACCAAGCCAATCCATGTGCAGCCAACATAGAATCCAAAATGGCCGCTTCCCGGTGGTGTTTCCCGCTGTTCGCTCAAGATGATTTTGACAGAAAAATTGAACTTTTGGACTTCAAGTTGTTCGAAACATTGGTCGTGGATATGCACTATTTCTATTGAGTAGGTCACAGTTCTTCCTTTAGGTCCGGAATAAGAACAAATCTGAATTATCGGCATCCGAAAAATTGGTCGGCGACTGTATAAGTCAACCTTTTTTTTTTTTTTTTCGGAAATGTTGTCAAAAATTAAGGGTTGACCTACAATCGTGACCAAAGAATTTCATCTTACATTCGTGACCAAATTTTGCGACCCTACCGAGCACAAGAAGCTAACGAGTCACCGAGCACGCGTCGCCATAGCACTGCGCCGCTTCTTGTTTCAGAAAGCTTTTGGTGCACGAAAACAACTAAAATCTTTCAGCCTTTCCACTCTGGTGAAGGAAGGCCAGCGAAGCTGTACTATGATGGAACGATCTCAAACACGACTTCTTGGACGACCTCAAGGACGACGCCCAGAGGACAGTGTCTAAAACGCCCTCGAGGACAACTTCGAAAACGACCTCAAAGACGACCTCAGGGACGAAGTCTCGGACAACCTCAAGGATGAGTTCTAGGACAACGTCTACGATGACCTCAAGGGCGACCACAAGGATGACTTCTAGGACGAACTCAAAGACAACCTCAAGGATGACCTCAAGGATGACTTCTAGGAGGACATCAAAGACGACGCAGCAACCCCCCCCCCCCCCCCCGTCCCCTCCCTCCTCACCAGGTGCAGTGGTCGTCGTAGCAGGCTCCGTCCAGCTCGTAGCGGCACAGGTGCACGCGGGGCTGCACCTTGTGGGCGTGGGCGGTGCCCTCCAGCCAGGCCCCGGGCTGGCGCAGCAGGTGTGGGCTCAGCCGGTACGAGCCCAGGTGGCACAGGGGGCTACGGTAGGGCTCGCTTACGTCCACGGCGTGGTGGGTGGCGGCGGCGGGAGACAGCTGTTCCCGCTGGGGCTTCAGCAGGCACAGCTCTAGCCTCTGCGGAGGAGAAGGCACCCCTAGCAGCAAACCTCGAGGAACGACCGCAGACGAAAGCGAGAATGCGCTTGTACTGCTCCTTGAGACTGCACGGTGCAGCTTTAAAAAGAGGGAGGGTGTGAGCACGGGGCTCCACTGGTGACGAAATGTTTCCCTGGTGCTCCCTTATGGTTCCCATCCTCGATGTCACGACCAGGAGCAACAGCTGCAAACCCCCTCTTGCTTCCTTCCAAAAGAAACAAATGACGACTACCGTAACATCCCGAGAGATAGCCCACCTAAAATCAAGAGCGAATTGGGTGAAAATATGGAGTGGGCTAACTTTCGGTGTACAACCGACAAAAGTAAAGTAAATTCCATTTTTAGGCCTGGTGTTCCTTCCAAGCTTGTTATCGTGGTGAGGGGCAACGAAGCAAAGGTGACAATACTTCCAGGTTAGCGACGTTCAACTATTTCCTGCCATAGCTAACTAGCCGCATTTAAGCCGAGGCCATCACTGATCCTAACACTACTACTACTGGGAGTGGGCTATCTTTCGGTGTTTAAAAAATACCGTATTTATTCGAATATAAGGCGGTCACGATTATAAGGCGAGGGGGCAGTTGAAGGACCAAAGAAAAAGAAAAAAGTTTGCACACTAATATAAGGCGAAAGAAACGAAAGAAGGCAATTAAATTCCTTACCTTTCAGCGAAGCAGACACAAGTATTTGAACTATCTGCACACAAAGATATTTACCTATTCGGAGCGAGACGAAAGACAAACTTAGAAGCTGTTGTCTTCAGAAGTGGTAGCATCCGAATCATCCTTATCACTTTCGCACTCAAAGAGGTCAGTGTCTTCGGTGCCGTCAAGGGCATTGGAAATGCAGCACTTGCGGAACGATGCTGCAACCATAGCTTCGGGGATCGCTGCCCATGCGTCGACCACCCACTGGGCGAGCATAGACGGGGACGCCCGCTTTAGACGTCCCGACGGCGTGAGGGCCACAGTGTCAGACGCCATCCATTCATTGTACAGCCGTCTGACGTGTGCCTTAAAGGGCTTGTTAAGACAAACGTCAAGCGGCTGTAGTTGGCTTGTCATGCCCCCCGGGATGACGACCAGCTCCGTGCGTTCGTCCACCAGCTTCTTCTTCACACCCTCCGTGAGATGTCCGCGGAACGCGTCGAGGACCAGCATTGACCTCCGGGCGAGCAGTGCCCCTGGTCTTCGGCACCACACCGACTTAATCCAGTTCAGAAAAAGCTCTTCCGTCATCCACCCCTTCTCCTGGCAACGAATGTGGACGTTCTGCGGGAAGACCTCGTTCTTCGGAAAGGTCTTTCTCTTCAGGATGATGAAGGGGGGCAACTTCCGCCCATCGGCGGTGCAGGCTAACATAACGGTGATCCTAGCCTTCTCGTTGCCTGTAGTGCGCAGGCTCACTTGGCGATCACCTTTTTGGTGAATGGTCTGGGGCGACGGCATGTCAAAAAAAATCGGGGTTTCGTCGGCGTTGCCCATCTGCCCGAGTAGAAAGTCGTGGTCGCGTCGCAGGCCGATAACATATCTCTGAAAAGAGATTAGTTTCTCTTCGTAGTCCTCGGGCAACTTCTGCATCACGGAGGTCCGCCTTCGCAAGGAAAATCCGGCCCTCTTCATATATTTCTGCACCCAGCCCCGGCTAGCTTTGAACTTGAGAGCGGGGATGCCACGCTCTCTCGCGATTTCGCGCGCCTTCATCTGCACGATGTCGGAAGTAACAGCCAAACCGCGGCCTCTCCTCTCTTTGATGAACTGCGTCAGCACTTCTTCCACTTCGGGGAACGCTCCCTTTCGCGGGCCACGGAAAGCCTTTCTCGTCGCTGCGCAGGCGAACAGCGCAGTCTTCTGTTTGCGCCAACGACGCACGTTGTTCTCCGGAACACCAAACTTCCGACCCGCCGCGCAGTTTCCAGAAACCTCCGCCTCTGATACAACCTTCCTCTTGAAAGCTGCATCATAGTGGCAACGGTGACTCGCCATTGCGCTGGTAGCGTAAATAAGCGAGCACTGAAAAAATCCTGCCGTAGAGACTCGGCCACTCCAACAAAAAAATGCAAAATGGCGTCCCAACTTGTTTACAAACTTTGCGGCTACTACTGGCTTGGAAGCGGCTACTGCTGGCTCAGCTCGTTGATATGGTTGAAGGCGTCTGCAGCCATCGCGTCTCCTGCATCGCAGCTGCCTAAACTCGGTAGTTACTATCTGTAACTTGCGTTTGTGTAACATTTTGTATGTTTTATTCTTAAATCTCTGCGTTAGATTTGTAACAGTATTGTCGGGCTCTTTTGGAAGCTTGGAAATGGTTGAAAGGCGGAAACCGAAACTGTTACACCAAAATTGCCGTATTGCTGTACTGAGCTTCGAATATAAGGCGGGGTACGACTTTGAGACTAAGGATTTCGGAAAAAAACCTCGCCTTATATTCGAATAAATACGGTATAGCAAATGAAGCCAGAAATAGGGGGTGGACTACCTTTCGGGAGTGGGGCATCTCTCGGGATTTTACGGCGGTTCAATGGCGCACATAAAAGTCCACAGATTTTCACTGCAGAACGCGAAGAAGTGGCAGCGATGGCCATTATCGTGTGTACCATCACCGACAAAACGAAAACGACGAGGCACGCTTCTTGTACGCACGACTGACAATACGACTTAGAAATTGGGTTTCACCCAAATGCCTCTAGTAACAGCTCTGGGGGTGGAAGTAATTTACTCGACAAAGGCAGGCGGCATGCACTCACGCGTGGTGTGTCCTCTCGGGGCAGGGGGAACTCCGTCGAGACGAGGGCGTTCACCTGGGGTAGACTCGCCAGCGTCTGCTTGGCGCAATGCGCCACAAACAGCGCCTCCATTGCTCTCTGGTTTCGATTGAGTGCCTTCTCTTCTGCCGTCTCCGCCTGCAACATCCCCATAAAGTTCAGTCAGTATTTTCCCCTAGAATTTTGGCATAACTAAAGTTTTCTATGAAAGCTGATTCCTTGTCAAAGTCAATCGCCTAAATAATGTGCAGGCCCAACTGTTACAAATACTCTTGTGTTCCTAGTACTATCCACAATTGGAATTTGTCACCTGAACCAATTGCCTCTTTGAATTGTACGCCACTGTTTTTAGCCCCAATAAATGAATCGTCAGAGTTTTAATCTTTCAGGCCTTGGCGCACCCTTAAAAGAATACTTTTCTGCTCGGTGTGTGTTCCTGACCCATACATGTTTTTTCTTTAATTTACTGCTGCGCTACCACACCCTATGTGTGCTTTATCGTGAACCCTGAAAAATTTATCTTTCCTACCTTGGCTGCTTAACAGTAATTAAGCGACGCTCATTCACTGGCTCCAACGCACTCACCTTCTCTTCGACGCAAGGATTCGCCTTGCAGACGCCAGCCAGAGCGCCGACAAGGTTCTCCTTCTCAGCCGCCTTCTCCATCCTTGCCTTCTCCTTGGAAGCCGCAGTGGCGGCAATAACGACACGCGTCGTTGACTTCGTTGGCAACGTCTGATCGATGGGCGGCGACGTTTCTGTGGCAGGCACCGTGGCGGGGGGTGGAGGTGTCGCAGGAGTGGATGCACACTGCGGCGTCGTCGCCCCCTTGGCACCGGAGGCCTGCTTCAGCTCCTGCAGCCTGAGCCTCATGGCTTCCTCCAGCTTCTGCAGCCGGATCTTCTCGGCCAAATAAGCGGCGTCCGTGCGCCTCAATCGCGCCGCGTTGTCTGTTTCGGATGGCGCCATTACGCGTGCTCGCTTCTGGATCTGCAATTGGACGAGAGACGAGACGACTTTGGCGGATCAACTTGAACGCGCAACTCTGGTCCGGACTCGGAGAGGGGAATCCTCGCGCCGTGAGAGGGCGCTTGCTCTGCATTATAGAACCGCATTTTCCGAGCTATAGCCCGCAGCCGGTGTACAGTCTGCAGCTGGTGTATAGTCCGCAAGAGCAAATTTGGGGTCAAAAATAAAGGTTTTCGCTTAGACAGTCCGCCGCACCAGGTGCTTAGTTGACGCGAAAGTCTTCTCGAGAACAGCACACCTAGACAAGTGTCTGCCTTCGTAGTTCGCAAAGCTTGTATTACATAACTATCATCATTAACATACTCTTCACTTCACAAAAGCCGTCACGTCTCGCCATAACGAACAATCTTCAAAGACAAAATTCCCGTCTTGTCCGCACACGTGGATCGACCGCAGAGCCTAAAATGTCAACTTTGAAACATGTAAAGCTGCGGACTATAGCCCAGAAAATATGGTAACCGATCGGTTAGAGGCCCGCTGACACACTTGCGTCTGCTTACGACCGAGTTCCCGGGATCTCTTACGACGAGAGGATGCACTTGCACGCTGGCGCCGTCTATGAGGCGACCCTGGAACCACACTTCGCTAGCGCGAAGGTTTTGCGGGATCAAAGGTACATACTATTCGTGAGAAATGGTCGTTTGTAACATTGTCGGAAGTCTCTCAAGCCAAGAAAGAACAACGCACGAAAAAAAATGGGAAATGTACGGAAATGCCAAGTGCTACACGACTACCAGACCATCTCTCGCTGCGAGAGAATTTAAGAGGTTTTAAGGCACGCGGTCGTAAGCAGTTGCAAGTATGCGAACCACACTCGGCATCTTATAATCGCTCTCCAGCCAATCAGATCGCAGCATTAGCCGACAAGATTGCCGAAGAACATATCGCAAAACAAGAAGTGTAAACGTAACGAACCACACGCCACGTTTCCAAAGCCGCCAACGATTATGGACGACGTTATCGTCGACCTCGACCACCCTTTGTCTTGGTTTTGACGGCGATAGACAGCCGCCCAGACCCGTTGTCGGCAATTGTGCTTACGGTTGATCGTTCCTTTTATAAGCGACACGTTTCCCGTATGTTTCCATAGGTATTGAACACGTTTCAAACGGTGGCCCGCTTCCGTAGCAGTTACGACGTCTCAACTGATGCGACCCATTTTAAAGTGTTTTCGCCGGGCTGCGATGAGCGGGCGATGCTCCATTGTTTGCCGGACGAGCCAGTTGGGATACGGCGCCGCGAGTTACATCCGTCGCCAACTTGGTTGGTAGCGACTGCGTCTGCTGTCAACTCAGGCAGGTTTCTCGGTCTGGTTTTTAACGAGAACTGTGCCCGGAAATTTCGCGAGGCGAAATCCACCGTCTGAGTGAGAATTCGGCAAAAGTTCCATCTTTCTACGTGCAGCAGCTGAAACGGTATGGGCTCCGACATGCTGGTGTGTCGCACCTGTTGGAACGAGCCGATGGATATCTTCCGCTTGGTGGGCGTTGCGGAGGTCGCGGGTGAGCTTAGCGCATCTGCGGTGGCCGGCACCTTGTAGTTGGCGCCGTACAGCGCCCTTCCGTGGTGCTGGCACTGGCGCTCCAGGTCCACAATGTGCTCCTTGCGCTTGTCCACCTCCCCCTGCAGTGCTTGCAGCTGTACAGCAGACACAACTTGTGAAACAGGGTGCCACAGACACCGACAGTTTAACCAACCACCTAAGGTCGAGGTTGCACTGTTAAGATGTAGTACGAAGAACGGTCTAGAGCCGTCTGAGGCGCGTTTCTAACTTGTACGATGGTTCCGTCACTTTGGTCGTACAAAAACTGTCTGCACACATCTCCGAAGCACACGGAAGTACAAAGAAAACACGCTTTGAACGTCCTCGAGCAGCGTCCGTGGACGATTCTGTTGTAGTCTTTGCGGCAAACAACACGTCCTCTCGGCGACCTACAGGCAGCGCGGTAGATGCGGGGCCTCACCTGCACGTTGGCCTTGCGTATGACGGTCACGTGACCGGCAACCACCTTCTCCAGGGTGGCCAGCTGCTCCTTGAGCTTCTGGATGCGCACCTGGGTGCCGCGCACCGCCGACTTCTTGGTCAGCACCTCTGTTCGGAGGGAGCCCATGCGCTTGTCCTCCAGCCGCAGTGCTTTCCTGCGGCGAGGCACGGGCGAAACCACGGTTGGCTTTCCGCTTCCGGAACCACACGGACGTCGGCAGGAACGTACGACCTGTTCTTGCAATTCGTCCGCACGCCCGAGACGTGGTCGTTCGGGATTTTAACGCAGAATGCATTATGTGGCTGCCACCCAGCTCTTTTCCGCTTTCGCCCTAGTGAAACGAAATAAAACGCAAGTGCCAGCTGAACGTACCCGCAGCGCTCATCTCCTCGCCAATTGGACGCAAGTGCCAGCCAATGTCTCGCTCGAAGAGAATTTTAGTTACTCCCAAGGGTCACGTCGTGGGATCAAAATGTAGAGCAGCACCAACGATGCGCTCTATTAGCCGTAGCCGCCCGCATGTGAGCAACTACGGGCGGAACGTGATCTTGGCTCTACGAGGAGCACCGCTCCCACATGGGACAGAGAAGGACCGTTTTCAAATGGCGCCCTTTCTGAACAAACTTTGTTTTCACAAAAAACAAAAAAACACCATAGAGTCGCTTTCAACCACGGGCAATGTACGTCCAAGGTTCCACCGGTCCTGCTGCTTCCATCCATTCGGTAAGTCGGTAGTATAGCGAACAACACCGAACGAATGCGCCGCGAAAGGGCACCGGGCATTTTAGGAAGCTTGTCAATTGACCTCGATCTAGCAACGTTCGAAGCTACCGCAGACCCGAAAACTCCGGTGCAGCAATTGCATCTAGCTCGACGCTGCGTCACGTTCTGAGTTGCCACCGCCTTTACCATGATGATGAGGGAAAGGGGGAATTTTTTTGGAAATGGTCCAGTGTTCTGGGCGGCCACCTCAAAGTGGTGCCTGCCAATGCTCACCGTTCAGCGTGCAGGGTGTTCTCGAGCGCCCGCAGCGAGCGCAGCATGGCAGCCTGCTGCTTCAGCTTGCGCTGCTTGTTCAGCTGCTGGCGCTCGGCGGCCGAGATCTTCACGGTGGGAGCGGTGGCGCTGCGCAGCTCCCGGCGTGCAATCTCCGCCTTCAGCCGGCGGTACTCCAGCTGCTGAGCCTGCGACAGCTTCAGCACCGACGCAGGTGTCAGTGTGACTGCGGGCGGCGCTGGCTCTTCCGGCGGTGGTCCCTGCAAGATGATGAAGGGAGGAGATAAAAAACTAAGTTACTGGTGTGCGACTAAAGCCGCAGTTTCCCGGAGCTATCCCATTTATGTCGGTTATCCTAATTATTTGTTTAAGTACATAAAAAAAAAGAGTCTTGGGCATTAGCCTTGTGGCAAGATTTATCCACATATTTTCTGGGCACCTTAGAACTATCATCTGCTGTAATGAAGATCTAATCAACTTAGATAAAAACTTAAGACAGACACTGGCAGCAATCAGCGAGATTATTTTTAACCAACGAGTGCCATACTCGTCCCCAAAATCAACACCTTAAAGCAGTGGTTCTCAAATGGGGGTCCGCGAAGCCACTTCTGGGGTCCGCAAGACCCTCAACAAAACTTTCTTTTTTTTTTTAGTTGGCACGTTTTGATGAACTCACCAAAATGAAGTGATGTGGCACCTTTGTTTTATGTTTTTCTGCTACGTAGCAATAAAAGGCACCTGTTTCATGCTCCAGATCTGTTAACTTACTAACGTGCCGCCCCCGCCGGCTGGAAGGGATCCCCCATCACTGCCAGCGGTTCGCAAGGGGTCCCTGACACATCCATGGCTGAGAACCACTGCCTTAAAGTGAGGGTTCCCCATCTTTTCTATCCCAAGAAACCTCTACCGATTTCGACATATTGCAACAAAGTGGTAAACATGCCGACAGACCTTGTAAACAATAATTTACATACTGGAGAGTGTTTGACATAAAATCTGCTAAAATGGTGCTAAAACTAGAAAAATGCTGTACTTAGGGCAAGGATGATCAAGGACGGGCTCGACGATGCTCTGGGAAACCCAGTTTAAGAACCCGTGCCTTAGTGGCTTTGCATTCCCCTATGCATTCTAACTTGAAAAGTGTCTCTCGGGGGGCCTCGATGCCACAACTTTTTCGAAATCTACGTCTCTCGGCCGATTCCCAAAGGAAGCCGTCTCCTGGCGAAACATTGTCTGCCACTCCAAAACTTCGAGAAAGTTCCCGCCAAGCTCTCGTCACCGGTTTTTGGCGCATGTCTGCATCTTGTTTGGACTACCCAAGCGAGCCAGAGGCTTCGTGACCCAGTTTCTCCCGAGGTTGCGGAAAGAGCGCAGAGGGAAGTACCTGGGCCTTCATCCGAGCTTCTTTGAGGAGCTGGTCCAGGCCCAGGGAGAAGCTGGCTTCACTGGGCAACAGGGCGTCCTCATCCTCACTCTCTTCCTCCTCCGTCGTGTCGTCCGCAGCCAGGTTGATCACCACCGGCGCCGCCTGGTAGACAGAAGGCAGGCAAACGAGCGGTGCCCCGCGTCACCTTAAAGCTGCACGCGCCTTGGCACTCCGACGGGCTAGCTCACGATTCGGCGTGTCGTAGGCCCATGTGCAGGCAGAAATTAAGAGAGAGGAAGAGACTAGAGTGTGCGGGGATGTTGGAACACCGAACTCTTGTTTGAACGATTAGTTCAAACATGTTAGAATGCAAAACATGTCGAACATGTTAGAATGCAAAACTCTGGCATTTAGCGGGTGGTGTTCCAACGCCACCCGCTGGATGCACGCCGGATGTTCGTGTTGAAATGTGCTCGAACAATGCAAAGGAGACGAAAGCTGAGTTTTCCTCCACTGTCCTCATCGAATGCATTAGAATGTGGAACTCTGGCATCCAGCGGACGGCGTTCGCACGGTGCAGTGGAGACAAATCTAGCTTTCCGTCTGCCCACTAATAATTTCAACCAGAGCTTGGTGTTCCAACGTCCCCAGATGCTCTCGTCTCCTCCTCTCTTTCAGTCTTTGTCTGAATAAACACTGAATTTTAACGTCGAATATGTTCGAGGGCTGGGATATCTGAAGAAAGCGTGATGCGACGCCACGAATCACCACCACACACCTGCTGAATTTAGCAGACGGTATTTACGCGACGTCATCGACTCGACGGTGGTTGCACGATCTGACATCGCATGACCAAACCATGTCACGTGATGTCAAGACGTCGCATGACACCAGGGTGTCATGTGACGTCAGCGTCATATGACATTACATCACAAGACACCACAATGTAATGTGAAGTCGCATGACACCACAAAATTCATTGGGCTAAATTTCTCCGTGTCAGCTCAACTAAAAGCAAACTGCACGTTCCACATCCCCAGCTTCATACATAAGGCTAAAATACATTAACTTTTAGGTTTAGAGTGAAAGTAATGAAGCGCCCCATAGAAAGTTCCAGGAAGTCTCACTGAAAATGCTTCCACAGCAGTGGCCATTAAATTTACTCAACCGCAAACATTCAATCGATTAACTACACCTCCGACGCAAGGGATCCGGCAACGCGTTCGTCCCATTCGCAGGGTCTTGCTCTGGCAAACTATCTCCCTAAAGTTTCGCGAGTGAAGCAGCCTGCTCGAAATTCATGAGAGGCTAAGCTCGCAAACACACAGCCGTCTGCGGCACGTTAAGGAAAAGGACCGTCAAAGTGTCCGGGACGTACCCTCCTGGTGTCCCCAAACGGTGAGTCTGTCCTCTTTGCGGGGGCCCTCTGCATGACCCTGACCTTGGGAGACTCCACGACAGGGGGCGTGGCGCCCGCCGAGGGTGGCACGGGCGTGGCGGGACTCCCCGGCTGCGTGGAGCCCTCCAGCCGGGGCTGTCGCGAGACAACGCAAACAGAGGTCTTTGAGAATGAAGCTTTCAACATGAAACGTTCCTTGGTAATGTGTTCGGCCTTTCGCGAAGCCCAAAACTGAAGCCTGGATAAGAGCGTGGCTGCGAGGCTCGACACTGATTGGTTGAGGGGTGGGAGGAGGAGGAGGGAGATGCTTGACGCCGATTGGTTTACGGGGAAGTCATGTGACCAGCAGTGAAGTGAGGGGGAGAGGTAGGCGAGGAAGAGTGGGTTAGAAGGTTCGTGGGGCAAAACGAAAAGTAGCCCTTTGCGTTACAATCGTGGTTGAGCTAGAATCGACTAAGCACGACACTTCCAAACGTAATGAGATTACTTTTGTAATTGCTTCCTAATAAATGTATACCAATGATTACAGAATTACTCCAAATAGTAACTTATTACAGGTTATCTGATCACTCGTAATGATTACCGTACATGTCTGCTTTCACCTGAAGGCCGCTTCAAACATTTGCGTTGGAGTCTGATAGACTGCATCGCAGCTGCTTCTGACCACTTACGAGGGAACACGCTTGTGCCACCTATCGATTGAAACCTTTCCGATATGCGTATAATTAGACCAAAGGTTCCACGCAACTTGCAAGCTCAAATCTACGTGCTGTTTGTGAGAAATGGTTCGCATTAATATTGTGAGAACATTTTAAGCACGTGAGGAAGGAATGACGCACAAAATAGGTGCAGATCCGAGGTGCTCCACAGCTACCCGACAAGTGGCCCCGGTGTGTTTTCTCACCACAAACAGTCGTGACCGGTTGTGACGCGGTCGATCGAGCTCGACTGCAAATGTGCAAGCCGGCCTAGGATGGAGCGCACATGGGTAACGCAAACTTTTTGTTCAAGCGAAATCGACTCGAGCAAGCGCTAACGGCACGGTTCACTTGGACGGAGTGCAGAGACAGCAACGAGTCAACAAAGGTTGATTGCGCAAAACTAAAACCTGAATGCAAAAAGACGCGACGCAACGCAGTGCGTCGCATTTTTATGAGTGTGCATCGTGTTTTTTTTTTCTTTGTTTTTTTTTTCTTAGTTGGGCTTGGGTTTTGTTCGCCCCTTAGCCACCCCTGAGAATCTGAAAACTTTATGCCTATGGCTGAGGCAACTCTTGTGGCATCGACTTGTGACCAATTTCGGCGTCAAGCAAAAGGTAAGTTTTACCGTCCGTAATTTGGCAAACGGCGAAGGCTAGAGCCTCAGTGAATCAATCGAAATGTCGGAGGAAGACACCTCGACCTCACTAGCTGAGCGCAATGCTGTCGAAGCCACGGACGGGGAAGCGAGGAAAACAGCTTTAGTTCAAATTTTGAGTGACAAACACCCCAGAGGGGAGTTCCTCCTTCCCCTCTCCTCCAACTGTTCGGGTTACACTCTCGCCCCTCTACCTTTGTCACGGGCTTCACTTCCATTGTTCCAATTGGCTCAAGGGGGGGGATGGGGGCATAGCACTCGCTTTTTGGCAAGCAACGAAGAAACAAGGTATAGATTGCAAACCCGTCCAAGGAGCGCTCGTTTTAACCCTTTGGATACACAGTCATCCCACCTAAGCTCAAGAGCACAAGTCCTTGTGATCGGAGAAGTATCCCTCTTGCAAGCAGAACTGCAATAGGCTCGCGATAATTCAAACTCTGATATGTCATACTTCTGGTTAATTCAAAGAAATTTAAAAATTTTGGTAGTCCCACTATGTTTTCTAATGACTTCATAATCCGCATAATTTGGACTGCGTTTTCGCATTACTCATACTTTTTGTTCTTGTGGCCCCGTTGAGTGTGCTTCTTTTTGAGCAAATGCGCACTGCAGAGAGGCAACACCCACGGAGCTTGCTTCCATGGGTGTCGCTTCTCTGCAGTGCACCGGTGCTCGGTGACAAGCGCACTCAACGGGGCTTGAGCAGGGCACCATGGGCTATCAAAACGCCTGCACCACACAGAAATTTCCATAGCAACTTGCGTGGATGCTGTGACGTTGCGACATGGCATAGGTCCAGATCACAGCGTCCACGTGAGTTGCTATTAAAACTGCCGGTGGTGCCCGCTTTTATCGCTCATATGTTCCCTGCTTAATAGTCCACATTAGACAACTTCTTAGCACGATGAACAAAATTCTGTTTTGAGTTGTCATGTGCTGTCTAAACAGACCACAATAAGCAACATTCTTGAGGGATAAATAAATTTACGTTATACACTTTGCAAATGTTTCGTGCGTGGCATACCTGCTTATGATCAGTAGGTCTATGTGGAAGAAATCATAAAATATCTGCTTTGTGTGTGTAGCCATCATATGGTAAATCACAATTTTAAGTTGCACCATATTTAGATGGATTTCTCATAATCCAAACAAAATTTGTGGCTTCTTAGAGTTTGAATTAATGAGAGTCTATCATACACTTTGTTTTCTTACAAAACAACTAAAGCTGTCACAGGAATGAAATCTTCCCGCTGCATCTATTCGAGACGACGAAACAAACGGGAAAACAGACCTCGGTGGTCGGTGCCTTCGTCACTCGGTTCCGCATGACCGCCTGCAACAGCTGCTCCCTGAGGGCAGCTTCGTCTTCGTCTTCGCTTCCGTCCGGGACTTCTGATTGGCCGAACGGGAAAGACACACAGTGAGATCCCACTCCTCCCTTGCACTGACCCGAACATTAGTACAATAACAACGACACGGGCTGGTCACGTCAACATCAGCTAATTGGCAAGATTAGAACCGCCAAACAAGTTACGCCTCGAGTGTTGGCACTCCGTTCCCCGATTCTCTTGTGGGTGCCACCATTTTGGCGCCTAGTGCTGAGCGGGCTGCTTTAACATATCCAGAGGCCGAAAAACCGTTTTCTGTGATTTCAAATAAAGCTTCAGCTGGTCGGCAACAATGATTCTAGGAGGCAAGATGGCAAAGGTGACTTTACTCGGAAGCGTAGCTCATTATGTGGCTCTAGGTAAGATCAGAAAGGCTAGAGAGAGATCCCCGAGTTGGCGGAGTTTCAGCTACACAGGTGAGGTTGCCTTACAAGGCGACTTTTTGCCATCTTCATGCATAAAGGCCGCTTTCCTGCACTCGCGACTCCCTACAATCGTGGGGCTGCAAACTGCTCTCTGGCCTCTCCGGTTGTAGGCAGCCACAAGTGTGTGTGAGCCAGACTCAAGAAATGACTAACGCAACGACAAAAGTTAAATGAAAGGCATAAAGGCGACCGAAATTCAAGATACATAATTCAAGTATGCATAACTGTTCACGCAGCTAGACCACTGGGCCAAACAAGCTCCACTCGGGAAGCTTGCACCTTGCCAGAAACGAACCAGCAAGCAACAACAAGACGGCAAGGATTCGTTGACCGAGCTTCTGCTGAAGCTTTGCTCCGGGTCTTGTGCAAAGCCACCACACTCCGTTTCAAGTTAGGCCCACTTGCAGCCGACGCCACAATCAGAAGGAGCCAATCGGGCAGCACCAAAAGTGCATCTTGATCTAATCGTGCGCAATAAATGCAACATGATCCCAGCGTTTTTTGCTCGCGATTGGTTTTGCTGACGATGGCAAGTGCAGAGAGACGATGAGCACCATGGCAATGCGCTCTTGGCACCGCTCGAATAACTCTGTTAGATTGTAGCACTGACTGCAGTCGGATTTGACGAGCGACGGAGTGCGGCCTTCCCTCATGGCCGTGATTCAGGCTACAGGCTCTAAGCGTTCTGAAAAGTTCGACATCAGAGCGTCGAGCCCAATCTCGCCATTAAAAACGAGATCGGAGATGGCGACACGCCAGTCTTTTTGCGGTTTGGTGCAGGAACCGGAAAGTGCCATTGGACGTGCAAGGGCCAATCGCGAGCGACGTTTCCTGCACGCGTTCAAAAATCGGTCCGTTGTTGGCCGACCCGCTCACTGCGTGAGAAGCAACCGGTTTCCGTGCCGAATCATAAAAAAACGGGCGCGTCGTGATCCCCGACCCTGTTTCCACCGGGGAAATCGGTTGCGTATCGATCTAATCTCGAATTATTTAGAATGCCTAGAGGAGGTAGAGTGAGTGATGACCATAAATAGATGATCTCAGAAACCCCTTTAATGCCCCTTTAAGAGCTGACCCTATAGATGCTACGCATTTAAACCATAATTTCAAAGAAGGTAGCCAACCTAGAGTGGGCGTCTCGGTAGCATCGTCACTGTCCACTTCCATTTCAACCGGCTCATAGTTGTCGCCGCTCACAAAGTCCGGCAGTGGGATGCTCTGCACGGTGAGAGAAACGAGCAATTAGTCAGAGTAAAGAACACCCGTCGCAAAACCCCTGTCACCTTAAACTTAATCACTGTCATAAAAAAAAAAGGAAACAAGCATAGCGCTTTAGTTACATTCTTTTGTATCGGCCAATTCCGGAAATTAAGAATCGAAGCATTCTCTCGAGTCAGAGCAAGCTTTGAAAATATAGCCTTCTTGACTAGATGCGCTTATTTATTGGAATGCGATGCAAAATTTCTTGGAAACAAAGGCAACCTGCCTGCTCTTGCAAAGAATGCAGGGAGGGAGGCAATTAGTGCTATTCACGGTTTCCGCCGAGCGACTGTGGAAGCGGACTACTCGGACTCTAAACAGCCTCTCGCAATGGAACTACGAATGTGACATCGACATGCTTGGGACCTTGGTGCACACAACATTTCCAAGTGCCAATGCGGTATGGGGATCCGTGGCCGAGCGTGTTGGCCCATTGCAGCTCGGAGTGCGTGGAGCGAGTTTGCGCTGCAAAATCCAGAGAATCCTGGGTTCAATACCCATCCCTACCCCTCGTCCGTTCATGCACCGTGGGGCGCATGAACATAAGCGTTCAGAACAAAACAGCCAGATGTCCATTTCATTCTGAAAGCTTTGTTTACGCACCCCACGGTGTGTGAACGCGACACCAATACAAAACGACTTTGCCGTGGCATGTCGCAGTTATCCTTGTGACTGTACTCTGGATTAACACAGGACTCCTCATTTCTTACCGGAAGCATGTGAAAGCATATCTCCCGGAACAAGCTCTTGGCATTTTGCTATTGGCCATTTCTTTGTATTTTGACAGAAAGCGTGTGCAGTCGGCACCAGATACTACAAAGAATGGCATCGCCCTAAACAGAGGGATATTGAGGCAACCTAGTCAAAGCTGTGGCGAGCTTAGTGGCGACATGCCCACTTTGCAGATGACGAACCCAGGACCGATTCCCGGGGGCAAAGGGCAATCTTTTTCGAGAATTTCGCAACGGCGACGACGAACACCCTACACCCTAATACACCAACTACAACATAAAAAACCACAACGAAGGACGTCATTTCCAGTGGAGGGAAGAGGCTATAACAGCTATCGCCATGAAAAGATTACACAAGCTAGATCACACTGACAAAGACTGGACAAGACGTATTGTGCTGTGATTGAGCTGGGTGCATGCCATATGTGTGAGATGCCATATGTGATGTCAAACAATGTTATAGTGCCACATTATATCATGATGCCATGTGGCCTCAAGAAGTCACACGACAGTGATGGCACTGCATCACATGTCATGTCATTACGTCTTGTGACGCCGTAACATCAGTCGCATGGCATCAGCATTGCATAACATCATGCAACATTTTGGCAATACCCCGTCGTGCGACACCACAATACGACATAACAGACCCTCGTGACGCCTTTCTCGCAGAATTCGAAAGATAACGCACATTCCTCATTAACAAATAAATTCACAGACTAAACTACCGTTCCAAAAAAGGCCGTGCCCGCACAGAAGAAACACCAGAAGCACAGTCAAAGCCGACCTTACCTCGAGGGGGAGAGTGGTGCTGTCGCAGGACGACTCCGCCGCATCCACGATGGCCACCTCCGGCGAATCCGCGGGGGTCGCCTCGACGTCCCCTTCCGCCGTCTGCTCCTCCTCGGGAACCCCCGCCTTCGTCTGCTCGTCGACCGCAGATGCAGCCACAATCACGGTGGCGCCGTCGGAGGAAGACTGGGCAAAGGCGGCCCGCTTGCGCTTGAGCATGCGGTTGTATTCCCGCTTGAGTGACTTGAACGCCTCCCAGTTGTCGTAGCAGGGGTGCCGCTTCCACTTGTGATACGCCCGGTCCTTGCGCCGCATCTGCTGCGTCAGCTCCCGGTCGTACCAGGGTGCCTTCTGGCCCTTCTTCAGCTGCACGACGCGGAGAAAGGTGCGGCTTTGAACAACTTTGCCGCGGCACGCTGCGCTCGAGTACTCTGCGCACCCCAGGGTCACTCTTGTCCGTCGCAACGTAACAACTACCACAATATCCCGAGTCATTGCCCACTCCACTTTTTGGGTAAATATCGATTTAAAAAAAAAAATGTGATCGCCTACCTTAAATATTCCTACGCAGACTCGACAATTCGTGAACATTCATCTTACCCAAATGACGCGACCGCGGACCTGACAGTTAGAGGACGTCCATGACAGCAAAACAAAGGAGGGAAAGACACTTTTTTGTTTACGCAGTTCCTCTTCGATTCATGCGACTCAGAAGTTGTAGTAGATATGTGCGAGAGGAAAATGACAGAGATAATAAAATGAAACTTTGTTTTGCTTAGAAAAAAGTCTGTACGGACAAAAAGAAACAAAGGCAGAGAAATAACACAAGAAGTAACCCATTCAGGGATCGCGAGGTCAGTGAACGCCCAATGTCCTGAAATGTGAAATTGAGTTACCAAAGTAAGTTCACCGTGAACCCACCCCTCTCCCGAAACGCCGCGACCGCGGTTGGTAAGGATGTGCAATATTTAAGACAAAGCCAGCGGGAAAATAAAGATTTGCTAGAATGCCGCACACAGACGTTTGTACAGCGTCCCATTTTGAGCTCCGTGTTTGTGGTGCCGTTCACGCCACGCAGCAAAGCCGCCTCAACCTGAGAACGCCTGCCCCCGAGAGATTGCCCATCCCGTTTTTCTGGCTAAATATCTGCAACATAAAAATTCAGAAACATCGCCCACCTCCCGATTCCCGTCAAATGTCACGCAATGTCCGACGGGAATTGCGTCAACCATGCCATTTGCTGTACCGGCACGTCTGACAGGCGTTTATAGCGGGTTCCCGCGTTTTTGTCCACGATCTGCGCACGCGATATCGGCTCTGGTAACATGCGACTTGTTCCCACGTGTATGTTGCACTGTGAAATGCGAATCTGCTGTGCCCGCAATCTGTGGTGTCCGTTTCCGTGACAAAGTTTTTAGCAGATTCCCGCGTTTTTGTTTGCGATCTGCGTGCGCATTCTTGATTCCACGTGAATTGGTCCCGCGTGTATATTGCATAGAAAAATATGATTCTGCTGCGTTCATGATCTGTTCCCGTAACATACATGTTTGTAGCAGATTCCTGCCTTTTTGTCCGCGATATTGGTTCCCATGACAGACAAGTTTGTAGCGGGTTTCCGCGTGTTTATTGCACCATAAAACTTGCATCTGCTGCGTCTGCAATTCGCGGTATTCATTCCCGTGAGATACGAGTTCTCGGTGGATTTCTGTGGGTCCTTAGCACCGTGAAACACGAATCTGCTGCGTCCGCAACCTGCGGTATCCTCTCCCATGACACAGGAGTTCGTAGCGAATTCTTGTGCGTTTATCGCATCGTGACACGCGAATTTGCGGTGTCCGCGATCTGCGGTATCAGTTCCCACATCACGTGGTTTATATAGCCGATTTTTGATAAATTTTTGCTGTGGCGTCCACAAAGATAGCCCACTAACTTGTGGTGGGCTATCACCATTTATCTCTTCATTTTGGGTGGGCATTCTTTCGGAACTTTACGGTAATTGAATTTTTAATTTTCTTTCTTAGCGAAGAGAACATAGCGGCGTTAGAAACGTGTTGTCGTGGAACAAACATTCACGCTATATGCCGATTGGCAGTGTTCATTGCACATATGTAAGCAACAGACTGCGATAATAAAACTTTTTTTTGTGAGCATTTCTTGCAAAAACAACGAAATTAATTCGAGTTTTTAGTTTAATGTACTGTATCTCTTGTGCAGCCGCACCATAAACATACAAAAAAATGGGCGTTCATTTTGCTTTTTCTAAACTTTTTGTGCTATCCCACAAAGACATGGCCCATCCCACTTTTTTTATGAATTTCAGGCGGCAAGGGGGGGGGGGGGGTTGATTTGGGATATTACGGTACACTGAATTTGTTATTTACGGGACAACTGGAAGCCGATATTTTGGCCAAAGAGGGAGTGGATGTAATGTTTATACGGAACTATAATTTCCAATAATATACGAGGACGTCACAGTGTCACTTAACATTGTGGTATCACACGACGCCATGCGACACCGCGAGATCCTGGGATCTGAAGGAAGGTCTCTGCCTCCGGTTCCCAGACAACGAAGCCACTACGGCACTCCATACGGACCGCCGTCCTTGGATTCTGCGATCTAGTAAAATTTTCTGCCACAGAAATCAAAGTGTCTTAGAGGTGAAAGTCGTCGAGGCATTCTTTTCCAAGACTGATTTGGAACAGTTCAAACACATACATTGTGTTTGGATGGAAAGCAGTTTCATAAGGCGACAGTCACAATAGACGATGTCGTCGAGGCACGTCCACACAGAACCGTTTGCTCACGTTGCGTTATGCTACGGGAGCTTGTACACGTCTGTCATAATTCCTCCTTTCTGTTTAGCTTTCGTTATATTAGGAGCTTACGTCTGCTTATGAAGCGAGTCACTGGGACGTCCATATTTTTTATGAAGTGTAACGAACAGTTCGAAAAGTAGTTTTGCATGTAACATACGAGGCACAACTGTCTCACCAACTCGTGATGTAACATAAAAAGAATTAAACGCACGGTCCCGTGTGAAAAGCCCTTCAGTCCTTAATTCTTGCTAATGGCATCTGCTTGGTCAGACTGCTAAGCCTCGCGTTCTTTGTGTGTTTGACAGTGTCCTATTCGTGTGGGCAGTCTCGAACGAGTTTCTGTCCACTCTGGCAAAGGATGTCAGCTCTCGACGCTGTTCCTTCGAAACGCCGCAAAAGCTATGAAGCACTAGAATTAAGGCGAATGTGGACGCCTCTCTAGTTCTTCCAGCAGGCTCATCGATCGATTTGATTGGTTCCCCTGTAGAGTCGACAGCATGCCTCTGTGGCTAAGTTTGTTTTTACAGAAAGCTCTCCTACAGCGCCACTTCAGCCACATCGCTGCACATGACCGATGTAGCCAGCAGTGTTGCCGATTTAGAGGTGTTCCCGCTAAATTTAGGAGTTTTCCGAGTTGTCTTGCGGGAGAAATGGCAGTCTAGCAATTGGCGGCATTTTTCGCAGTTTTCACGTCATGTTGGCGTGTTTTCTGGTGGTAGAAAATGTTCTCCAGTTTACATTTATTGATTGCACAAAGTTCAATTTCTGCAGTAAGTTAAGAGTCATGACGTCATTGTTTTTGCTTACTCTCGACAAAATTCTTTGTCAGTGCAAACAACACTTGCGACGCCGTCGAGATATAATGGGGGCAAACATTGAAACATGGTGTAAAAATGGTCGTTCTTGTCCCGTGCCTTAAAGGGCAACTCCGGATCATTTTACAGATTAAGACAACAATGCAATTCTGTTTAGTAACGCCTAAATAGACTACACGCCAGATATTTCGATCAATTCTACCCAAATGTTTATAAAACCAGAAAACACGGTTCGACAAGCGCAAAACGACCAAAAACTGCTAATCCTAGAGGGTGAGCCGCGGTGAAGCCAACGGAGCAATCAATGGCACCTTGTCGGAGCAGCCGACCTTGCTCTACGAATGTCGTGCTCAGGTCTCTTGGGGAGATTTTGTTTGCTTGTACTGTACTTTTTAAGCAAAGCCCACAGGCGGCACTGGCAGTGCACTTCTCACTGACCACGTGATTCAAGGAACACACGTGCACCTGTGTGCTTCCGTGCGACCGTGCATCATCGCCGGCAGCATATGTCGCGTGCGAGAGAGTCAGTTTGCGACGTTGAGCATGGCACACTTCTATAAACTTGTCGCGACATATTTATGTGCGGTTACTGAACTTCACTTTCTACTGATGTTTTCAAAACAAGCCCTTGGGAAAACTTGCCCTTTTCTACGCTAAAACACAAGCTGCAACTGCGCAGCGCAGGCATCGCTGGGCGTAGCGGACTGCCGACCATGGCAGACGACACTTCCGCCCTTGCGCCCGCCCGCGTGTCTGGTACGTGACGTTACAATTTCTACCACGTGGTTAGAGGATGTAAGTGAAGATACATCATCAATGTTGCCAGCAGCAGACAAGGTTTTAGTTTGGGTAAGCTTTAAATTAAGATTGCGCAAAAAATATGACACTTTTTTTTAACATAGTACCGTTTATTACTACCTCGGGATATAAATCAACCATTAACTGAAGATCCTTGAAATTGATTGAAGCTGTCCTTTAAATTTGGCAGTTTTCAGCAGTTTTTCGGGAACCCTTTAACAGGTTTTTGATTTTTGAGCTGGTAACACTGCTAGCGATCAACGGCCCTTGCTGATGGGAAACCCAGCAAACACTTTCCGCTGCCGTTTTTGCTGAAGTAGTCAGTGACAGGGCAAAACGGTGTTGCGATGGACTTCTAATGACGCACTTAAAACTCAAAAAGTCACAATTCTGATCCAAGATTGTTGTGGTACAGATCTATGCAACAAAAAGGTTACTTTGCTTCAATGTAAAAAGCTGATTGCACATAAACAAGGTTGCCTTTGTGGTTACAAACCAACACAACATTGCGTTTTTTTTTTGTCCAGACTATAGACCTTTCCAATGTCCAATGTTTACAAAATCACAGTCCAGCGTGCGATCTTCACAGCCCAGCACGTGCGTGTTCGTCGCTTTGGAAAGCACACGCCATACGCACAAACACTCAAGATGGCACCGGCCACACGCTCTTTCTTGGAAAGGTCTATATCTGAGCACGTCGTTAGCAATACTTTTGGAATGTTCACAAATTCATGCGGGATAAATTTTCTGAAGAGCACGGACAGGGAATATCACTGCTCTAGTAAATATACACATAACCAATGTAAAGGGGCTACAATGGGTTGGATCAAACATCGTAAGTAGACCTACCTGCTGCTTCTCTTGAACTTCCTGGATTGGAAGGTCCGTCTCCAAGAGATCCGACGGCAACTCTTCCAACACCAGCAATGAAACATTGTCGTCCTCATTGTCTGAAAAGCATTTCGAGGGCAGGGTATGCAAAAATGTCAACTCCAGTTCTTAAGCTGGTTTATGCCCTTCAGACATTGACAAGGTACACTACTGCTCTCCATGAAGTAAGCAAATTCTTAATAAAGACACGGGGCACACTCTATTTTTTAATTAACCAGACACAGAGGAAAAACTTCGAATTACTGCAAGTTTTGTCCCAGAGATCTGTATGTACGACTGCTGGGAAAGCACACAAGCCTAAAACTAATAAAAAGAATAGAACGATTTTAAATTATTGAGAGCCTACAGTGTCCAACTGAATACCTTTGTCGACCAGGTCATGACTGGGGATGAAAGTGCTTTCTACTAAGGCGAGCTTAATGCGACACACACAATTGTCAAAAGTGCCTGGTTACTACGTGCTTGCTCGTGCAAGCACGTAGTACTGCACGAGCAAGCACGTAGCACAAATAACTGCTAGGCTCCACAAATTCAGTTTTTAAGGTTGTAGAAGACTTGCGAACAAAGCTAAACTTTCACCTGTGACTTTGGCTTCCTCCCGCTCCTTCGCCTTCCTGATGGACTCCAGGGCTTTCCGCCGCAGCTCCAACAAGTCCTCCTCCTGGAACCAGCAAGGGCAAGCAACGTTTAGGCCGGCCTCGGCTTCAAAAAGGCTACAAGCCATTGAACGACAGCTCCACGACATAGAGCCTGCAGCGCCGCTTAAACTTTAGCTTATTAGCCCAAAAAGCGTCGCGCCCATTTTCGCTAGAAAGTGGAGATTAAATCGATTCAGAGAGAGAGACAAAGCTCGCTACATCGCACACCCCGAAATAGTTCACAGATGCTTCCCACCCACGTGAAAAACAAGCTCCAATACGTTTACGTCGAGCACGCGTACGAACATGCTGAAAATGCGGTTTCGTTGTGCCAAAGGAGGCGGCATCCTTTTGAGTTTATTCTAACATTAGGTTAAGATTCCAAATCGACAAAATGTTTGGCTTGTCTGGCTGTCTCACAACAGCATGTTCAAAACTTGCAGAGAAAGGGTCGTTGCAGCAGAGCAGGGGATGCCGCTCACCGAACCCCACGAAACGGAAATACCTTAGCACTGAGCGACTGGCGAAAATAATCCTAGACTTTCTCTTATGCGGCTAGTAGAACGTTAAGGTTGCACAAAAGCCGACCGAGTCTTGTGGCACAGGAAGAACGTTGGACACGCCGGAGTCCTTTGAATCGTTCCGCTCCAAAATACAGAATTTATCCGATAAATCACAATTATAAAAACCATTTGCTCTCAAAGTCCTTATAACACCGCACCACTTCTAGGCGTGCTCCAGCTCAAACTTCTTTCGAACGTGCAGAACCATTTTATAGTAGGACTTTTCGGCGGATATGAAATTCTTCAATGCGTTAAGGAGAGCCACGCCCTGCTGATGTTGGGTACTGTCGACTGTCGACGCAAAAAACAATGGTAATTTCTGTTTTGTTCAAATGCACGGTAAAGCAATGATCAAATATCCAGTAAGGCGAAATCTCATATATGACACATTTTCTTATACAACACCGAGCAACTGGTGTTTCTTTACTTTGACAATGGAGCTGTAGCTTATGTACTTGCCTCATTCTTAAGCTGAAACAAAAAGATGTGTTAAAAATTCAGTTTAGAACTTGCGGCGGTCCTTATCGATAAATGAGAAGCTGATGAAGTGAAGAAGCCAGCCTGAATTGGCAAGAAGTTTATATTTCTCCACTTCCTCACGACACACAGACATACTAAAAAAGAAATGCCACTTTAACTTCTAAAACAAGATAAGCCTTACACAAGGTATGACCTTTCTTGTGCAATTTTCTCTTGGGAAAAAAAAAGTCTCAAGCTAGATTAAAGGTCTGTCCCCCATACAATGCATCAATAACACAGTGCTGATAAAGGGCCAATTTTCCGGCGGTTTCGTTCTAAGGCCTTTTGACTGGTGTACTGGGGCAAAGCTTGCCTCAGTACCATAAACTTTGTCTTTCGCAGGATAAAGTTACCCGACTATGACAGAAGAGGGAATAAAGGGCACTTCTATAGCCGGCACGGGATCTCATAGAATTGATCTCGCTGCGGAGGGTTACCTCGCGGTATTGCAAGTTGTGAGGGGGAATCCTCAGCAGTGAGAGAAAGAATTATACCGCTAAATCGGCACCAGCTACAGAACAGATTCACAACTGCGCTACATGCGAGAACCAGCTTCAAAGGCAGTGGGTGGTTCTGGGGGTGCCCACACCTAGAATGTTGTAAGGATGCATGCCAGTGCTTGTGATTCCAGTGACTTCTTCTCATTTGAGAATAAGATGTTTGATGGTGCGTGTGTGTGTGTAACAAACATTGTGGAAGCACAGTGCTTGGGCCAAAATGGTAGACCCTGTCATTCTCATCGGGAAGTGATCACCACTGCCGAAATCGGACACAAATCACCAGCATAGGATCTCGTTAAAATGATCTAACAGCGGAGGGTTTTGCGATGGGTGAGAAAGTAAATGCAGCAGTGAGGAAACACAGCACTTTGCTGCACATAAAAAATAATCTTAGACTTTGCACAAAAAAAAAAAAAAGGGGGAGGGAATAAAGGGAAACCAAAACACAGCAGAAGAACTGACTGGGAAACACCAGGAAAAATTTCCTTTCCCACCTCCCCAAGTCAACGAGCAACAGCACCACTTCACAGCAAACAACACTGGGCCAACAGCGGGCTGCTCTCTCGTTGGAACTCCTCACTTCACGGCAAACGACACCGGGCCGACGTTAGGACTCCCTTTAGACCCTTTAGACGGCCAATATTCCTCCTTCACGGCAAACGGTAATCGGCCAATAATAGGCCGCTATGTCGGCGGCCAATGTTTCCACTTCCTGGCAAACAACACAGGGCCAATGCTGGGTCACACTTTTGGCGGCCAACGTTCCGACATCACAACACACCACGCCAACACAGGACCACTCTTGGCGGCCAACGTTCTCCGCCACCTTCATCGAGCTTACCGACAGCCACCGTGTCTTTGGATCGTGAGCCTTGAAATCGCACGTGACGATGCTCTTCATGACGGGTCGCTGCACTGGCCAATCCTGGGCGTGTTGTTCAAATTTTGAAGGAAAGCGGGGAGGGGGGCTTTCGAATGATGTTAAGACTTTGCAAGAGTTTTGGTCCACGATCCACCGCCACTCCATTTCTAAGTGTGCTCCAGCTCAAATTTAGCTTAGTCTCACTGGTGCACCTCTCCAGTGGCCCTTCCCCTATTCAGAAGCGTTTCTGACTAAAATTCAAGTGCCGAAAGGACTTCAAGCCCGAATGAAGCGTCTCGCAGCCCGAGCTTTTCCTTGAAAGAGCATCACTACATTTCGAAGCAGAACCCAAGGTTGCTTCGAAGTCGTCGATATGCAGAGTTGCTAGTTTCCGGGGTCGAAACTCGCTTTTGCCAGACGTTTGGATCTGGGCATGGTTTAAATACCATACACAGAGACACGTGTCAAACAAAAAAATGGTCTCGGCACTCTATTTCTACAAACAAGCTTGACGTATAGAATTTAAACCACGTTACCGATATAATAACCAATCGTCAAAGGATTGTCAAGCAGTGCCACAGGAAAGCCCAAACTTGAACAATCACGGGTGTGAACTACAAGGGTCTGAATGTGCGAGTAATTTGGAGTGTAGTGCTAAAACTGTGAGCCAAACCAAAGCTCGAAAACCCCTCCATTCTGAAATCGGCAGGGGAAACAACCCGGGCAGGTTCCCATATTTCGACTTGAAGAAAGAGGAACCGACTCGTATTTGTGGTTTGAATCGGAAGGGGGCTTCCGAGGCAAGTCGGGTCGTCGCGTTTTTAAGCGGTCCGTTCATTTCGAGAAAGGCCAAACTCACACCCGCCAATCAAACGGATGCACGGAGGTGCAGCACTCACGTCGTCGCTGATGTCACTGACGTCCAGCAACACTGGCGACAGATGGCCGTTCTCGACGGGTGCAGCACCGTTCTCGACTTCTGCTTCGTGGACTTCCGGCTTTTCGGACGTGCACTTGTCCCTGTGGGCTTCCGAGCTGCCGTCCCTCGCTTCCGAGAGGTTCTGACAAAGGAATGTACACAAAAAGGAAAAGATGAAGTGAACACATTGTGCTGCCTTGTTTGACGAGAGAAAAGAAAAGAGAAAGCAAAACGGCGACGTCCGAAAGGCCACTTTGGACAATAAAGGTTCCGCTTGAGCTGAGGCACAATGGACGAGTTTGCACGGCATTGATCGGGTCTCCCCCAAAATGTTTTGTAGAAGGATGCAGAAAGTTTGACGTCAAAAGCAGCCTCCCACGAGAACTCCACGAACCGCATTTGTTTGGGTTTTTCACTCATCGAATTAGCAATGTGCGCGGTCACGCTGCGTCACAATCTACGTTCGGTTCTTCTGCTGCGAGAGCACATGCCACAGACACATTTGTGACCAAGAAAGACCTAACGAGACGAAAAGAGTGCGGGACAAGAAAGAAAGACCCGACATGACGTCTGAAATGTGCGTCTGCCATACAAGAAGTATCTTTCATGCACAATTTCTTCCCGCAGTTTTACGGAAATTATGCTAAGTTTTGTGGAAAGTACAGTTTTGTAGAACTTACGCATGCCATTCTGGAAATAGCATGTAATTTTATCAGGCTATATAACTGTGATTTTTAAGAGTTTAGATGCAAAAAAGCAATGCTCATGCTTGGAGTCCTATAGATGGTGACAACTTGGAAATGTTAATTTCTACAAACAACTGCGAAAATGAGTTATGAAGGAAGCCAAACTCTAAGGTCTTTCTCAAGCATGCCAGTATGCCAGAACTCTGCTATGGCTATCCAAACATGTCTTAGCATGATAATTCATCAGCATTTAAACGCTTCCTTTAAAAATAAGCAAAGCATTGCTTTCAAGACAGTCACTGTAGTGACTTGTCCGTCCATCAGATAATGAAGACCTTTTAAAAGAACTACGCCAAGTCCAGCTACTAGTAATGCAAAACTATCGATAGTAAAAAAAACTACCTATAGTGCTATCGATAGTTGACTATCGTAAAATTATTAATAGTCGACTAGCTTGAAACTCGATAGCATACTATTAATAGTCAGCTACCGTGAAATTGTTTATAGTCGAATATCGAGAAAGTATTGATAGCCAGGCTATCGATGGGAGCTATCGATGGGGTTTTATTAGGTGACGAAGAATGTCCAGAAAATGTCATGTAGCATGGAGAAAAACGCAACTAGTTACGGACTTCTGCATAATTACAAAGGAACAATCTAAAACCTATATTTTTCAATGATGCTGAGCAATTTTCTAATTGAAACCATGCCCTTAAACACAATATTTAGAAAGTTAATTACCCAAAATTAATTAACAATCAAATTATCCTGGACTTTAATCATTTTCCTAAATAGGCCCCTGGTCAAGGACCAAAGCGACACAAGCCTTTTTTTGTCGCCACGCATAGTTTTCACAATATTGAATTTGTCCACCTTTCGTGAAACACCCTATATATGTGTTGCATAAATCCGGAACCCTGCTTGAATATGATGATAGCGATGGTGATCTAATGCGCAAGTATGGGGAGGGGACATGAATTTACAAGAATGAAAATAAAAGTGTGGCTTTTTTTCGAAACAAACAGGTTGCGAGAAAGAAAGGAAAAGATATTGCCTTTCCTAATGCCTCATTACCAATATTGCTACTTGGATCACAAGAAATTTTTTGTTTTTATAATTCATTTTTAATCCAGTTAATGTTATGTTCCCAAACTTATTGTATTTGAAGAATGAAAAAACTAAAAGCATCAGTAACTATGTTCTTTTTTTTGGTATAAGCTTTTTTTATCTGGTAATGTTCAATCTGAAGTCTGCATAACAAAGTTTGTTCCATATACACCTTTCCAAGAAACACTCAACCCCAGGGACAACAAACCGTATTCGAGCCCAGTCACTGGGTTTGAGGCTAGACTCTCACCGGCGTTCCTGCTAACCCTAAGCGAGTGGACTGTGATTTCGACAGGTGCAGCCTGCGTAGGCGCAGTTTCAAACACTGCTGGTGCATAAATTCTGGTCTTTTCCTGCTGTATTTTGTGTTTCATGATGAATGTATTTTCTCGAGGACATGAAGAAAGCATTGTACACATTTAAAAAATCAAAGAAGCAAAAAAAAAATAAAAAAAATAAACTATTTTTTGGGACCGGAATGTTAGTTGCCGTTATTCTTTTTTACGATAAGCTTTGACGGCGCCGCCCGATTAACCACGTGTTAAACGACAAAACGCTTAGCTGTCGAAAATAATTTACAACAGAAGATAACCGAAAGGCATGCATTTTTCACGCTCACAAATAACATGTTTACCGATGGACAGGACACGGACATACAACTGAGGAAGTGTTAACATTCGAACAATATATGGTATGTACCGCACGATGCAGCGTTATCGGAAAAGAATTTATTTGAGAAAGATCTCAAATAACACAGTCACAGTGGACGACAGTCACATCTTGACGATTGGACAGAATCGCAGATAACTTCGTTTTGGGGCACGTTTTGGGGAGAGCAAAGGAACGAACGCGACTGACCCGTTTCCCACCCCAACCCGGACAACAATTTTTGGAGATGACTGAGGATTCTACGCGGATTACCTCTGGGAGGGGGGAGAACAATGTTTGCAAAGTCGCGTCGAGGGTCGTTCGACGTCCTTCACCTCCTTCGTTTCCCGTGAATGTCCAGCAGAAAAGCTTGAATGGCAGGCACTTACCAGTCTTATTTCTCACAACGGAAGATAACACAAAAAGGGTACCCAGGATGCATAAAAAAAAAAAATTAAGTGGAAACTTTCAAGAGGGGCGAGAAAACGTTGAATGCAAAACCGCAAGAACGTAGGTAGAGAACCGCGCTGAGCGGGTCTTCACAGTCCAAGAGAGTGGCAGAAAATTTCTGGCTGATAGAGGGTGCGAGAGTCACACCAGCCGCATCAGCATCAGCAACATGGCAACGGCCTAGAAGCGGTTTTTGGAAAGGTATATATTGATTATAAAATATTTACTTATAAATCAAGTGATGGCATCTGTATTCTTAAGTTGTATTTTATACCAACAGGTAAATATTTTCCCAGCCGCCGTTATAAAACTTTCCCAAAATGGAACCGAAAAAAAGTGGCAACATATGACGGCATGCAAGCCCAAGTGCTTTCGTCGACAGCTAATTCCCGATTTCGGGAATTCACTATAAATGGTCATCAGGAGAGAAACAAATTACGATCTCTAGCAGAGTGCTTATTTTCACCTGTCCGTGGTCAATGCTATGAAAAGGAATGTGAGTCAACTGAATAATAAAAGAAACAAAAGCGTGAAACAAACTTGTGAAAAAACTTATGCTAAATGTCTTCAGCGAGTGCTTTCAATAGCTCTAAGACAGAAAAATATACTGAATAATTTTACGAATGCGGGCATACTACAGTGTAAAGCCTAATATCTGAACCCCACAAATATGCAAAATATGTGCACAAGAAAACTAGCAAACAGCCATTTCTGTTTAAAATTAAATTAATTGGACGAGAAAGCAACTCTGTTTTGTTTCCTTTCAATTTCTTGGTTTTCCCAAAACCATGCGTTGTCTGTCCACACATATCCGTCGTCATTCCCTTTTTGGGTAGTGGTTTAATTTTCCTAAGACTCGATAGGTTTCTGAAAGCTGACTTTCAATAGTATCGATGGTCGACCAAAAGTCAACTATCGACTGCACTATCAATAATAGTATCGCTTGCACTATCGGTAGTACTCTTGATAGTTTTTGCCACTATCGATAGTTCTGGAAAAGCTATCGTAGTATCGATAGTCAGTTTATTAATAGTTTTGCATCACTACTAGCTACACACCAGTGCCCTATAAACTGGCAAAACAAGAGTGCATTCTACTATAAAAAAAAATCTTTCGTATTAACCTTTTTGGCTTTCCTGCACTTTGGCTGGTGGCGTTTCTTCTTGCCATCTGCTTTCCTGGAAGCTGACTTGTCTCCATTTGCGTTTCTGGAAGCTCCATGCTCTTCGATGCTCTGCGAGTATTTTGAGAGCCGAGCAGTATGCACTTTCCTCCGTGGACGAATTGAACACTCGAGATAGGGTGCAACTGGTAAGCCCGTTTTCCCCCAACATAGCTGTGCTACCACAGGGCAGTTCAGAAACTACTCTTACAGCATAATAATTAATGTTAAAAACCATACACTTTGTTAACCCCTTAAGTGCCATTTTTTTTTTAAAGTAACCTAAAAATGCCAATTTTGTTTTTTATTGGGGAATTTTATTTTTTAGTATTACAGATACAATTTCAATTTATTACGCAAAAATCAGCGGCAGCACAAAAAAAAGGCGCCAACTAAAGCGAGTGCTGCCATCTATGATCAGCACCACAAACTACTCGGACGAGCCTAGCTCGTCCGTGGAATTGAGTGCTATTGAAAAAACCACTGGACGAGCCGAGCTCGTCCATGGCATTTTTAACTAGAAAGCAGCCGACAAGCAGAGCTCGTCCAAGGCAATTAAAGGGTTAACATTCACTTTGAATATTACCTTCCATACATCACAAGTATCACTTTCTTGGCAGGTTGTCTACAGCTTGAAAAGAAAAAGGAGAGTTACAAACTAGAGAAGAGCACTGGCAATTATCTTTGTGTGCAAGTCAAGATTGCAGTCTCTTGTTCCAGTAGTAAGTGGTACAACAAAGCCCAATTATTCAAAATATGTACACTCTAGAAACATTCCTTTAGAATAATGACATTTTTTTTTTTACTACCATTAAAAGAAATTAGTATAGTATGTCACTATTGTTAGAATATCATTACAGAACATAAATAAGAAAGAAAACTGAAAGAGGCATAGAAGGCATATTCCAATTTCCACTACTGCCCAAAAAGAGGCAAGTTCTTGCAGCTTCCAGAATTTAAATCATGGCACAAGCAACAATAACACGCTTGAACGAGTTAAATGCAAAAAAGTAGCGATATCGTGTTTATGCTGTGCCGTACCATTTACGCATGGCAAAAAAACAAAGAAGAGAGCTGCAAGGAACCTAACACAACATCTGCTGCGACGAGCATTGAAATCCTGATGTAGTCACATTTATGATCTTTTTTACAGACATCCCACAGTTTAAAACAAAATTAAGGCGCTGTTTCCAACTTTCCAACACTTGAAAAAAAAGAAAAAGAAAAAGGCACCAAGTTTTGCAGCATCAATAAAGGAGTTTCTAGATTTTATAACCGTTAACTCGACCAACCTTACATGTGCGCAATTTGGATCTCGGAACCACTCTCGGCCACTCAAGCTTCGGCAATCTGCCGATTGGACGATTTGTGGACTTAGGTAGCCCACGAAAAATGCTTCATGCAGCCTGCGTTGCCCCAGTACAGATCCAAACAGTGCACATACATAAGATGGGACTGCCTAATCTGAAACTCACATGTTTCTTCAGGTCTTCCAATTGGTTTTGGATGCTTCTGTACTGTGCCAAGAGATCTTCGTAGGATGGTTCTGACTTGACCGTATTTTGCAGAAATGTAGGCTGAGAATCTGTAGGGTGTGAAGGTGGACTAAAGGAAAATACAGGAGAACCGAGCGAAGAAAGAAGTTATGCGTAGACAGTCAAGAGGAGATACGGGGTAGAAACATTCTTTCGTAGGGAGAGACACAAGTGCACGGAGTAACAAGTAAAACCCACGCACCATAGTGCAGGGTGATTCAAGGAGAGGCCAGGCTTTTTAAATCGACCGCAAAATTCGGTTTCTTAACCTATCGCGCTACGACTTAGTGCAGCGTTGCCCACAGATGGTGCTTTTTTTTTCTTTGTAAAATTTGCAAAGTGCAAACTTACCTGAGGAAAAAGTAAAGAAAGAAAAAGGTTTAGCTCCTATGGAAATGCAGCGAAGCCACCGGTCTTGAAACAACACGGCACCGTTTCGCACAAAAGACAAGAGATGGCGCAAGCGGTCACGACGCCAACTGCCGCCAACAAACGAGCATACGACACTGAGAGCCGGCGTCTTTAGCAGACAAGGAACCGCAGTTCCTTGTTGTTACCGCGCCTGTTTTTGTTTCTGCGACTGTCACCGCCTGCGGAACGCGCGCCGCTTTTTAGTCGAAAAGATTGTCTGCTAAAGACAATCTCTGCACCGTATGCTCGTTCGTTGGAGGCGTTTGTTGCGCCATCCCTTGTCTCCCGTGCGAAACGGCGCCGTGTTCTTTGAAGACCGGTGGCGTCGCTGCGTTTCCATAGGAGCTAAGCCTTTTTCTTTCTTTACCTTTTCCTCGGGTAAGTTCGCTCTTTGCAAATTTTACAAAAAAAAAAAATGCACCACCTGTGGGCAACGCTGTACAAGTCGTAGCGCGATAAGTTAAGAAACCGAATTTTGCGGTTGATTTAAAGAGCCTGGCCTCTCCTTGAACCACCGAGTATAGCTAGTGGCTGCATTCGTATGAGTACCTGCACATATTAGTGCAGATAAACGGTGGAAACAGCAAAGGCTTATCAATATCTGTTGTTCATTCATAGATAGAGGTCACAGCTAAAACTCCAGCGATACAAAGCTGCTACCTCATTCTTTGATGTTCACCAAGTCACATGCAACCCCTGTGTGTTGTAAATCACACACACACACAAAAAAAGAAACACATGAACATAAGCATAGCTATTAAAATCTTGGAAATTTGCACTTTCCTATGTTCTGACTATCAAGTTATGTCTTCACTGGCTTTGTTGACCAACAAGCCATAAGAGGGGACAACTTGGAGGAGACCTTTTGACACGTGCAAGAGGCTAAATACTTTAAATTTCTGCATAAAAAAAATTGCTTTAGATGCTAGCTTATGCAACTACAAACTCAATACGTTTCTTGGCGCTGTAAAGATTTAGCAAAAGGTGTATGGCACACAACACCATAATATTTAGACATCACTGGATTTGTGTCCGGAGGCATATTTGCTGAAAAGGGGGTACTCTTAGCCATTGAAACTTTAGTACCCACTGAACCTTTAGTTCCCTGCAACTTAACAGGCTCATCGGAATTTCAGAGGACCCTCGAAGGATACGATTCTTGCGGGCACTCGGGGGCGGCGACGGGCTGGCTTTGTTCCTTGTCCTCAGAGGCGTGCTCCTAGACCGTTTCTGTGCGTCGTCCTCCCTACGAGGTTCGGCGCCTTCCGATCGCCGAAACCACGAGTAGTGTTCGAGCTGGGAGCTCCGTCGTCCTCTGCCCTCGCCTATAGCGGGCGACTGAGACGTGTTCGTAACACCAGTCCGTTCTCTCGAAGACACGGGGGCATTCCTAAGGGGAGGCGATGAACGCCCGCGTTGGGTACCGTCGCTAGGCCTAGGTTCCCGAGGTTTTAACTTGGCCCCTCGGCCGTATACGCTCGGCGGAGGTCCGTTTTGTGTGTTCGCGCACCGCAACGGCTTCTTGTAGTGTCTCGGAGGGCTAGGATCAGGGTGAGAGTTGTTGCCGAAGTGGTGCTTTGAAGGCGGAGGCCTAGGAACGCGCGAAGCCCGACTGGACTCGAACTTGACCGTTTCCTCGGCGTCGTCGCTGATTTCGCCTTCTTCTAGCTCGCAGGCGGCCGAGGTTCCCCTGGAGGACATTTGCGGTGTCCGGGAGGCGTCTCGAAGACGCCTCGAAGAAGCTTCTAGCACGATCTTGAAGCTGACTTTTCAGACCTGCGCAGGTAGGTGCCCTCGGATAGGCGCAGCCATTGTTACGTAAATGACGACGTGTTCTTGCAGATGGCGGCACCTGTGGGCTGCTCACCGATGATGATGATGATGGGGCAAAGGCTGTTGCGCCGTTGCGCTTCTTCCACGATCGCAGCGAAGACTCAAAAAATTCGATCAAAAACATAAACGTGACGAGCACACAACGTTGTCACAATCTCACACGAAGATTGCCATCCTTCCGTTGACGTTGCGTAGTTTTGCTGAGTTGCATGCCCAAGGACAAGGAGGTTAGAAGTACTAGGAGGGGGCACGTTGCAATATTGATGAAGCCTAGTCATAAAAAGTTTAAACGATTTTGTGCGCGGCGTGACCGCAGATTTGTCTGGTGATTGGTGCGCGTGACATGTCACGTGTGAGATGGAAGGTTGATTGTAGGACTCCTTTGACTCCTTGCAGGCTTGCGCGCGCTCCGTCCGGTACGTTTTATCAGCCCGAAGGCTAGACTGTGGTGTCTTGTAGTACCCCATAGCAAGACCAAGGCTAGCTACGGTCACGTGATGTGGTCACGTGATGTGGTCACGTTGGCAGGGTAAGTGAGGAGAGTAAGGAGGAAAATGAGAAAGAGGCGAAGCGTCAAGGGAGCGTGGCTTGTGGAGGCTACGCGGCAGACGTCATGCCCTCTCCTACCCTTCTATCCTCCTTGATCAGTACCCATTGAAATCACTAAAACGCGACATCGACAAGTTGTTTTTACACGGTGCATTTGATGCCGTGTTACTGCTTTCATCTAGATATGCTGTTTCACAATGAAAGCGCGTGTTTTTGTTTTGCCTCACAGGATCAAGGTCGTATCGAAAGTCCCACCCTCGCCTGAAAAGCCTGCATTTGAAACGCGCCTACCGTCGCCTGCTGCTAAAACTGTACAGACTGAAACAACTATATTCACAGGCACGAAAATAAGAAATCACGAAGCCGACGAGAAACTTCACAGAGTGTTGACGCTTACTCGGTTGCGCATGTGTGAACGGTGTTTTAGCATATCGAGGTCGCCGTGAGCGATGGCCCCAAGTACCCCCCAATGTTGTGCGAACATTCCCTGTATAATCTGAATGTTGAAGGAACGTTAAAACACCACTCGAAACGTTCTATGAACATTCGCATGCGAACATTCCCTACAAGGTAAGCTGCTCAACATCGTAGGAACGTTCGTTGGCGAACATTCGTATGCACAATGTTTTTGCAATGTTCCCTTTCGAACATTAGCACATTCGCTTGCGAACATTCCTAGAATCTTCGCAGGTGCAGCCAACTTTACGGAGCTCTCACGCAACCTGTAGTTCGAAACACCATCCACTATATGCCACTTTGTGACAAAAAAATGCAAATTAAGTGGAGTTTTTGGAAACTTGGCATAAGGGATCAGTTTTATCTGGTATGAGTCTACCGAGGAATGTGGTATAAGCTGTAGGAGAAAAGCAGTGGTCTTCAAAACTTGGTAATGAACTTGGCACTCACTGCGTATGTAGAGGGGCAGTTTTGAATGGACCAGATTTAAAATGTCGGTGCATATTTCTTGGTTAAAGGGGTCATGAAACGATTTTTCTATTTCTTCCACCTTAGCTTTAATCCTCAACTTAAATGCGAATTGTGAAATCACGTGGTCGTGACATTCCTTCGGCACCTGTGCGATGACTCCTAGGTTCCACCGTGCTTGCTATGCACACCATAGAACTTGTCATTCGCCAGTGGCAATAAGTTCCGTCAGGGCACTCATTGGCCACGAACGCGAACCCAAATATTCGTCGACGGATTGATTGTTGACGAGCACATACGTCCGAGGGACGCAGTTCTCGTGTCCAATGCGTGAGCTGGGCTCTGCTGACGTCAGTTTGGCGCCGGTGACGCGCTTTGGGAACCGCGGATGTATCATAGTGAAAAGGCGGAGAGCTTTCGAAGGCTTTCCGCCTTCGAAAGCTCTCCGCCTTTTCAAGAGAAGGTACAAAATAGTCCGCTACATTTTCAAATGTTCGTACCGAAAAGCTGGCTTTTGACTTTCTAGCCTCTTTCTTTTGGCCAACTAAACGATATGCGATTAGTAAAGTCCCAATTTAAAATCAATCATTCCAACCCAAAATTCGTTTCATGGCCCCTTTAATATTCGTGTTCAATGGAGCATTATCACATCAGACGCACCAATCTCTTGTTGAAAGAGACACGAAAGGAGGAACTCGCGTGTCCCTTATATTGCTCTATAAAGGGAGGAAATTTCCTCCTACAAAAAGGGGAGGAAATTTGCTCCCCTAAGAAGGGAGGAAAAGTGCCACCTTTTTTTCTCTCAATGGAGGAAACTTCCTCCTCTCGTGTTGATATAGCTTTCAACAGATGGAGCTCAAAACGGCAAAAAAAAAAAAAAAAAAAGTCGTAGAGGCGTTCTTCTTTTTCTTTCTTTAGGTTTTGCCGACTTTCGAACGCTACATGGTGGAAATGCACATACATCACTGAACATAGAGAACACACGGAACACACGCAGATCAACCACGCACACAACAGCAACAACGCAGCAACACCGGACCCCCTCGTCTCTCTACGTACGCCAAGTTCCCACTAGCTCTATATATGGCAGTCTTATTTTTGAATCCAACTTTTTCGGTGACTGCAATCATTTGGCACATAAACACGGAAAGGTGGAGTAAATATTACTCTTACTTAATACATTATTTGAATTGTCTTGTGGAATAGCCCCCATCTCTTAATTCAACACCCCGAGCAAAGCAAATGTAGATCATTAGGCTAATTAACTAAAATTTAATAATTTTCTTCTGAATAAGTTTGATGAATTATCTTGACAATGCAGTGCTGAAATGCAGTACACTGTGCTAAACATTGCAATCAAGCTATTGCTTGATTGCGGTGTTCAGTGCCAGTGTAATTATTTTCAGTTTTGGTGGGGTAATTAATCATTTTAATTGTTGCACAAGTTCAACGGATTTTGAAACAAACAAGATTACCGATTTTAACAAGACTTCCTGAAACAGCAGAGAAGATATCTTGGTTCATGCTTTGTCACCGGTGCTGCAGAAATTTAGAATTGTTTTAATTTACTAATCTGGAGCGTTTTCCCTATAAAAAGTAAGTGCCGGGCGTGATAAAGGCCCACGAACCATGACTTTGGTATCCTCAGCAGACAACTAAAATAAGACTGTCTTTGGTGATATAATGCGACCGCTTGAAAACATCACATTGCCCGAGTCAGAAAGTTAAAAAGCCCGTGTTGAGGGTTTTAATAGATCGTTTAGTCACTCGCAACTCCATACGCAATCCGTTATGGCTTCCGCTATATATACCGTAGCGGAGCCGCGTTTTCGTGTTCTAGTAGAACGTTTGCAGCCCGGTGCAGAATACAGCGTTCCGAGAGCTAACGCAACGGAACTCTTTCGGACACTAAAGCTAAAATAGAGGTTCTTAAAGCAATTTTTAGTAATCTTCTATTCATGTCTCTATCTGAATAGTATTTAAATTTATTATCGAGTGTTTATGTTCATGTTTGCTTCCTTTATAAGTACGTCCAGTACGTTTGCGACGAGTTTGAGATCCAGGTTGTTGACGCCGGGTTAGCTGCGCTCGTTTCGCGACACAAAAGGGATCGCGTGATAATAGACTAAGTCAGTCGAATAAAAAAAAAAACGTAAAAAACTGAGTTTTTTTTTTCTTTTTTTTAGTGCGAGTTTTGACATGTAGCAGCAGATGGGGCGCAGCGCAAACTAAAAAGAAGCAGCGGTGAACCGTTGGCTCTGTCGAATCATGCGTTCCTTCAAGCCCGCGGATCTGCCCTCCGCCCCCACTTTGCCCCGCAACGGGAATGGAATGTCTGTACTACCCTTTCTTCCAAGTGGACTCTTCCCGAATGCATAGTTGACCTTGCTTTCCGGATCCGTTGCCTCGTCCCTTCCCCGAATCGTCATTGCAGTGTCGTTTCTTGTGCGGGCTATGGTTTTTGAAAAACGCGTGTTCCCGCAAGCCGGTCGTTTTTCCGATGTGGACGGACTACAGCGTGTGTCGGACGGAGTCGCTCGCCGCAACGCAAGGCTCGTTCCTATCGACTGGATATGCTGTTCTGTTTTATACAGAACTGAAATAAACACCTCACGGATTACCTTTCGCTGTATGGTACGTACGCTTTATTTCAAGAGTATACGTTTTTCGTGGAGGTGACGGCAACCAAGCTACCAAGCGCTCAAGTTGCCGTCACCGCCATTAAACATGTTTGCGGTGGCAGCGGCGGTTCGACCGCCGCAGCCGCCACGAATATAGAGGAGGAATTTTCGTCCCTTTTTCAAGCGCCACTAGGTCGCGCTGCATGTGGATCGGTGAAAGGGAGGAACAAGGGCAATTTCCTCCCTTCCGTTGGCGACAGGGAGGAACATCGTTGTTTTCCTCCCTTTCTCCTCCCTTTTTTTTTAGAGTGTACGAGTACGAGTGCGTAGCCAAATTCGATCACGGAGCCTCCGTCAGTCGTCCCGTGGAAACGGCATCTTTTAGCAATGCTATCGCGGAATGAAATTAATGACCAACTGATGTCCAGCGAGAACTTCGGCGATTTCTTTTAGAGTCATTCGTCCGTCGGCGATGAACTGTAGGAATAGGCTTAGCGTTGAGCAGATCGCAGCGTTGACGCACACTGAGAGCGGCGAACATTTCCACTGTGCACTCCTTCAGCTGCAGGGCGATCTGATTCGACCGCGGTAGGTCACAGAAAGAATCGTCGAGCTGAACACCACGCAATTTCACGTAACACAGAACTTCGAAAACACCATGTCGCCTTTGCTGCGCCAGCCGAGGCAACCGCCATCTTGAAACTGGCGCCCTCGTTGGGTCCGAGATCTCTCGAGAGCGTCCCTCAAGGCCCGCTAGCCAGCAACGCAAACTCCCCAGCGTTGCGTGCGTACGCAATACGCTAGCCCTTCTATTGCGTTCTGCGCATGCGCACTCACGACCCGCAATCTCCTTGCGTACGCAAAGCTATAGCGTACG